TTGATTAGAATTTACAGGGTGCTGTCCGAAGAGGAATTCTTTATTTGTGTAGCAGTAGCAGTAGTTACCAAATGTAAATCGTCGTGTGTTACACAGCGTTGTAATTCGTGTACCCAATGCAACATTTAAGAATCAATGAAAGAAAATAATTATTTTTAACTTTTCAATCTTAGCACAGTGGATCTGTCTTTACCAACATGTCTGATCTTATTTACGTGACTAAGCTGACTATTACTAAAACATACCTTAAAACAAATAAAACCAAGCGCATAAGATGAGTAAATGTGACAATAAACTTCCATTTTAAGCACGTATTCCTGAGTGAAGACCCATGGATATTACTAGTTTCTTTTACTATGTATAGAATAAGAAGGCCGAATAGCGAAAAAATATTAAAAGGCGAAAAATCCTTTGCTATTTGTAGCCTTCATTGTAATGGTAAATTATGAGTTCTCATGAAAGGCAACTATCTCCAAATACGTTGTTGGACCTTAGTTTCGTGACTATTCGCTTTTTTCGTGTTTCCTGATGTAACATTTACTCTGTATCTCTGTATTACATCCGATCCTCTATTAAATGGTATTCTGCATCAGGTGACCAGTATAAAGGATAAATTTACCCCTTATGTTGCAATATTTGGTGGCATCTTAGGCACCTGAGGCAAAATACATTTTATTAACTACCGTCGGTTTGCGACGTTTGTTTGACATAATAAACAAGCATGGCTACGAAAACATAAGGTAACCTAAAGAATCCTCCAGTTTACAGAGAACCAAAACTAGATTTCTTGATCAGACTTTTTCCCACAACTAATCCTGTAAGGTTGAAATGAATCGAGGAAACACTATTTATTTTTCTTTCTGCTTGTGAAAATCGACTTCCTACGATGGCACAGTATTCAACGTTGTGTCCTAAAATTTCCTAGAGTACGTGTAAGGGGGGGGGAGAGGGGACGGGAGGGCACGGCTACTCGTAGGCTAAAAATTTCCCCATATGTGTGATTGGTTGGTAGGACATCCCATGAGATGAATATGCTTTTGGCGGTACTGTTCACAAAGGTGACATTTTGTGGCGGAGTCCCAGGAACTAAAATGAAGTAACATCTTAAACTCTTCATTTAAACCTCTCAAACTTGTAAACGTGTTTCATTTGACATAAGACTTTTATTCTTTTTAATAAAAATTGATTTACAGCATAATACATACCTCGCTTAAGAACTAAACATCAATATTTCTTAGCTTAATTACATCATTTTTTAAATGGTTCTTACCTTTCCACCAAAAATTGTTCCGGGACGTTTACCCGCAACAAGTAACTGTATGATGATAATTACTTTTGCAATTTTTTACAAAGCTGACGATTATTAACAATTATCCTATGTAACAGTCTACGGTTTTTATCAGACCATTTACAGACGTGCAAAGACTAGCAAAAACTAACGATAAAAACCGACGTTTCGGTGTCATCATGACGCCATTGTCAAGGAGAAATAAAGAATGAAGTTTGTGGCAAAGTGTAACATTAAATTAGCATAAATATGTTACGAGCTAATTAAACAAATACTTTTGCGCGAATTGAATCGCTTTGCACGTTCAGAGTGGGTTTTAAGTCTCTGATGAAAAGCATTTCGTTCACCAAACAATCGAACTTGTTACTACACTTTTTCAGAATGCTAAAACGTTTCAGTAGGTCTTTCGGGACTTCGCTGTGCTGTTCGTGGTAGTGTTTATATATTGAAGATGCCTTTCGTTTATGTCCATCCACGCGTGTGTGTAAGTGTCCGCGTGTATAGCCCACATAACCCGCATCACACAGGTCACATTGAAATTGATAAACGACGCGTTGTTGGTTGACAATCTGTGGCTTGATTTCTCGTACTTTAAGATCTTGGCTTACTTTGCGGCTAACAAATACTGGCTGGACAGTTGTCTGCACCTTCATGCTAAGATTCTTGAGCTCTTTCTTAACATAATTTGCTGATTCTTGATCTTTGAAAGGTATGACCACACGAACAATGGATATTGGTTCTTTGGGCGTCTGTGTGGGCTGCGTACCAACAATTCTTGATTGTAAGAAGGTGTTAATGGTAGAATTTACCAGGCGCCCCGGGTATTTAAGCCGTGCGAAAACTTTCTTTAGGCGATCACACTCATCAGAGAAATGGGCCCAGGAGGAAGATAATCGGTGTGCGCGATCCAGCATAGTTTTCAGCAAGCTCCGTTTGTAGCGATTGTCTACATGGCTTTGGTAGTGTAATAGTAGGCCCGTGTTTGTTGGTTTCACATATACCTTGGTTTCAATCCGAGGTGCATGGTTGAGTAGTTCGGTGCCAAGGAAAGGAAGCTTGCTGTTCTTCTCCACCTCCATGGTGAATTTGACCGAAGTGTGGGCGCTGTTGAGGGTATGCAAGAAGGTAGTTGCTGTTGCTAGATCAGGCATTACAGTGAGTGTATCATCAACATATCGACGATAATAGGATGGAAGTTTTCTTTGTCGCTCAAGGGTATCTTCGATGGATGACATGAAGACGTTTGCTAATAAGGGCCCGAGAGGGGACCCCATAGCAACGCCATCTGTCTGTTCGTATAGAGCTCCGTTAAATTGAAATAGTTGGCCTTTGGTGGCTACGTTTAGGAGGTCAATAAGATCTGTTCTGGTAAGGGCAAGATTGTGAGTAGTATTGAACCAATTGTTCGAAAAGGCTCTGTTAACCAAGATCTCTATTGTTTCGTCCAAAGGCACGTTCGTGAATAACGAGGAGACATCATACGAAACCAAGATTTCACCCTTGTTGATCTTCAGCTCGTGAATCTCTTTTGTGAAATCAAAATTATCAGTAACTGTATACTGATTAAGGGACAAGGGCTTCAATTTACAGACGTACACGCGAAATGGAGAAAAATCGACCATAACTGCAATTGGCGATAATTCCTTTATTGTACCCTGTACGTTAAAAAAATTTCACAGATTATCACGTTTGGTATCGTAAATTGTTCCAAGGATGTTGTTACGGAACAGCAGCAGTTATATTAACAGGCTCACTAACTGGTCCAAATCCTTTGCTATTTGCAGCCTCCACAGTAATGGTAAATTTTGAGTCCACATTTATGCTAACGATCTCCAGATACTGTGTTGGCGCTTGTACTTCGCGACTTGTTGTTTCGTTGGGGATCTCAAAGCTGAACATACTATAAAACGCTAAGTTTGCTTTCTCCTAACAATATCAAAATGTTAGAATAAATTAAAAAATCTATCAATCATGAATAAATGAATGAAATCGGGGATCAAGGGAAATGTTCTCATCAAATTGAAGTAGATGGTAGGGTTAGAAATAATGAATTTAAACTGATCGGAGAAATGACAACTTCCTTAAATATCTTTAATTACTTGACATGGAACTAACTTTGTTTTATCGATCACATTACTTACCTTCTTTGTTTTTATCTGCTGGAAAACGAAGCCCTTCGAGTAAGTAAGGAACTTATCTCTGTTGCACAAGTCTTCAAATCCACAATCATTCAATTCACACAGACCGTTAGCGTTTTCAGACCTCTGGTAGCTGTACGAGACGCAATTCGGTTCATCGTGACAAGCTTGAAGACAGTTGAACCAGTCTGTGCCGTGAAACTGTTTGAAAACATGACCGACGTTTGATACGCGGTTATTTTCTGTGACTAGATGTAATTTTCGTAATGGTGGACATGTTAAAAATACCAGGAAAACGTTAAGATAAACAAGGTTTTTTAAGAACAGCATGATTCCAAACATGAAGGGAAGACGGGGTTCTTCCCTCACGAATGAAGCGATTGAACTCTGGACAAAGTTGCAGTTTGCTTTGATGTTCGTTAAACACTAGAATGATTGACAAATCGGGCGCGAATTTTTTGTGCAATTTCATCAATGTCTTCACCTGCCATTATTCAAACTTTGACCTGTTTTTCGATGAGCTTCATTTGACAAAGAACTTTAATTATTTTGATGAATATAGTTCACAGCATAACACGTAACTCACACAACAACTAAGCTTTAATATTTCTTGTCTTAATTAAATCATTCCTTTTAATGTGACCTATTTTCGAGAAATGCCTCAGAAAATTATTGATGTATTTTGATAATGACTGGTGCAAAGTTTTCAAAACTGACGATTGTTTAACAATAGCCTCTGACCGGCTAATGGCTACGTTTTGTCACTGTGTACGGTTTTTATGAAAACGATCTATATTGCATATCGCTTTTTGATAAAAATTATTTCATGGTATATCATTCTTAATGAGTATATTGGTTAGGCATTTGAATTTTTTTCTTCTTCATTAAATTTCTTTTGACTTACAGATTAATTTCTGACGCGAGGGTGTTGTACAGCGGAAATTACCCAGTTTATTGGTAGACCTTAGTAAACATTAATCCTTTAACTCCAAAGATCTGATTGTTAATTCTCCTCTCTAGCTGCTACACATTTCTTTTTAAATTAGTTATGATAATTTAGTGTAAGATCAAGATAACAACTTCTACCTGATTAATTTTAGTTTTCTTAGAACCTGTTTGAAGGATAATGTTTGGATATTATAAGGAGAAGTTCCATGTTAATCACTTCTGGGAGTTAAAGGGTTAAAGCGATTAATTATTAACCAGACATCTGTGTGTCCTAAATTATAAACTAGGAACTGATTACGTGAGATACCCAACACAATGACCCAAAAAGGCCTAACACAATTGTAAGAATACAACGCAGAAATACTCTTTATAAACCAGAAATTGCCCAAAAAGTATAAAACGCGAATTTTGCTATCTTAAGTTTATTAAAACATTACCACTTTAAACTTCTATAGCTTAAATTGAGACATCAGCCTCTTTTATTTTTATGTTTGTGATACGAAACATTAAAAACTCAGCAATCGACGCTTTATCTAAGAAAATTTTGGCGGTAGGGTTTATAAACGAACTGATAACCTTTAAATATCTCCAAAGTACACTGATACTGGAATTGAAACTAGCGGTACTTATGTTCCATTCACCTTAACAGGTTCACTGGCCGGTCCGTACCCTTTACTAGTTGACGCCGACACTGTTATTGCGTATTCTGAATCCGCCTCTAAGTTTGTCAACAAGAGTAACCGCTTTGCTTTGTCTACTTCTTTACTCATTCTTTCTGCTCCCTCCTTTGATCGGGTATAATTCACTCTGTAACTTATGATTGTCCCATCTCGTTTACCATTTGGTACTCTATCCCAACTGACCAATATGCTTGTTGAGTTCTGTCTCTCAGCTGATAAATTTTGGGGTGCTGCTTTGGGTCCTTACATGTATAGAAAGAGAGGCATCAGAATGTAACGCAATTGATCAGTCCAGAAAGTAAGCAGGTGAGCAGGCAAGCGGTAAGTAATGGCTATGTAGGTAGATTGGTACATTGGCTGGTAGTACTTAAGTATTATCGTCATTCGCTCTGACGAAGGGTTAGCGCTCGAAACGTCAGCTTTGAAACTCTTTACGGTGGCCAATTTACGTTATCAACTCAGTTGATAATAACAAATTACCATGTTATACTCTCCCACAGACGCAGCACCACAGTTTCTTCAGGAACAAGCCTCCTTTATTCACTGGTGAGTAGGTAGGTTGCCGGTTTGTGAGCATGGAAGTCGATTTTAAGTAATTACTTAGAAAGGTGGGCACAGTCGTCAGATAGGAAGGTTGGTGGGTAGATAGGCGGACGATTAGATGGGGGAGTGGATATATAAGTGGGTGGGGGGGGGGGTGGGGGGGGGGGTGGAAAGGAAGCAGAGTAGGACAGTAGGTGGGTAGGCGACCATAGGTGGGTAAGCAGGGAAGCAGGTTAATCGGTAGGAACATCGAGACGTAGATAGGTTGGTAGGTAGCTAAGATGCGACAGGAAGGAAAGTAAATGAATAGATAAGAATGTAGGTAGAGAAGGAATGGTTAGGTAGGTAGATAAGTGGGGAGGTTGGTAGTTAGGTTCAACTTCTCATTATGTGATGGAACGCAGCTCTTCAGTCAGAGCTGTCCTCCTCCTGCAACGCTTGTTTCGTAAGTACATTTGCAGAAAGCAGAGAAAAGAAGGGGTAAACATTTAGATAAAAAGGATGGTAGGCAGGTCGCTTGGGGGTAGGTATGCAGTTAGGTAGCGAACAGCAACAGAGATTGATACAATGTAAAACAGTATGTCAAAACTTACTGTCTTCGTCTGTCTTTGCTGAAAGCATCGCGCTGGAAGGACCATCCCCACATTGATTGAATACTAACACTGTTATGTTGTACCTTCTGTGTATTTTTAATCCTGTAAGGTTGATGTAAGGCAAGGGAGCTTTAACCACACTCCTATTAATTTCCTTCTTACCGGACCTTAAGGAGTAAATCACTTTGAATTCTGGGATCAATTCGAGAGTCTGATTGGTTGGTACAACATCCCACGTGATGAAAAGACTGGTTATCGTCTTGTTCACCTCTTTAACATTTTGAGGCGGAATCATGGGAACTGAAATGGAGACTTAGTTCTATTAGTATTATAATTTCTCAAGTCTAAAGTAAATTACTATCAAGTAAAAAAATGATCTTCGCAGCTGTGCTGGATATTTAAAAACTCGTTTAGAAACGGAAGCCTGCTAAAAACAGGTTTCAACGGAATTCAAAACCGCACCTCTCAGGTTCTAGTTGGATGCTAAAATTTGCCTCGCTTCATTTGTGTGGCTTTGGTGTTTAGCTGATAGTAGCGGCCCAACTATCCAACAAACTTACCACGTAATCTTCTAACTTTGCAAGTGGTTTATTTGGCCGGCAACCGATAGAAAGAGCGATTTATTACTTTAACAAAAATGAGAAAATTTTTAACTGTCTATGAGTTTATCGGAGCGATATGTTTTGACCAATCAGGGCGCCCGTAGTTTTTAAGCTATTTCATAATTGACGGTGTTTTTACACAGCCTTCCCTTTATGCGCTGCGGTCATATTTCCGACAAGATAATGAGGGTGTCAGTCTTAAAAAACCGTTTGCTTCGGATTCGTCAGATCAAACATAAAGTTAAAACTAGCTTTTAGTAGTAATTAACCAACAACTCACTATTTTTCTAGCCTTCAATTCTGTAAATTGCATGACGAGTTTTTAAGAGAATTAAATTGGTCACCTGAGTCATTCAGTGCGCAGATGTTTTCCTTCTCTGAAGTGGCACACTCGTCAGTCTGCGGGATATAGGTTTTAGATTAAAAGAACATCGAAAATTAGACATAGGTGAGATAAAGCTTTTCAAATAAACGTTTGTACAAAACTACGTTTTAATAACCAATGTTTAATTTCAAGCCGGTAATTATGCAAATAACTTTTTGAGTAATCTCCAATGTATGCAGCTCCTCTTCAAATGATTTAGCTTAGCGTCTGACTGAGCCTTCAGTAATGGTAATTTTAAAAAAATATCCAGATGATTGACAAGAATATGTTCGCTAAAAAGTCTTTGTTTATCAGCTTTGTAAAAAAAAACTTCTTCAGAGAATATCGAAACAAAAAATTGAAAATAAATTCTGGTTTTTCTATACTCAAAATTGGATAAGAATATTTAGAGCTTAACGCAAAGGCAAGGCAAATTGACACCTGCATATCGTTTGAACATTTTTGAACAAATGATAATTAACATGACTAAGACAAGGCATGTGAAAAAGCCGATATATTCGATTAGCTAACGCTTCCGACAGCAGTGATAAACAATTTAGGCAAACATTCAAACAGAAAAACTCAAGAGCAAAAGCACCGAGCGGACGTATTTCTCTGCAATTTTAAGTAATATAAACATTGGTTTAACTGATCAAATAAAACTTAAGCCTGCAAATAATGAAATTAATGGATAGATTGAAGAAGGAAAGGGTGTCTATAAAACGTCTTAGATTTAAAACGCTTCCTAGAGAAAATATTAAAAGTGCATGGAAATTAGCAGAAAGACAAACATGTTTGCATTCCTAAAATGAAGAATTAAAAGAGGAAGTCTTTATTTCTGGTAGAAAAAGCCGAAGTAGATGGAAAATAGGTTTCATGTTTGAGATACCCATGATCCCAAGAGCTTTCGTCGAATGTGAAATTATTTTGACTAACAAACAGTAACGTCCCTGGCTTTGGCTGCCTCACAGAAAATTGAATTCAAAATAAATAAAATTAAACCTGTGACTGTACTTGCTGGCTAAAATGAAAGCTAGTTTGAGCTGCGAACTGCAACAAATGACGTCGACTACTGCATCAGAATTACAACCTTGTTTTACTTAATACAGCACTCACTTTACTCGTCCTTATCTGCTGAAACACAAATCCTGGGGAGTGAAAGAGAGACCCTTCTCTGTCGCAAAAGTCTTCAATTCCACAGTCATTCAATTCACACAGACCGTTGGCTTCTGCCGATCTCTGGTAGTTGTACGAGATGCATCTTGGATCATCATGGCAGGTTTGTAGACAGTTGAACCAGTCTGTTGCAGTAAAGGCTTCAAAAACGTGGCCGGCTAAAACATGGTTGTTCTTTGTGGTGGGCTGAATTGCAAATATCAGTTTGTGCTGAACAAAAATTAACACCAACTTGAGAAATACCAAGTATTTGAGCATGACGATATGAATGATATTCTTCTCACGTTATTAATGACAGAGAGCATCTGATATTTAGGGGAATTACCATAAGTGACTGCTCTTAAAAGCTCAAATTAATTGGCCAATGTCTATTTTCTGAAGTCAACTCATTTTGTTTACGTTTTAACGCTTCTAAATATTATTTTTCATTCCCCTTCAAATAATTCACTCTCGTCTCCAGAAACTTAATAGACCGCAACGATATGGGTATCGTAAATTAAAATTTAAGTGAGGTACTTACTATCTTTTTAGCTTAATTCTGCATTTAAAAATCGCAGCAGGTGATCTCCAAATTTTCTATTTTAAAAAAAAATTGCTCAAACGCAAAGACAAGTGACACATATAAATAATTGCTTTTACCTCTTTCAGAATTTAAGCCGAACTTTTGTTATCGAAAGCGCATTTGCACTTCAAGTCCGACCATATTTTATGATAGGAAATAAATTACGAACGCCTTCACTGGAATTCATCCCCACTGATGAGATAACAAAATCATTGGAAAAGCTTGATTCTTGCGGACGTGACAAAATAGCGTCTGCTCAGATCGCATACCTCATGATTTCCGCTTTGACATCCATAAACTCCCATATCATAGGGTTTACCCCGCAAGTGGGCAAGGTTTAATGAATGTGTGGTTGATTGACTACCCTTTCGAGCAGTTTAGGCTCAATTTGCCCGCTTCGAACCCGCGATGTGGAAAAATGCTTGAACGAATAAAGATTTTGCGGGAGTTTAGCACAAAAAAGTGACCAACACTTCCATATAAACAGGCAACAAAGTTTTCCCCTGAAATATGATAACTTCAACCTACGTTCATGCACTGCGAAGATGATTTTGTTATGTCTCATGATCAACTGTGAGGATAAGTTGAATGAAATGCATAGCTACTTGGTACCACTTGTAACCACATTAATACTCTGTGATTTGCATTGGAAATAGAGTTTGTTTTGAAAATTGAAAGTAATGCGAAGGGAATTTAAAGGATTCTTTGTAATAAAACAAACAGAAAAGCCTTGACTGTGCTCTGTATTGTTGAAAAGAACGCAGGATGCGGTTAGAGCACGAAAGAAGTGTAGTGAGGAACACGAGACGTGGTCGAGTGTTTCTCCCCACTTCTTGAATGTTTCACAACAAAACATGGAACAGTTAGGGCTTCTCTATTTGTTATTTGTTATACATTTCTAAGATCAAATGACTAAATATCTTTATTGCGCCTTTAATCTTTACTATTTCCTTTTTTTGTTTATGCTGCTCCTTTTCTCTCTCAGTTCCCCCTGGCCCCCTCCCTCCTTTCGTTTCTTCCATTCATTCTAGAGGGGATACGAGAGACCGATTAGTGGGAAGTGGAATACTCGAGAGGAAGGGCACGAATTAACAACGTTATACTTTTTTGACAGCAAAATTGCTGTCGGGGATCTACCCTTTGGAAAGGAAGGAAATGATACAATTTTCACATATTTCGGCCTTCGGAAATGATTTTTATTTATGGTTGAATCATGACTATTCGATGAAAAGACGTATTGAAGACGAAATTATGATTTCAGCCAAGATTCAACCTCGTTCCGCGGGTCCTCTCTCTTCCACCCTCTCTCTTGAGGGAACGATGTCGCCAAATATTTTAATGACTTAGAACTAGTGATCAAGCGTAGTCTTTTTGGGTTCTGGTCACTCGTGGACATTCGTGGTCACTCGTAGTAACTGGCGTGAGTAAGGGTGACCAAGCCTAGATGAGAAATCTTTGACCAGATGTTAATTAGTTGCCTGCAATAAACTTGGCTTACTTCTTGCACTTGAGCGCTGTGCCACTAAATCTTAATCAGACTCCAAAAGAAAGTGTTTCAATGTTTTTTCCTGAGTGGATGCGTGTGCGACAGAGTTGAGGTACTTATCTACTCATCCGGCTTTGTTTTTCAACAGATAAGAAAAATTAAGGTAAGTATTAATTGGTTGCATGTTCATTTCAATTGCGGTAAAGTTGGGCACCTTTATTATGATGAAGCAACAAAGAATTTCAGAGAAGGAAAACTGCAATAGGAAATGAAAGTCCTGAATTTGGATGCGTAGATGTATGTGAGGCATTAGGGACTTGTCAGAAATTAGCAGGGGGGGAGGGGGGGTGGAAACAGAGGGGGGTTCACAACTTTTTGAGCCTCAGAAAAGGGAGGGGTCATGAAAAATGGGCAGTTAAAAGGGGAAAGGGTCATGCAAATATATGCCCGTGATCATGTAGAGGTTCACCCACAGAAGAAAAAGGAAGTTCTTTATTTGGCAAAAAAAAGAGAAAAATACAACGTTTTACGGAACTTTATGGATATAAACTGTGAAGTACTATAGCAAGAATTTAACAAACATGTACTTTTCATTTATAACAATGCTATATAGTCTTATTGAAATTATGAATAATGTTGTTATTAATAATGTTAGTAGACAAAGAACAGATTAGAAATATATTTTGAGTTTTCATAATACTGACGCACCCTAGTGTATTGCAAGAACTAGATTTTATCATTTATACAAGAGGGGGAGGGTCATGATATTTTAGGCCAAGCTCAAGGGGAGGGTAAGCAAATTTCACTCCCATTGCAGGGATGGGTCACCTAATTTCCGAACCCAAATTTAAAATTCCCACCCCCCCCCCCCCCCCTGCTAATTTCTGACAAGTCCCTTAAAAGTAAACTTGCATTTTATCCCAGCTAAGACACATGTTATTGCGGTGGCACAATGCCGTATGCTCTTGTCTCTGCTTTCCTTGTCATTCAGTCTTTTAGTTTTCCAAATCCCTATTACAATATTCGAAAATTAATATCAGTAGTTTAGGGATGTGCATTGTCTATTTGAGAAGAAAAGCAAAAGGAAGGGCAAATTAAATAAAATAAAGCGCTGAAAAATTAAAATAAAAACGCAAGCGGTCTCTTCTATTAAAATTTTTGACAAAACTTTAAGTAAAACAGCAATGGTTTCTTTCGATTTCGTATATTGGCTGAAGATGACTTCTCTGTGATTATAAAACGTATTTCTTGAACTCAAGTGAACAAAGCCTTTTCATTTAATCGATCGACAGTTGTCCAAAGATGATTTGAATGTCAAACACACTGGAGTAAGCGTTCAGGGGTCAAAGGAGTTAACTACAGCCACAACACGCACTAAGGATAACACAAGACTGACGCTGAGACCCAATAATTTAGATGATTAAGTAGCACCTGGCCCTATACTCCCAACGGAATGAAAAGAAAAGCAAAATAATCACTTGAGCAATTCAGTGATAGTTCTAATATGACTTTGAAGTAGAGGAGCATTTTGCCAGCGTTGTAAAATTTAGTGTTTCACATAACCCGCGAGGAGGGCATGTTTTCTGGCGGGCGAGTGATAAATGTTCTGATTGATTACATTATTGACAGAGGCAGCCTTAGTGAATTTGTAAGATCGAGAAAAACCTGACGCGCTTCAAAGAGGTGTACAACGAAGAGAAAAATAGGCGGGAGGGGTAAGAATGACAAACAAGTGTAAGGGGATAAGGTGGTTTGTTCGCTCCAGGCTTTCCCCGATCTAAATAACTATATATGGTAGCTACAAAACTCAATCGGAATGATAAGCACTCGCTCGCCGATAATAAAGGCCTGCAATACAGTCCATATTTTTCCGACCATTGTGCTTCCAACTAGTGACATCAGAGGATAATGAATTCCACCCAAACCATCCCAAATGTAACCACTGACATGAATTGTGCAATCAAAGGAATGGGCTTTGATTAGAATTTACAGGGTACTGTCCGAACAGGAATTCTTTATTTGTGTAGCAGTAGCAGTAGTTACCAAATGTAAATCGTCGTGTGTTACACAGTGTTGTAATTCGTGTACCCAATGCAACATTTAAGAATCAATGAAAGAAAATAATTATTCTTAACTTTTCAATCTTAGCGCAGTGGATCTGTCTTTACCAACATGTCTGATCTTATTTATGTGGTCAAGCTGACTATTACTAAAACATACCTTGAGACAAACAAAACCAAGGGCATTAGATGAGTAAATGTGACAATAAACTTCCATTTTAAGCACGTACTCCTGAGTGAAGACCCATGGATATTACTAGTTTCTTTTACTATGTATAGAATAAGAGGGCCGAATGGCGAAAAAATATTAAAAGGCTAAAAATCCTTTACTATTTGTAGCCTTCATTGTAATGGTAAATTATGAGTTCTCGTGAAAGGCAACTATCTCCAAATACGTTGTTTGACTTTGGTTTCGTGATTTTTCGCTTTTTTCGTGTTTCCTGATGTAACATTTACTCTGTATCTCTGTATTACATCCGATCCTCTATTAAATGGTATTCTGCATCAGGTGACCAGTATAAAGGATGAATTTACCCTTTATGTTGCAATATTTGGTGGCACCTGAGGCAAAATACATTTTATTAACTACCATAACAAACAAGCATGGCTACGAAAACATAAGGTAACCTAAAGAATCCTCCAGTTTACAGAGAAGCAAAAACTAGATTTCTTGATCAGAAATCAATCGAGAAGCTTCGAAAGAAACGATTTATTATATTACTCACTTTGCTAATCTTTTTCGCAAGGAGGACCTCACTTGACGGACCATTCCCACACTGGTCGTAGGCCAAAACTTTGATTTCGTACTTTTTCCCACAACTAATCCTGTAAGGTTGAAATGAATCGAGGAAACACTATTTATTTTTCTTTCTGCTTGTGAAAATCGACTTCCTACGATGGCACAGTATTCAACGTTGTGTCCTAAAATTTCCTAGAGTACGTGTAAGGGGGGGGGGGGGGAGAGGGGACTCGTAGGCTAAAAATTTCCCCATATGTGTGATTGGTTGGTAGGACATCCCATGAGATGAATATGCTTTTGGCGGTACTGTTCACAAAGGTGACATTTTGTGGCGGAGTCCCAGGAACTAAAATGAAGGCTAACATCTTAAACTCTTCATTTAAACCTGTCAAACTTGTAAACGTGTTTCATTTGACATAAGACTTTTATTCTTTTTAATAAAAATTGATTTACAGCATAATACATACCTAGCTTAAGAACTAAACATCAATATTTCTTAGCTTAATTACATCATTTTTTAAATAGTTCTTACCTTTCCACCAAAAATTGTTCCGGGACGTTTACCCGCAACAAGTAACTGTATGATGATAATTACTTTTGCAATTTTTTACAAAGCTGACGATTATTAACAATTATCCCATGTAACAGCCTACGGTTTTTATCAGACCATTTACAGACGTACACACGAAATGTAGAAAAATCGACCATATCTGCAATTGGCGATAATTCCTTTATTGTACCCTGTACATTAAAAAAATTTCACAGATCACCACGTTTGGTATCGTAAATTGTTCCAAGGATGTTGTTACGGAACAGCAGTTATATTAACAGGCTCACTAACTGGTCCAAATCCTTTGCTATTTGCAGCCTCCACAGTAATGGTAAATTTTGAGTCCACATTTATGCTAACGATCTCCAGATACTGTGTTGGCGCTTGTACTTCGCGACTTGTTGTTTCGTTGGGGATCTTTGATGTAATATTTACTCTGTATTTCTGTATCAAGCCCCGTCGTTTACCATCAGGTATCCTGTCCCAGGAGACCAGTACACAGGACGAATTCACTCTCACTGCGATAATATTTGGAGGCGCCACCTTAGGCCCTGAAGCCAACCACATTTTATGTACTTAATGAGTGAGCGGGAGGGCCGGGAAGGAAAATATTTGGCTCGAGGTGCACTCTGTCCGTACAGCATTACCTCGAGCCACATATTTTCCTTGTCTGGTCTAACAAAATTCAGTCAATAAGCATTTTGTTATATGATCATTTAGTGCCGGAACTCGCACACAGAAGAAGGGAGCCCACTGGAAATCTAGCAAAATAATCTAGAGTTAACTTGTACATTTTATTGGACTGTTGTGGTAAACTGGCTCGAACACAGAGCGCAAACGGGAGGCATCAGGAGTCTGATCAAGAACTTTTATTCAGGTCGACCGCCGCTTTTTTTTCAATACCTAATTTAGCCTTAAGTAAACGCTCTTTATTATCCTGTCGGTAGGCAAGCGGGGGCTTGCCGGAACACCGACTTTGGTAGATTAAACATCTCTCTAGAGGACTATCTCAAGCAATTTCACTAGACTTTCGAAATGAACAACAAAGTACTCGATACATCAAGCCAAGAAAACACACGATCTTCGAGAACTAAAACCTAACCAAAAGCTCAAGTTGAGGACTTAAAGTAAGGTCGGTAGACGAACTCAAACACGACTAGTGGTGGCGATTACTGTCCGACATTAAGCCCCATTATAGCAGTCAAGGACAAACCATGGAAAATGCAAAAGAGCTATGTGGGTGCGGGGCCGGATGGTTTATCTTCCCAACAGGCTCACGTCAACACGTCCCGCCTTACACTCGCTAGCTTTCACTATGGTTATCTACGGTATTGCACGTGCGGGGCAGTGAGGATCATATGATATATGAAAAGATGTTACTTACTTCTCTCGTCCGTTTTTACCCAGAGGACCTCACTTGACGGATCATTCCCACACTGGTTGTAGGCCCGCACTTTGATTTCGTACCTTCTGTTCACAATTAATCCTGTAAGGTTGAAATATACGTCGGGAACACTAAACACTTCTCTTTTCTCCCATGCCGGTTGACCTCCTACTATTATCGAATATTCCACTTCATATCCGAAAATTTCGTCATTTGTCTGATTCGTTGGCACAGCATCCCATGTGATAAAAATGCTCCTGTACGTGTTGTTTACCATCGTGACATTTTTTGGAGAAGTCCTGGGAACTGAAATGTAGGCTAGTTTCGGTTAACAATGAAATATTCGAGAGCAGATCCTCAGTCTTCTTGGTTGATGTTTTGGTGCGCCTGCGATCTTCTCAACACCAGCGGTAAAGATCACTGACGCACTGGAACACTCCCGACTTAGGACCAGCCTATCATATCATATATGGGAAACTTTAAATTTTGCTCTCGTAATTTGCCCGGAAATTTTAGAAGGAAATTAAAGAGCTTACCTGATCTATCTGAAATGCAACTGTTTTTACCGTGGGAAGGTAAACACCCGTTAACCGAAAAGGCGTATAGCGAGTACATAATTATGTAAATGTGATGATGGTGATGATGATGAACAGACAAGAGAGATTTCGAATACAAATCAATAATTTTTTGGTAATTTACGGAAGACGGAAATGTTCTACGAAAATGCCTTTCAAAATATCGCAACAGTTACACCTCTCAGTATAAGGCTTGATTGCACTCATAAAAGTGGCATGATTTACTTCTGGCAGCAATTAGATTCTTCGAAAATTATGCTGAAGTTATGCTCATTTCTCTGAATTACACTTCTCACCATTGCGATCGAAGTTTGGTTGTTCAGCAAATTAGAGACAAAGCAATTTGAACAAAGACAAAACAGTGATTGCCGGTCAGTTTTTAATAAGGTTCCAATCATGTGTCGTAATATTTCCACATATCTTGAGCAGTTATGCCCCCACTTTTTACTAGGAGGCCCGAGCGTGGTAATTTTTATCATCGAGTACGAGTGCATCGCCCGGCAAATCGTTGATAAAAGAGTTGAGCCTTGAGTATATTCTTTCTGCAAGTGCAGGTGACTCTGATCTGAGTATCTGTCGTTTTAGACGGTTTCAAAACCTCTCTCGTGAGATTGAAGCTCCTTGAACAAAATTGACTGCTGCTGAATAATCTTAATTGCCACAGCAGATACTCGAAGTGAATTCAGAGCGAAATAATGTTACTTTCTCACTTTGTGAAGATCACAGATTCAGATTATACAGGCAGTGCTAACATTAAGATAAAAGCAAAGGAGTAAGCTCGGTTTGCTAAATCAATCCCATAAAAGTATGCCAACAAATCGACAAAAAGCCTGCTTCACAAGTCAAGTAAAGATGCAAGCACCTCATTTATTGAAAGTTGAATCATTGATCATATATAATGAAAGAAAGAGATGGAAGGTAACCATCAAATTTCCCAGTACCTAAAAGGTTATCTCTGAAACCTGTCCTTGATTTGCGGATTTGTTACCTCATTCACATTAAGTCTTATCCGAACACTTTATATATTAAGTAGTGTTTGTTTATGATGCCGATGCTGAACATCCTATAAAACGCTAAGTTTGCTTTCTTCTAATAATATCAAAATGGTTGAATAAATTTAAAAATCTATCAATCACGAATAAATGAATAAAATCGGGGATCAAGGGAAATGTTCTCATCAAATTGAAGTAGATGGTAAGGTTAGAAACAATTAATCTAAACTGATAGGAGAAGTGACAACTTCCTTAAATGCCTTTTATTACTTGACATGGAACTAACTTTGTTTTATCAATCATACTACTTACCTTCTTTATAATTGTTTTTATCTGCTGGAAAACGAAACCCTTCGAGTAAGTAAGGAACTTATCTCTGTTGCACAAGTCTTCAAATCCACAATCATTCAATTCACACAGACCGTTAGCGTTTTCAGACCTCTGGTAGCTGTACGAGACGCAATTCGGTTCATCGTGACAAGCTTGAAGACAGTTGAACCAGTCTGTGCCGTGAAACTGTTTGAAAACATGACCGACGTTTGATACGCGGTTATTTTCTGTGACTAGATGAAATTTTCGTAATGGTGGACATGTTAAAAATACCAGGAAAACGTTAAGATAAACAAGGTTTTTTAAGAACAGCATGATTCCAAACATGAAGGGAAGACGGGGTTCTTCCCTCACGAATGAAGCGATTGAACTCTGGACAAAGTTGCAGTTTGCTTTGATGTTCGTTAAACACGAGAATGATTGACAAATCGGGCGCGAATTTTTTGTGCAATTTCATCAATGTCTTCACCTGCCATTATTCAAACTTTGACCTGTTTTTCGATGAGCTTCATTTGACAAAGAACTTTAATTATTTTGATGACTATAGTTCACAGCATAACACGTAACTCACACAACAACTAAGCTTTAATATTTCTTGTCTTAATTAAATCATTCCTTTTAATGTGACCTATTTTCGAGAAATGCCTCAGAAAACTATTGATGTATTTTGATAATGACTGGTGCAAAGTTTTCAAAACTGACGATTGTTTAACAATAGCCTCTGACCGGTTAATGGCTACGTTTTGTCACCGTGTACGGTTTTTATGAAAACAATCTATATTGCATATCGCTTTTTGATAAAACTTATTTCATGGTATATCATTTTTAATGAGTATATTGGTTAGGCATTTGAATTTTTTTCTTCTTTATTAAATTTCTTTTGACTTACAGATTAATTTCTGACGCGAGGGTTATGTACAGCCAGTTTATTGATAGACCTTGGTAAACATTAATCTTTTAACTCCAAAGATCTGATTGTTAATTCTCCCCTCTGGCTGCTACACATTTCTTTGTAAATTAGTAATGATAATTTAGTGTTAAATCAAGATAACAACTTCTACCTGATTAATTTTAGTTTTCTCATTACCTGTTTGCAGGATAATGTATGTATATATTATAAGGAGAAGTTCCATGTTAATCACTTCTGGGAGTTAAGAGGTTAAAGCGATTAATTATTAACCAGACATCTGTGTGTCCTAAACTATAAACCAGGAACTGATTACGTGAGATACCCAACACAATGACCCGAAAAGGCCTAACACAACTGTAAGAATACAACGCAAAAATACTCTTTATAAACCAGAAATTGCCCAAAAAGTATAAAACGCGAATTTGATGTCTTAAGTTTATTAAAACATTACCACTTTAAACTTCTATAGCTTAAATTGAGACATCAGTCTCCTTTATTTTTATGTTTGTGATACGAAACATTAAAAACTCAGCAATCGACGCTTTATCTAAGAAAATTTTGGCGGTAGGGTTTATAAATGAACTGATCATCTTTTAAATATCTCCAAAGGTACACTGATACTGGAATTGAAACTAGCGGTACTTATGTTCCATTCACCTTAACAGGTTCACTGGCCGGTCCGTACCCTTTACTAGTTGACGCCGACACTGTTATTGCGTATTCTGAATCCGCCTCTAAGTTTGTCAACAAGAGTAACCGCTTTGCTTTGTCTACTTCTTTGCTCATTCTTTCTGCTCCCTCCTTTGATCGGGTATAATTCACTCTGTAACTTATGATTGTCCCATCTCGTTTACCATTTGGTACTCTATCCCAACTGACCAATATGCTTGTTGAGTTCTGTCTCTCAGCTGATAAATTTTGGGGTGCTGCTTTGGGTCCTTAAATGTATAGAAATAGAGGCATCAGAATGTAACGCAATTGATCAGTTCAGAAAGTAAGCAGATGAGCAGGCAAGCGGTAAGTAATGGCTATGTAGGTAGATTGGTACATTGGTTGGTAGTACTTAAGTATTATCGTCATTCGCTCTGACGAAGGGTTAGCGCTCGAAACACCAGCTTTGAAACTCTTTACGGTAGCTAATTTACGTTACCAACTCAGTTGATAATACTAAATTACCATGTTATACTCTCCCACAGACGCAGCACCACAGTTTCTTCAGGAACAAGCCTCCTTTATTCACTGGTGAGTAGGTAGGTTGCCGGTTTGTGAGCATGGAAGTCGGTGTTAAGTACTTACTTAGAAAGGTGGGCCAGTAGTCAGATAGGAGGGTTGGTGGGTAGATAGGCGGACGATTAGATGGGGGAGTGGATATATAAGTGGGTGGGGTGGGGGTGGGGGTGGGGGTGGAAAGGAAGCAGAGTAGGACAGTAGGTGGGTAGGCGACCATAGGTGGGTAAGCAGGGAAGCAGGTGAGTCGGTAGGAACATCGAGACGTAGATAGGTTGGTAGGTAGCTAAGATGCGACAGGAAGGAAAGTAAATGAATAGATAAGAAAGTAGGTAGAGAAGGAATGGTTAGGTAGGTAGATAGGTGGGGAGGTCGGTAGTTGGGTTCAACTTCTCATTATGTGATGGAACGCAGCTCTTCAGTCAGAGCTGACCTCGTCCTGCAACGCTTGTTTCGTAAGTACATTTGCAGAAAGCAGAGAAAAGAAGGGATAAACATTTAGATAGAAAGGATGGTAGGCAGGTAGCTTGGGGGTAGGTATGCAGTTAGATATCGAACAGCAACAGAGATTGATACAATGTAAAACATCATGTCAAAACTTACTGTCTTCGTCTGTCTTTGCTGAAAGCATCGCGCTGAAAGGACCATCCCCACATTGATTGAATGCTAACACTATTATGTTGTACTTTCTGTGTATTTTTAACCCTGTAAGGTTGATATAAACCGTGGAAGCTGTAACCTCACTCCCATGAATGTCCCTCTTACCGGACTTTAAGGAGTAAATCACTTTATATTCTGGGATCAGTTCGAGATTCTGATTGGTTGGTACAACATCCCACGTGATGAAAAGACTGGTTATCGTCTTGTTCACCTCTTTAACATTTTGAGGCGGAATCGTGGGAACTGAAATGGAGACATAGTTCTATTGGCATTATAATTTCTAAAGTCTAAAGTAAATTACTATCAAGTGTAAAAATTGATCTTCGCAGCTGAGCTGGATACTAAAAAAATCTGTTAGAAAAAAAGCCTGCAAAAATACAGGTTTCAACGGAATTCAAACCCGCACCTCTCAGGTTCTAGTTGGATGCTAAAATTTGTCTTGCTTCATTTGTGTGGCTTTGGTGTTTAGTTGATAGTAGCGGCCCAACTATCCTACAAACTTACCACGTAGTCTTCTAACTTTGCAAGTGGTTTATTTGGCCGGCAACCGATAGAAAGAGCGATTTATTGCTTTAACAAAAATGGGAAAATTTTTAATTGTCTTTGAGTTTATCGGAGCGATATATTTTGACCAATCAGGGCGCCCGTAGTTTTTAAGCTATTTCATAATTGACGGTGTTTTTACACAGCCTTCCCTTTATGCGCTGCGGTCATATTTCCGACAAGGTAATGAGGGTGTCAGTCCTCAAAAACCGTTTGCTTCGGATTCGTAATAGGTCTGGAAAATGAGGCTGGTTTAATCAGATCAAACATAAAGTTAAAACTAGCTTTTAGTAGTAATTAACCAACAACTCACTATTTTTCTAGCCTTCAATTCTGTAAATTGCATGGCGAGTTTTTAAGAGAATTAAATTGGTCACCTGAGTCATTCAGTGCGCAAATGTTTTCCTTCTCTGAAGCGGCACACTCGTCAATCTGCGGGATATAGGTTTTAGATTAAAAGAACATCGAAAATTAGACATAGGTGAGATAAAGCTTTTCAAATAAACGCTTGTACAAAACTACGTTTTAATAACCAATGTTTAATTTCAAGCCGATAATTATGTAAATAACTTTTTGAGTAATCTCCAATGTATGCGGCTCCTCTTCAAATGATTTAGCTTAGCGTCTGACTGAGCCTTCAGTAATGGTAATTTTAAAAAAATATCCAGATGATTGACAAGAATATGTTCGCTAAAAAGTCTTTGTTTATCAGCTTTGTAAAAAAAACTTCTTCAGAGAATATCGAAACAAAAAATTGAAAATAAATTCTGGTTTTTCTATACACAAAATTGGATAAGAATATTTAGAGCTTAACGCAAAGGCAAGTCAAATTGACACCTGCATATCGTTTGAACATTTTTGAACAAATGAGAATTAATATGACTAAGACAAGGCATGTGAAAAAGCCGATATATTCAGTGATAAACAATTTAGGCAAACTTTCAAACAGAAAACTCAAGAGAAAAAGCACCGAGCGGACGTATTTCTCTGCAATTTTATGTAATATTAACATTGGTTTAACTGATCAAATAAAACTTAAGCCAGCAAATAATGAAATTAATGGATAGATTGAAGAAGGAAGGGTGTCTATAAAACGTCTCAGATTTAAAACGCTTCCTGGAGAAAATAAAGGGGATTTTTGTTTAGAAGAAGCGTATTAAAAGTGCATGGAAATTAGCAGAAAGACAAACATGTTTGCATTCCTAAAATGAAGAATTAAAAGAGGAAGTCTTTATTTCTGGTAGAAAAAGCCGAAGTAGATGGAAAATAGGTTTCGTGTTTGAGATACCCATGATCCCATGAGCTTTCGTAGAATGTAAAATTATTTTGACCAACAAACAGAAATGTCCCTGGATTTAGCTGCCTCACAGAAAATCGAATTCAAGATAAATAAAATTAAACCTGTGACTGTACTTGCTGGCTAAAATGAAAGCTAGTTTGAGCTGCGAACTGCAACAAATGACGTCGAATACTACATCAGAATTACAACCTTGTTTTACTTAATACAGCACTCACTTTACTCGTCCTTATCTGCTGAAACACAAATCCTGGGGAGTAAAAGAGAGACCCTTCTCTGTCGCAAAAGTCTTCAACTCCAAAGTCATTCAATTCACACAGACCGTTGGCTTCTGCCGATCTCTGGTAGTTGTACGAGATGCACCTTGGATCATCATGGCAGGTTTGTAGACAGTTGAACCAGTCTGTTGCAGTAAAGGCTTGAAAAACACGGTCGGTTAAAACATGGTCGTTCTGTGTGATGGGCTGAATTGCAAATATCAGTTTGCGCTGAGCAAAAACCAAAACCAACTTGAGAAATAACAAGTATTTGAGCATGACGATATGAATGATATTCTTGGGGGAAATCTCTTTTCACGTTATAATGACAGAGAGCATCTGATATTTAGGGAAATTACCATAAGAGACAGCTCTTAAAAGCTCAAATTAATTGGCCGATGTCTATTTTCTGAAGTCAACTCATTTTGTTTTTTACGCTTCTAAATATTATTTTTCATTCCCCTTCAAATAACTCACTCTCGTCTCCAGAAACTTAATAGACCGCAAAGATATGGGTATCGTAAATTAAAATTTAAGTGAGGTACTTACTATCTTTTTAGCTTAATCTGCATTTAAAAATCGCAGCAGGTGATCTCCAAATTTTCTATTTTAAAAAAAGTTGCTCAAACGTAAAGACAAGTGACACATACAAATAATTGCTTTTACCTCTTTCAGAATTTAAGCCGAACTTTTGTTACCGAAAGCGCATTTGCACTTCAAGTCCGACCATATTTTACGATAGGAAATAAATTACGAACGCCTTCACTGGAATTCATTCCCACTGATGAGATAACAAAAACATTGGAAAAGCTTGATTCTTGCGGACGTGACAAAATAGCGTCTGCTCAGATCGCATACCTCATGATTTCCGCTTTGACATCCATAAACTCCCATATCATAGGGTTTACTCCGCAAGTGGGCAAGATTTAATGAATATTGTGGTTGATTGACTACCCGTTCGAGCAGTTTAGGCTCGATTTGCCCGCTTCGAACCTGCGATGTGGAAAAATGCTTGAACGAATAAAGGTTTTTCGGAAGTTTTAGCACAAAAAAGTGACCAACACTTCCATAAAGACAGGCAACAAAGTTGTCCCTGAAATATGATAACTTCAACCTACGCCGGCTCATGCACTGTGAAGATACTCTTCCATGTTTCATGATCAACTGTGAGGATAAGTTGAATGAAATGCATAGCTACTTGGTACCATTGGTAACCACATAAATACTCTGTGATTTGCTTTGGAAATAGAGTTTGCTTTAAAAATTGAAACTAATGCGAGGGGAATTTGAAGGATTCTTTGTAATAAGCCAATAGAAAAGCCTTGACTGTGCTCTGTATTGTTGAAAAGAACGCAGGATGCGGTTAGAGTAATAATAATAATAATAATAATAATAATAATAATAATAACAATAATAATAATAATAATTATAATTTATTACTCATACAGCGCAAAATACATGTGGATATGATCTAATGCGCTAAAGAGCGTGTAGACGAAAGAAGTGTTGTGAGGAACACGAGACGTGGTCAAGTGTTTCTCTCCACTTCTTGAATGTTTCACAACAGAACATAGAACACTTAGGGCTTCTCTATTTGTTAAATAGGGGAAACAAAAGGCAAGGCACGCGGGAAACGAGGAGCGTGACTCGCATTTAACGCTAGCCTCGCGCTTACCTCCGCTGGCCTGAATATTACTCTTGACTGGCTACCTTCACCAATCAAACTATCTTTGCTGCCGTTGAGTTATATTTTCAGAGCGGCAACTGGCCGATAAAATGAGACCATTGGGACTCAATTGGGCGTGAAACCTGGCCTCGGAAGTTTATTGTGGAATTTTATGTTCTTGGCCTGAACGCACACGTAGGGTGATTGACTTTAGCTCACGAGATCACGAATCTCAAAAGCAACATCTTCTGCAAAAATACCTTCGTGTAAACGCAAGATGTTTCTCAATTTCTGTCGCTTATTACATTTCTAAGATCAAATGACTAAATATCTTTATTGCACCTTTAATCTTTTATATTTCCTTTGTATGTTTACGCTGCTCCTTCTCTCTCCATTAGTTCCCCCCCGTCTCCCTCCCTCCTTTCGTTTCTTCCATTCATTCCAGAGGGGATACGAGAGGCTGAAAAGTGGGAAGCGGGATACTCGAGAGGGAGGGCACGAACGAAAAACGATAACAGCGCTATATTTTTTTGACAGCGAAATTGCCGTCGGGGATCTGCCCTTTGGAAATGAAGGAAATGATACAATTTCACATATTTCGGCCTTCGGAAATGGTTTTATTTATGGTTGAATCATAATTATTCCATGAAAAGACGTATTGACGACGAAATTATGATGTCAGCCAAGGATTCAACCGCGTTTCCGAGTCCTCTCTCTTCCACCCTCTCTCTTGAGGGAACGATGTCGCCAAATATTTTAATGACTTAGAACTAGTGATCAAGCGTAGTCAGTTTGGGTTCTGGTCACTCGTGGACATTCGTGGTCACTCGTAGTTACTCGCAGTCACTTGTAGTCACTCTTTGTCATTCGTGGTCACTCGTGGTCACTCGCGGTCACTCGTGTGTTCGTTTAGAAATACAACGAGGTCTTGCTTATTGATTTTCACATCGTAGTTGTGGAGTATTTGACAAGTATTTGAATGCGTGACGAAAGCGTGAGTAAGGGTGACCAAGCCTAGATGAGAAATCTTTGACCAAATGTTAATTAGTTGCCTGCAATAAACTTGGCTTACTTCTTGCACTTGAGCTACTTATCTACTCATCCGGCTTTGTTTTTCAACAGATAAGAAAAATTAAGGTAAGTATTTATTGGTTGCATGTTCATTTCAATTGCGGTAAAGTTTGGCGCCTTTATTATGATGAAGCAACAAAGAATTTCAGGGAAGGAAAACTGCAATAGGAAACGAAAGGCCTGAGTTTGGATGCGTAGATGTATGTGAGGCATTAAAAGTAAACTTACATTTTATCCCAGCTAAGACACATGTTATTGCGGTTGCACAATGCCGTATGCTCTTGTCTCCGCTTTCCTTGTGTTTCAGTCTTTTAGTTTTCCAAATCCCTATTACAATATTCGAAAATTAATATCAGTAGTTAAGGGATGTGCATTGTCTATTTGAGAAGAAAAGCAATAGGAAGGGCAAATCAAATAAAATAAAGCGCTGAAAAATTAAAAATAAAAACGCAAACTCTTCTCTTAAAATTTTTGACAAAACTTTAAGTAAAACAGCAATGGTTTCTTTCGATTTCGTATATTGGCTGAAGATGACTTTTCTGTGGTTATAAAACGTATTTCTTGAACTCAAGTGAACAAAGCCTTTTCATTTAATCGATCGACAGTTGTCCAAAGATGATTTGAATGTCCAACACACTGGAGTAAGCGTTCCGGAGTCAAAGGAGTTAACTACAGCCACAACACGCACTAAGGATAACACAAGACTGACACTAAGGCCCATTAATTTGGATGATCAAGTAGCACCTGGCCCTATACTCCCAACAGAATAAAAAGAAAAGCAAAATAATCACCTGAGTAATTCAGTGATAATTTCAATATCACTTTGAAGTAGAGGAACATTTGCCAGCGTTGTAAAATTTAGTGTTTCACATAACCCGCGAGGAGGGCATGTTTACTGGCGGGCGAGTGATAAATGTTCTGATTGATTACATTGTTGCACAGAGGCAGCCATAGTGAGTTTGTAAGATCGAGAAAAACCCGACGCGCTTCAAAGAGGTGTACAACGAAGAGAAAAATAGGCGGGAGGGGTAGGAATGACAAACAAGTGTAAGGGGATAAGGTGGTTTGTTCGCTCCAGGCTTTCCCCGATCTAAATAACTATACATGGTAGCTACAAAACTCAATGGGAATGATAAGCACTCGCTCACCGATAATAAAGGCCTGTATAAGAAAAATCGAGCATAACTGCGATTGGCGATAATTCCTTTATTGTACCCTGTACATTAAAAAAATTTCACAGATCATCACGTTTGGTAGCCTAAATTGTTCCAAGGATGTTGTTACGGAGCAGCAGTTATATTAACAGGCTCACTGACTGGTCCAAATCCTTTTCTATTAGCAGCCTCCAAAGTAATGGTAAATTCTGAGTCCACATTTATGCCAACGATCTCCAGATACTGTGTTGGCGCTTGTACTTCGCGACTTGTTGTTTCGACTCTGTATTTCTGTATCAAGCCCCGTCGTTTACCATTGGGTATCCTTTCCCAGGAGACCAGTACACAGGACGAATTCACTCTCACTGCGATAATATTTTGAGACGCCACCTTAGGCCCTGAGGCCAACCACATTTTATGTACTTAATGAGTGAGCGGGAGGGCCGGGAAGGAAAATATTTGGCTGGAGGTGAACTCTGTCCGTACGGCATTACCTCGAGCCACATATTTTTCTGGTCTGGTCTAACAAAACTCAGTCAATAAGCATTTTGTTATATGACCATTTAGTGCTGAAACTCGCACACAGAAGGGCGCCAATTGAAAATCTAGCAAAATAATCTAGAGCTAACTTGTATATTTTGTTGGACTGTTGTGGTAAACTGGCTCGAACACAGCGCGCAAACGGGAGGCATCAGGAGTCTGATCAAGAACTTTTATTCGGGTCGACCGCCGCTTTTTTCTCAATACCTAATTTAGCCTTAAGTAAACGCTCTTTACTATCCTGTCGGTAGGCAAGTGGGGGCTTGCGGGAACACTGACTTTGGTAGATTAAACATCTCTTTAGAGGACTATCTCAAACAATTTCACGAGACTTTCGAAATGAACAACAAAGTACTCGATACATCAAGCCAAGAAAACAATCGATCTTCGAGAACTAAAACCTAACCAAAAGCTCAAGTTGAGGACTTAAAGTAAGGTCGGTAGACGAACTCAAACACGACTAGTGGTGACGATTACTGTCCGACATTAAACCCCATTATAGCAGTCAAGGACAAATCACTTAAAAGCGGAACTATATGTGTGCACTTGTATCGCAGGACAAAACAAGGCTCACAAGACTTGCGCAAAGACTACAAGATATTCTAAAAAACATAAAAAATTCACAAACGTGTAGCCAGAACACTTCAAATGTAGTTCATAACAATTTTTTATCTTCGAGGCATAACAAGGAAATCAGAATGCACCGAGAAGTGAAACTCACTTTATCATTTGTTTTATTTAAAATTACACAATTTTAATCCTCTTTCTCGGAAAATGCAAAAGAGCTATGTGGGTGCGGGGCCGGATGGTTTATTTTCTCAACAGGTTCACGTCAACACGTCCCGCCTTACACTCGCTAGCTTTCACTATGGTTATCTACGGTATTGCACGTGCGGGGCAGTGCGGATCATATGATATATGAAAAGATGTTACTTACTTCTCTCGTCCGTTTTTACCCAGAGGACCTCACTTGACGGACCATTCCCACACTGGTTGTAGGCCCGCACTTTGATTTCGTACCTTCTGTTCACAATTACACTGTAAGGTTGAAATGTACGTCGGGAACACTAAACACTTTTCTTTTCTCCCATGCCGGTTGACCTCCTTCCATGATTATCGAATATTCTACTTCATATCCGAAAATTTCGTCATTTGTCTGATTCGTTGGCACAGCATCCCATGTGATAAAAATGCTCTTGTACGTTTTGTTTACCATCGTGACATTTTTTGGAGAAGTCCTGGGAACTGAAATGTTGGCTAGTTTCGGTTAACAATGAAATATTCGAGAGCAGATCCTCAGTCTTTTTCTTCTTCGTTGATGTTTTGGTGCGTCTGCGATCTTCTCAACACCAGCGGTAAAGATCACTGACGCACTGGAACACTCCCGACTTAGGACCAGCCTATCGTATCAAGTGGTCAGAAACATTACACTTGCTAAATTTATGGCAGCTTATCGAATTCGGCGGGTCTTAAGTTTAGGCACGATCTGATGGGCCTATTTGAAATAAAGGGTTATCCTGTTTTCTTAATGAGGATATATTTTTTAAAGTAACCCCCCCCCCCAAAAAATTGATGATATCCTAAAAAGATGAGTTCCGCCTGCAAACGCTTACTAAGAGACAATATTTGTTCCGATGTTTTCTTCCGAAAAGTCAGTGCGAAACATATAATGACCTTTGCATCCCTGCATACCGTAGAAGTATCAGTCTACAAATATAACATCAACGATTAACATTCACATGTCTTCATGACTAGAAGCCACAAGTTTGTATAAAGTTGATGATAAACAATTTCTTAATAAGTCTCTGAATAAGATTTTAGCTGTTACTGAAAGAAAAACACACTCATCACAAAAGCATTCATATTCATTACGTTATTTTTTATCTAAACAAATTGTCACCCAAGGTAATATTGTCATGGAATTATTATTTTTACTGGGAAACTTTAAATTTTGCTCTCATAATTTGCCCGGAAAGTTTAGAAGAAAATTAAAGAGCTTACCTGATCTATCCGAAATGCAACTGTTTTTACCATGGGAAGGTAAACACCCGTTAACCTAAAAGGCGTATAGCGAGTACATAATTATATAATTGTGATAATGGTGATGATGAACAGACAAGAGAGATTTCGGAAAACAAATCCATAATTTTTTGATAATTTACGGAGGACGGAAATGTTCTACGAAAATGCCTTGACTGCTGCTGAATAATCTTAACTGCCACAGCAGATGCTCGAAGTGAATTCTGAGCGAAATAACGTTATTTTCTCATTTTGTGAAGATCACAAATTCAGATTATGCAGGCAGTGCTAACATTAAGATAAAAGCAAAGGAGTAAGCTCGGTTTGCTAAATCAATCCCATAAAAGTATGCCAACAAATCGGCAAAAAGCCTGCTTCACAAGTCAAATAAAGATGCAAGCACCTCAGTTATTGAAAGTTGAATCATTGATTATATATAATGAAAGAAAGGGATGGAAGGTAACCATCAAATTTCCCAGTACCTAAAAGGTTATCTCTGAAAGCTGTCCTTGATTTGCCGATTTGTTATCTCATTCGCATTAAGTCTTATCCGAACACTTTATATATTAAGTAGTGTTTGTTTATGATGCCAATGCTGAACATACTATAAAACGCTAAGTTTGCTTTCTCCTAACAATATCAAAATGTTAGAATAAATTAAAAAATCTATCAATCATGAATAAATGAATTAAATCGGGGATCAAGGGAAATGTTCTCATCAAATTGAAGTAGATGGTAGGGTTAGAAATAATGAATCTAAACTGATCGGAGAAATGACAACTTCCTTAAATATCTTTAATTACTTGACATGGAACTAACTTTGTTTTATCGATCACATTACTTACCTTCTTTATAATTGTTTTTATCTGCTGGAAAACCAAGCCCTTCGAGTACGTAAGGAACTTATCTCTGTTGCACAAGTCTTCAAATCCACAATCATTCAATTCACACAGACCGTTAGCGTTTTCAGCCCTCTGGTAGCTGTACGAGACGCAACTTGGTTCATCATGACAAGCTTGAAGACAGTTGAACCAGTCTATGCCGTGCAACTGTTTGAAAACATGACCGACGTTTGATACGCGGTTATTTTCTGTGACTAGATGTAATTTTCGTAATGGTGGACATGTTAAAAATACCAGGAAAACGTTAACATAAACAAGGTTTTTTAAGAACAGCATGATTCCAAACATGAAGAGAAGACGGGGTTCTGCCCTCACGAAGGAAGCGATTGAACTCTGGACAAAGTTGCAGTTTGCTCTAATGTTCGTTAAACTCGAGAATGATTGACAAATCGGGCGCGAATTTTTTCTGCAATTTCATCAATGTCTTCACCTGCCATTATTCAAACTCTGACTTGTTTATCGATGAGCTTCATTTGACAAAGAACTTATTTTGATGAATATAGTTCACAGCATAACACGTAACCCACACAACAACTAAGCTTTAATATTTCTTGTCTTAATTAAATATTTCCTTTTAATGTGACCTATTTTTCGAGAAATGCCTCAGAAAACGATTGATGTATTTTGATAATTGCTTGTGCAAAGTTTTCAAAACTGACGACTGTTTAACAATAGCTTCTGACCGGTTAATGGCTACGTTTTGTCACCGTGTACGGTTTTTATTAAAATGATCTATATTGCATATCGCTTTTTGATAAAAATTATTCATGGTATCTCATTCTTAATGAGTATATTGGTTAGGCATTTGAATTTTTTTCTTCTTTATTAAATTTCTTTTGACTTACAGATTAATTTCTGACGCGAGGGTGTTGTACAGCGGAAATTACCCAGTTTATTGGTAGACCTTAGTAAACATTAATCCTTTAACTACAAAGATCTGATTGTTAATTTTCCTCTCTAGCTGCTACACACTTCTTTGTAAATTAGTTATGATAATTTAGTGTTAGATCAAGATAACAACTTCTACCTGATTAATTTTAGTTTTCTTAGAACCTGTTTGCAGGATAATGTATGAATATTATAAGGAGAAGTTCCATGTTAATCACTTCTGGGAGTTAAGGGGTTAAAGCGATTAATTATTAACCAGACATCTGTGTGTTCTAAATTATAAACCAGGAACTAATTACGTGAGATACCCAACACAATGACCCGAAAAGGCCTAACACAGTAGCAAGAATACACAAAAATACTCTTTATAAACTAGAAATTTCCCAAAAAGTATAAACGTAAATTTTAATATCTAAAGTTTATTGAAACATTACAACTTTAAACTTCTATAGCATAAATAGCACTATGGTGATTTTCGGAAAGGAACGGTCTCGCCTCCATTTTTTGTAACTTTGGCGCTGTGTACTGATCTATTAGATAGCTAATTGAGATCTTCCAACATTTCATGTTGGGAATGCATGCTTCTTCCATCTGACGTCATCTTGGAGCTCTAAACCGTCATCTATACATCATCTTAGTCATGAATAAAGAAGGTAAATTTCTAAAGCAACTTTCACAGCAAAAAATATGGTGTTCACCCGTTCGGAAAACAATTTGTGAATATTTGAAAACACGGCATTATTCACGCATTTTCTGATATTTTCCGAAAAGAAAATCTAAAGTTTTCCCGTTGTTTTCGAGGAGACAAATTGAAGCATGCGTTCCATTATCCAGTAGTTTTCCTTCACAATTAACTCTGGTGCTGATTCGGTGCGGGAGACAATTTTGCGGTTACCAACAGAGTTGACAATGTAAATTAGCCACCGTAAAGAGAGTCCAAAGCCGGCATTTCAAAGGATAACTCTTCGACAGAGCGAATGCACATTATCAACTCAATTGATAAAACCAAATTATCAAAGTCATGAGGCAGGAACGATTAATGTATATATAGGAAAAGATAAAGCTCGAGTCATGAATTATACGCTGAGTGTTCTCAGAAGCAAATATACAAAGGTTTCCGCTGTTCCCTCTTCTTCATCGTCATCACCATCCGGCAGGCACCTTAACAGAATCACTAGCCGGTCCATACCCTTTCCTTGTTGACGCCGACACTGTTATTGTGTAATCTGCTTTCAGCTCTATGTTTTTCAACAAAAGCGACCGCTTTGATCCGTCTACTTTTTCACTCATTGCTATTACTTTCGGCGCCGCCGAATCAACGGTTGTTTGGTTATAATCCACTCTGTAACTTATGATTTTCCCATCTCGTTTACCATCTGGTACTCTATCCCAACTGACCAATATGCTTGTTGAGTTCTCTCTCTCTGCTTTTAAATTTTGGGGCGCTGCTTTGGGCTCTAAAGAAATATAAATTGAAATAGAATTATCAGAATGTAACGCTGTTGATCAGTCCAGAAGGTAAGCGGGTGAGCAGGCAGGCGATAAGTAATGGTATGATGGTAGATTGATACATTTGTGAGTAGGTAGTTAAGTATTATCGTCATTCGCTCTGACGAAGGGCTAACGCTCAAAACGTCACTTGAAACTCTTAACGGTGGCCAACTCAGTTGATGATATCAAATTACACTGGTAAACTCTCCTACAGACGCAGACCCATAGTTTCTTTGGAAACTTACCCCCTCAATTTACTGGTGAGTAGGTGGATTGGTCTGTGAGCATGAGGTCGATTTTTAAGTATTTACTTAGATAAGTAGGTTAGTCGTTAGATAAGAGGGTGATAGGTAGATAGGCGGATGATTAGATAGGGGAAGGGTATATAAGTGGGTGGGGTGGGGTGGGAAGGAAGCAGAGAGGGACGGGTAGGCGAACTGCACCATAGATAAGTAAACAGGGAGGGAGGTGAGTCGGTAGGAACATGAATAGGTAGATAGGTTGGTAGGTAGCTAAGTTGAGACAGGAAGGCAAGTAATTGAATAGATAAGAGGGTAGGTAGACGAAGGAATGTTTAGGTTGGTAGATAGGTTGGAAGGTCGGTAGTTGGGTTCAACTTTTGATTATGTGATGGAACGCAGCCCTTCAGCTAGAGCCATCCTACTCCCTGTAACACTTGTTTCGAAAGTACATTTACAGAAAGCAGAGAAAAGAAGAAGTAAACATTTAGATAGGAAGGATGGTAGGTAGGTAGCCTGGGGGTAGGTATGCAGTTAAATAGCGAACAGCAACAGAGATTCATACAATGTAAAACAGTATGTCAAAACTTACTGTCTTCGTCTGTCTTTGCTGAAAGCATCGCGCTGGAAGGACCATCCCCACATTGATTGAATGCTAACACTGTTATGTTGTACCTTCTGTGTATTTTTAATCCTGTAAGGTTGATGTAAGGCAAGGGAGCTCTAACCACTCTCCTATTAATTTCCTTCTTATCCAACCTTAAGGAGTAAATCACTTTGAATTCTGGGATCAGTTCGAGAGTCTGATTGGTTGGTACAACATCCCACGTGATGAAAAGACTGGTTATCGTCTTGTTCACCTCTTTAACATTTTGAGGCGGAATTGTGGGAACTGAAATAGAGACTTAGTTCTATTAGCATTATAATTTCTCAAGTCTAAAGTAAATTACTATCTAGTAAAATATGATCTTCGCAGCTGTGCTGGATATTTAAAAACTCGTTTAGAAACGGAAGCCTGCTAAATACAGGTTTCAAATGAATTCAAACCCGCACCTCTCAGGTTCTAGTTGGATGCTAAAATTTGCCACGCTTCATTTGTGTGGCTTTGGTGTTTAGTTGATAGTAGCGGCCCAACTATCCTACAAACTTACCACGTAGTCTTCTAACTTTGCAAGTGGTTTATTTGGCCGACAACCGATAGAAAGAGCGATTTATTGCTTTAACAAAAATGAGAAAATTTTTAATTGTCTATGAGTTTATCGGAGCGATATATTTTGACCAATCAGGGCGCCCGTAGTTTTTAAGCTATTTCATAATTGACGGTATTTTTACACAGCCTTCCCTTTATGCGCTGCGGTCATATTTCCGACAAGGTAATTAAGGTGTCAGTCTTCAAAAACCGTTTGCTTCGGATTCGTAATAGGTCTGGAAAATGAGGCTGGTTTGATCAGATCAAACATAAAGTTAAAACTAGCTTTTAGCAGTAATTAACCAACAACTCACTATTTTTCTAGCCTTCTATTCTGTAAATTGCATGGCGAGTTTTTAAGAGAATTAAATTGGTCACCTGAGTCATTCAATGCGCAGATGTTTTCCTTCTCTGAAGCGGCACACTCGTCAGTCTGCGGGATATAGGTTTTAGATTAAAAGAACATCGAAAATTAGACATAGGTGAGATAAAGCTTTTCAAATAAACGTTTGTACAAAACTACGTTTTAATAACCAATGTTTAATTTCAAGCCGATAATTATGTAAATACCTTTTTGAGTAATCTCCAATGTATGCGGCTCCTCTTCAAATGATTTGAGCCTTCAGTAATGGTAATTTTAAAAAAATATCCAGATGATTGACAAGAATATGTTCGCTAAAAAGTCCTTGTTTATCAGCTTTGTAAAAAAAAATTCTTCAGAGAATATCGAAACAAAAAACTGAAAATAAATTCTGGTTTTTCTATACACAAAATTGGATAAGAATATTTAGAGCTTAACGCAAAGGCAAGGCAATTTGACACCTGCATATCGTTTGAACATTTTTGAACAAATGATAATTAACATGACTGTGACAAGGCATGTGAAAAAGCCGATATATTCTATTAGCTAACGCTTCCGACAGCAGTGATAAACAATTTAGGCAAACTTTCAAACAGAAAACTCAAGAGCAAAAGCACCGAGCGGACGTATTTCTCTGCAATTTTATGTAATATTAACATTGGTTTAACTGATCAAATAAAACCTAAGCCAGCAAATAATGAAATTAATGGAGAGATTGAAGAAGGAAAGGGTGTCTATGAAACGTCTTAGATTTAAAACGCTTCCTGGAGAAAATAAAGGGGATTTTTGTTTGGAAGAAGCGTATTAAAAGTGCATGGAAATTAGCAGAAAGACAAACATGTTTGCACTCCTAAAATGAAGAATTAAAAGAGGAAGTCTTTATTTCTGGTAGAAAAAAACCGAAGTAGATGGAAAATAGGTTTCGTGTTTGAGATACCCATGATCCCATGAGCTTTCGTAGAATGTAAAATTATTTTGACCAACAAACAAAATATCTCCGGCTTTAGTTTCCTCACAGAAAATCGAATTCAAGATAAATAAAATTAAACCTGTGACTGTACTTGCTGGCTAAAATTAAAGCTAGTTTAAGCTGCGAACTGCAACAAATGACGTCGACTACTACATCAGAATTACAACCTTGTTTCACTTAATACAGCACTCACTTTACTCGTCCTTATCTGCTGAAACACAAATCCTGGGGAGTAAAAGATAGACCCTTCTCTGTCGCAAAAGTCTTCAACTCCAAAGTCATTCAATTCACACAGACCGTTGGCTTCTGCCGATCTCTGGTAGTTGTACGAGATGCACCTTGGATCATCATGACAGGTTTGTAGACAGTTGAACCAGTCTGTTGCAGTAAAGGCTTGAAAAACACGGTCGGTTAAAACATGGTCGTTCTGTGTGATGGGCTGAATTGCAAATATCAGTTTGTGCTGAGCAAAAACCAAAACCAACTTGAGAAATACCAAGTATTTGAGCATGACGATATGAATGATATTCTTAGGGGGAAATCTCTTCTCACGTTATTAATGACAGAAAGCATCAGATATTTAGGGAATTATCATAAGTGACAGCTCTTAAAAGCTCAAATTAATTGGCCAATGTCCATTTTCTGAAGTCAACTCATTTTGTTTACGTTTTAACGCTTCTAAATATTATTTTTCATCCCCCTTCAAATAATTCACTCTCGTCTCCAGAAACTTAATAGACCGCAAAGATATGGGTATCGTAAATTAAAATTTAAGTAAGGTACTTACTATCTTTTAAGCTTAATTCTGCATTTAAAAATCGCAGCAGGTGATCTCCAAATTTTCTATTTTAAAAAAAAATTGCTCAAACGCAAAGACAAGTGACACATATAAATAATTGCTTTTACCTCTTTCAGAATTTAAGCCGAACTTTTGTTATCGAAAGCGCATTTGCACTTCAAGTCCGACCATATTTTATGATAGGAAATAAATTACGAACGCCCTCACTGGAATTCATCCCCACTGATGAGATAACAAAATCATTGGAAAAGCTTGATTCTTGCGGACGTGACAAAATAGCGTCTGCTCAGATCGCATACCTCATGATTTCCGCTTTGACATCCATAAACTCCCATATCATAGGGTTTACCCCGCAAGTGGGCAAGGTTTAATGAATGTGTGGTTGATTGACTACCCTTTCGAGCAGTTTAGGCTCAATTTGCCCGCTTCGAACCCGCGATGTGGAAAAATGCTTGAACGAATAAAGATTTTGCGGGAGTTTAGCACAAAAAAGTGACCAACACTTCCATATAAACAGGCAACAAAGTTGTCCCCTGAAATATGATAACTTCAACCTACGTTCATGCACTGCGAAAATGATTTTGTTATGTCTCATGATCAACTGTGAGGATAAGTTGAATGAAATGCATAGCTACTTGGTACCACTTGTAACCACATTAATACTCTGTGATTTGCATTGGAAATAGAGTTTGTTTTGAAAATTGAAAGTAATGCGAAGGGAATTTAAAGGATTCTTTGTAATAAAACAAACAGAAAAGCCTTGACTGTGCTCTGTATTGTTGAAAAGAACGCAGGATGCAGTTAGAGCACGAAAGAAGTGTAGTGAGGAACACGAGACGTGGTCGAGTGTTTCTCCCCACTTCTTGAATGTTTCATAACAAAACATGGAACAGTTAGGGCTTCTCTATTTGTTATTTGTTATACATTTCTAAGATCAAATGACTAAATATCTTTATTGCGCCTTTAATCTTTTCTATTTCCTTTTTTTGTTTATGCTGCTCCTTTTCTCTCTCAGTTCCCCCTGGCCCCCTCCCTCCTTTCGTTTCTTCCATTCATTCTAGAGGGGATACGAGAGACCGATTAGTGGGAAGTGGAATACTCGAGAGGAAGGGCACGAATTAACAACGTTATACTTTTTTGACAGCAAAATTGCTGTCGGGGATCTACCCTTTGGAAAGGAAGGAAATGATACAATTTTCACATATTTCGGCCTTCGGAAATGATTTTTATTTATGGTTGAATCATGACTATTCGATGAAAAGACGTATTGAAGACGAAATTATGATTTCAGCCAAGATTCAACCTCGTTCCGCGGGTCCTCTCTCTTCCACCCTCTCTCTTGAGGGAACGATGTCGCCAAATATTTTAATGACTTAGAACTAGTGATCAAGCGTAGTCTTTTTGGGTTCTGGTCACTCGTGGACATTCGTGGTCACTCGTAGTAACTGGCGTGAGTAAGGGTGACCAAGCCTAGATGAGAAATCTTTGACCAAATGTTAATTAGTTGCCTGCAATAAACCTGGCTTACTTCTTGCACTTGAGCGCTGTGCCACTAAATCTTAATCAGACTCCAAAAGAAAGTGTTTCAATGTTTTTTCCTGAGTGGATGCGTGTGCGACAGAGTTGAGGTACTTATCTACTCATCCGGCTTTGTTTTTCAACAGATAAGAAAAATTAAGGTAAGTATTAATTGGTTGCATGTTCATTTCAATTGCGGTAAAGTTGGGCGCCTTTATTATGATGAAGCAACAAAGAATTTCAGGGAAGGAAAACTGCAATAGGAAATGAAAGTCCTGAATTTGGATGCGTAGATGTATGTGAGGCATTAGGGACTTGTCAGAAATTAGCAGGGGGGAGGAGGGGGCGGAAACAGAGGGGGATTCACAACTTTTTGAGCCTCAGAAAAGGGAGGGGTCATGAAAAATGGGCAGTTAAAAGGGGGAAGGGTCATGCAAATATATGCCCGTGATCATGTAGAGGTTCACCCACAGAAGAAAAAGGAAGTTCTTTATTTGGCAAAAAAAAGAGAAAAAAAATACAACGTTTTACGGAACCTTATGGATATAACTGTGAAGTACTATAGCAAGAATTTAACAAACATGTACTTTTCATTTATAACAATGCTATATAGTCTTATTGAAATTATGAATAATGTTGTTATTAATAATGTTAGTAGACAAAGAACAGATTAGAAATATATTTTGAGTTTTCATAATACTGACGCACCCTAGTGTATTGCAAGAACTAGATTTTATCATTTATACAAGAGGGGGAGGGTCATGATATTTTAGGCCAAGCTCAAGGGGAGGGTAAGCAAATTTCACTCCCATTGCAGGGATGGGTCACCTAATTTCCGAACCCAAATTTAAAATTCCCACCCCCCCTCCCCCCCCCTGCTAATTTCTGACAAGTCCCTTAAAAGTAAACTTGCATTTTATCCCAGCTAAGACACATGTTATTGCGGTGGCACAATGCCGTATGCTCATTTCTCTGCTTTCCTTGTGATTCAGTCTTTTAGTTTTCCAAATCCCTATTACAATATTCGAAAATTAATATCAGTAGTTTAGGGATGTGCATTGTCTATTTGAGAAGAAAAGCAAAAGGAAGGGCAAATAAAATAAAATAAAGCGCTGAAAAATTAAAATAAAAACGCAAGCGGTCTCTTCTATTAAAATTTTTGACAAAACTTTAAGTAAAACAGCAATGGTTTCTTTCGATTTCGTATATTGGCTGAAGATGACTTCTCTGTGATTATAAAACGTATTTCTTGAACTCAAGTGAACAAAGCCTTTTCATTTAATCGATCGACAGTTGTCCAAAGATGATTTGAATGTCAAACACACTGGAGTAAGCGTTCAGGGGTCAAAGGAGTTAACTACAGCCACAACACGCACTAAGGATAACACAAGACTGACGCTGAGACCCAATAATTTAGATGATTAAGTAGCACCTGGCCCTATACTCCCAACGGAATGAAAAGAAAAGCAAAATAATCACTTGAGCAATTCAGTGATAGTTCTAATATGACTTTGAAGTAGAGGAGCATTTTGCCAGCGTTGTAAAATTTAGTGTTTCACATAACCCGCGAGGAGGGCATGTTTTCTGGCGGGCGAGTGATAAATGTTCTGATTGATTACATTATTGACAGAGGCAGCCTTAGTGAATTTGTAAGATCGAGAAAAACCTGACGCGCTTCAAAGAGTTGTACAACGAAGAGAAAAATAGGCGGGAGGGGTAAGAATTACAAACAAGTATAAGGGGATAAGGTGGTTTGTTCGCTCCAGGCTTTCCCCGATCTAAATAACTATATATGGTAGCTACAAAACTCAATCGGAATGATAAGCACTCGCTCGCCGATAATAAAGGCCTGCAATACAATCCATATTTTTCCGACCATTGTGCTTCCAACTAGTGACATCAGAGGATAATGAATTCCACCCAAACCATCCCAAATGTAACCACTGACATGAATTGTGCAATCAAAGGAATGGACTTTGATTAGAATTTACAGGGTACTGTCCGAACAGGAATTCTTTATTTGTGTAGCAGTAGCAGTAGTTACCAAATGTAAATCGTCGTGTGTTACACAGCGTTGTAATTCGTGTACCCAATACAACATTTAAGAATCAATGAAAGAAAATAATTATTCTTAACTTTTCAATCTTAGCGCAGTGGATCTGTCTTTACCAACATGTCTGATCTTATTTATGTGGTCAAGCTGACTATTACTAAAACATACCTTGAGACAAACAAAACCAAGGGCATTAGATGAGTAAATGTGACAATAAACTTCCATTTTAAGCACGTATTCCTGAGTGAAGAGCCATGGATATTACTAGTTTCTTTTACTATGTATAGAATAAGAAGGCCGAATAGCGAAAAAATATTAAAAGGCTAAAAATCCTTTACTATTTGTAGCCTTCATTGTAATGGTAAATTATGAGTTCTCGTGGAAGGCAACTATCTCCAAATACGTTGGTTGACTTTGGTTTCGTGACTTTTCGCTTTTTTCGTGTTTCCTGATGTAACATTTATTCTGTATCTCTGTATTACATCCGATCCTCTATTAAATGGTATTCTGCATCAGGTGACCAGTATAAAGGATGAATTTACCCTTTATGTTGCAATATTTGGTGGCACCTGAGGCAAAATACATTTTATTAACTACCGTCGGTTTGCGACGTTTGTTTGACATAACAAACAAGCATGGCTACGAAAACATAAGGTAACCTAAAGAATCCACCAGTTTACAGAGAAGCAAAAACTAGATTTCTTGATCAGAAATCAATCGAGAAGCTTCGAAAGAAACGATTTATTATATTACTCACTTTGCTAATCTTTTTCGCAAGGAGGACCTCAATTGACGGACCATTCCCACACTGGTCGTAGGCCAAAACTTTGATTTCGTACTTTTTCCCACAACTAATCCTGTAAGGTTGAAATGAATCGAGGAAACACTATTTATTTTTCTTTCTGCTTGTGAAAATCGACTTCCTACGATGGCACAGTATTCAACGTTGTGTCCTAAAATTTCCTAGAGTACGTGTAAAAATTTCCCCATATGGGATTGGTTGGTACTCGTGAATATGCTTTGACTAAGCTAACTTGGAACTAAAAATTTCCCCATATGTGTGATTGGTTGGTAGGACATCCCATGAGATGAATATGCTTTTGGCGGTACTGTTCACAAAGGTGACATTTTGTGGCGGAGTCCCAGGAACTAAAATGAAGGCTAACATCTTAAACTCTTCATTTAACCCTGTCAAATTTGTAAATGTGTTTCATTTGACATGAGACTTTTATTCTTTTTAATAAAAATTGATTTACAGCATAATACATACCTAGCTTAAGAACTAAACATCAATATTTCTTAGCTTAATTACATCATTTTTTAAATAGTTCTTACCTTTCCACCAAAAATTGTTCCGGGACGTTTACCCGCAACAAGTAACTGTATGATGATAATTACTTTTGCAATTTTTTACAAAGCTGACGATTATTAACAATTATCCCATGTAACAGTCTACGGTTTTTATCAGACCATTTAGAGACGTACACGCGAAATGGAGAAAAATCGACCATAACTGCAATTGGTGATAATTCCTTTATTGTACCCTGTACATTAAAAAAATTTCACAGATCATCACGTTTGGTATAGTAAATTGTTCCAAGGATGTTGTTACGGAACAGCAGTTATATTAACAGGCTCACTAACTGGTCCAAATCCTTTGCTATTTGCAGCCTCCACAGTAATGGTAAATTTTGAGTCCACATTTATGCTAACGATCTCCAGATACTGTGTTGGCGCTTGTACTTCGCGACTTGTTGTTTCGTTGGGGATCTTTGATGTAATATTTACTCTGTATTTCTGTATCAAGCCCCGTCGTTTACCATCAGGTATCCTGTCCCAGGAGACCAGTACACAGGTCGAATTCACTCTCACTGCACTAATATTTGGAGGCGCCACCTTAGGCCCTGAAGCCAACCACATTTTATGTACTTAATGAGTGAGCGGGAGGGCCGGGAAGGAAAATATTTGGCTCGAGGTGCACTCTGTCCGCACGGCATTACCTCGAGCCACATATTTTCCTTGTCTGGTCTAACAAAATTCAGTCAATAAGCATTTTTTTATATGATCATTTAGTGCTGGAACTCGCACACAGAAGAAGGGAGCCCACTGGAAATCTAGAAAAATAAGCTAGAGTTAACTTGTACATTTTGTTGGACTGTTGTGGTAAACTGGCTCGAACACAGAGCGCAAACGGGAGGCATCAGGAGTCTGATCAAGAACTTTTATTCAGGTCGACCGCCGCTTTTTTTTCAATACCCAATTAAGCCTTAAGCAAACGCTCGTTACTATCCTGTCGGTAGGCAAGCGGGTGCTTGCCGGAACACTGACTTTGGTAGATTAAACATCTCTCTAGAGGACTATCTCAAGCAATTTCACTAGACTTTCGAAATGAACAACAAAATACTCGACACATCAAGCCAAGAAAACACACGATCTTCGAGAACTAAAACCTAACCAAAAGCTCAAGTTGAGGACTTAAAGTAAGGTCGGTAGACGAACTCAAACACGAATAGTCGTGGCGATTACTGTCCGACATTAAGCCCCATTATAGCAGTCAAGGACAAATTACTTAAAAGCGGAACTATATGTGTGCACTTGTATCGCAGGACAAAACAAGGCTCACAAGACTTGCGCAAAGACTACAAGATATTCTAAAAAACATAAAAAATTCACAAACGTGTAGCCAGAACACTTCAAATGTAGTTCATAACAATTTTTTATCTTCGAGGCAGAACAAGGAAATCAGAATGCACCGAGAAGCACAACTCACTTTATCATTTGTTTTATTTAAAATTACACAATTTTAATCCTCTTTCTCGGAAAATGCAAAAGAGCTATGTGGGTGCGGAGCCGGATGGTTTATTTTCCCAACAGGCTCACGTCAACACGTCCCGCCTTACACTCGCTAGCTTTCACTATGGTTATCTACGGCATTGCACGTGCGGGGCAGTGCGGATCATATGATATATGAAAAGATGTTACTTACTTCTTTCGTCCGTTTTTACGCAGAGGACCTCACTTGACGGACCATTCCCACACTGGTTGTAGGCCCGCACTTTGATTTCGTACCTTCTGTTCACAATTAATCCTGTAAGGTTGAAATGTACGTCGGGAACACTAAACACTTTTCTTTTCTCCCATGCCGGTTGACCTCCTTCTATTATCGAATATTCTACTTCATATCCGAAAATTTCGTCATTTGTCTGATTCGTTGGCACAGCATCCCATGTGATGAAAATACTCTTGTACGTGTTGTTTACCATCGTGACATTTTTTGGCGAAGTCCTGAGAACTGAAATGTAGGCTAATTTCGGTTAACAATGAAATATTCGAGAGCAGATCCTCAGTCTTTTTCTTCTTCGTTGATGTCTTGGTGCGCCTGCGATCTTCTCAACACCAGCGGTAAAGATCACTGACGCACTTGAACACTCCCGACTTAGGACCAGCCTATCATATCAAGGGGTCAGAAACATTACACTTGCTAAATTTATGGCAGCTTATCGAATTCGGGCCGGTCCTAAGTTTAGGCACGATCTGACGGGCTTATTTGAAATAAAGGGTTATCCTGTTTTCTTAATGAGGATATATTTGTTAAAGTAACCACCCCAAAAGAATTGATGATATCCTAAAAAGATGAGTTCCACCTGCAAAACGCTCACTTGGGGACAATATTAGTTCCGATGTTTTCTTCCGAAAAATCAGTTCGAAGTATGTAATGACATTTGCAGGCATGCATACCCTAGAATTATCAGCCTACGAATATAACATCAGCAATTAACATTCACATGTTGTCATGACTAGAAGCCACAAGTTTGTATAAAGTTGACGATAAACAATTTCTTAATAAGTCTCTGGAGAAGATTTTAGTAACTATTACTGAAAGAAAAACACACTCATCACAAAAGCATTCATATTCATTACGTTATTTTTTATCTAAACAAATTGTCACCCAAGGTAATATTGTCAGGTAATTATTATTTTTACTGGGAAACTTTAAATTTTGCTCTCATAATTTGCCCGGAAATTTTAGAAGGAAATTAAAGAGCTTACCTGATCTATCCGAAATGCAACTGTTTTTACCATGGGAAGGTAAACACCCGTTAACCTAAAAGGCGTATAGCGAGTACATAATTATATAATTGTGATAATGGTGATGATGAACAGACAAGAGAGATTTCAGAAAACAAATCCATAATTTTTTGATAATTTACGGAAGACGGAAATGTTCTACGAAAATGCCTTTCAAAATATCGCAACAGTTACACCTCTCAGTATAAGGCTTGATTGCACTCATAAAGGGGCATGATTTACTTCTGGCAGCACTTAGATTCTTCGAAAATTATGCTGAAGTTATGCTCATTTCTCTGAATTACACTTCTCACCATTGCGATCGAAGTTTGGTTGTTCAGCAAATTAGAGACAAAGCAATTTGAACAAAGACAAAACAGTGATTGCCGGTCAGTTTTTAGTAAGGTTCCAATCATGTGTCGTAATATTTCCACATATCTTGAGCAGTTATGCCCCACTTTTTACTAAGAGGTTCGAGCGTGGTAATTTTATCAACGAGTACGAGTGCATCGTCCGGCAAATCGTTGATAAAAGAGTTGAGCCTTGAGTATATTCTTTCTGCAAGTGCAGGTGTCTCTGATCTGAGTATCTGTCGTTTTAGACGGTTTCAAAACCTCTCTCGTGAGACTGAAGCTCCTTGAACAAAATTGACTGCTGCTGAATAATCTTAATTGCCACAGCAGATACTCGAAGTGAATTCAGAGCGAAATAACGTTACTTTCTCTCTTTGTGAAGATCACAGATTCAGATTATACAGGCAGTGCTAACATTAAGATGAAAGCAAAGGAGAAAGCTCGGTTTGCTAAATCAAGCCCATAAAAGTATGCCAACAAATCGACAAAAAGCCTGCTTCACAAGTCAAGTAAAGATGCAAGCACCTCATTTATTGAAAGTTGAATCATTGATCATATATAATGAAAGAAAGAGATGGAAGGTAACCATCAAATTTCCCAGTACCTAAAAGGTTATCTCTGAAAGCTGTCCTTGATTTGCGGATTTGTTACTTCATTCACATTAAGTCTTATCCGAACTCTTTATATATTAAGTAGTGTTTGTTTATGATGCCGATGCTGAACATCCTATAAAACGCTAAGTTTGCTTTCTTTTAATAATATCAAAATGGTAGAATAAATTTAAAAATCTATCAATCACGAATAAATAAATAAAATCGGGGATCAAGGGAAATGTTCTCATCAAATTGAAGTAGATGGTAAGGTTAGAAACAATTAATCTAAACTAATAGGAGAAGTGACAACTTCCTTAAATGCCTTTTATTACTTGACATGGAACTAACTTTGTTTTATCAATCATACTACTTACCTTCTTTATAATTGTTTTTATCTGCTGGAAAACGAAACCCTTCGAGTAAGTAAGGAACTTATCTCTGTTGCACAAGTCTTCAAATCCACAATCATTCAATTCACACAGACCGTTAGCGTTTTCAGACCTCTGGTAGCTGTACGAGACGCAACTTGGTTCATCGTGACAAGCTTGAAGACAGTTGAACCAGTCTGTGCCGTGAAACTGTTTGAAAACATGACCGACGTTTGATACGCGGTTATTTTCTGTGACTAGATGAAATTTTCGTAATGGTGGACATGTTAAAAATACCAGGAAAACGTTAAGATAAACAAGGTTTTTTAAGAACAGCATGATTCCAAACATGAAGGGAAGACGGGGTTCTTCCCTCACGAATGAAGCGATTGAACTCTGGACAAAGTTGCAGTTTGCTTTGATGTTCGTTAAACACGAGAATGATTGACAAATCGGGCGCGAATTTTTTCTGCAATTTCATATCAATGTCTTCACCTGCCATTATTCAAACTTTGACCTGTTTTTCGATGAGCTTCATTTGACAAAGAACTTTAATTATTTTGATGAATATAGTTCACAGCATAACACGTAACTCACACAACAACTAAGCTTTAATATTTCTTGTCTTAATTAAATCATTCCTTTTAATGTGACCTATTTTCGAGAAATGCCTCAGAAAATTATTGATGTATTTTGATAATGACTGGTGCAAAGTTTTCAAAACTGACGATTGTTTAACAATAGCCTCTGACCGGTTAATGGCTACGTTTTGTCACTGTGTACGGTTTTTATTAAAACGATCTATATATTGCATATCGCTTTTTGATAAAACTTATTTCATGGTATGTCATTCTTAATGAGTATATTGGTTAGGTATTTGAATTTTTTTCTTCTTCATTAAATTTCTTTTGACTTACAGATTGATTTCTGACGCGAGGGTGTTGTACAGCGGAAATTACCCAGTTTATTGGTAGACCTTAGTAAACATTAATCCTTTAACTCCAAAGATCTGATTGTTAATTCTCCTCTCTAACTGCTACACATTTCTTTTTAAATAAGTTGTGGTAATTTAGTGTTAGATCAAGATAACAACTTCTACCTGATTAATTTTAGTTTTCTTAGAACCTGTTTGCAGGATAATGTTTGGATATTATAAGGAGAAGTTCCATGTTAATCACTTCTGGGAGTTAAGGGGTTAAAGCGATTAATTATTAACCAGACATCTGTGTGTCCTAAATTATAAACCAGGAACTGATTACGTGAGATACCCAACACAATGACCCGAAAAGGCCTAACACAATTGTAAGAATACAACGCAGAAATACTCTTTATAAACCAGAGATTGCCTAAAAAGTACAAAACGTGAACTTTAATATCTCAAGTTTATTAAAACATTACCACTTTAAAGTTCTATAGCTTAAATTGAGACATCAGTCTCCTTTATTTTAATGTTTGTGATACGAAATTAAATGTAAACTCAGCAATCGATGTTTTATCTAAGAAACTTTTGGCTGTAGGGTTTATATATGAAATCATCTTTTAAATATCTTCAAAGGTACACTGATTCTGGAATTGAAACTAAGTCTTACTTAACATATCCAGTTTCACCTTAACAGGTTTACTGGCCGGTCCGTACCCTTTGCTAGTTGACGCCGACACTGTTATTGTGTATTCTGGATCCGTCTCTAAGTTTGTCAACAAGAGTAACCGCTTTGCTTTGTCTACTTTTTCACTCATTGTTCTCGCTCCCCACTTTGATCGGGTATAATTCACCCTGTAACTTATGATTGTCCCATCTCGTTTACCATTTGGTACTCTATCCCAACTGACCAATATGCTTGTTGAGTTCTTTCGCTCAGCTGATAAATTTTGGGGTGCTGCTTTGGGTCCTTAAATGTATAGAAACAGAGGCATCAGAATGTAACGCAATTGATCAGTTCAGAAAGTAAGCAGGTGAGCAGGCAAGCGGTAAGTAATGGCTATGTAGGTAGATTGGTACATTGGCTGGTAATACTTAAGTATTATCGTCATTCGTTCTGACGAAGAGCTAGCGCTCGAAACACCAGCTTTGAAACTCTATACGGTGGCCAATTTACGTTATCAACTTAGTTGATAATACTAAATTACCATGTTTTACTCTCCCACGAACGCAGCACCACAGTTTCTTTAGGAACTTGCCTTCTTTATTCATTGGTGAGTAGGTAGGTTGGTTTGTGAGCGTGGAAGTCGATTTTAAGTACTTATTTTGATAGGTAGGGCCAGCCGTTAGATACGAAGGTTGGTGGGTAGATATGCGGATGATTAGATGGGGGAGTGGGTATATAAGTGGGTGGGGGTGGGGGTAGAAAGGAAGCAGAGTAGGACAGTAGGTGGGTAGGCGACCATAGGTGGGTAAGCAGGGAAGCAGGTGAGTCGGTAGGAACATGGAGACGTAGATAGGTTGGTAGGTAGCTAAGATGCGACAGGAAGGCAAGTAAATGAATAGATAAGAAGGTAGGTAGAGAAGGAATGTTTAGGTAGGTAGATAGGTAGGGAGGTCGGTAGTTAGGTTCAACTTCTCATTATGTGATGGAACGCAGCTCTTCAGTCAGAGCTGTCCTCCTCCTGCAACGCTTGTTTCGAAAGTACATTTGCAGAAAGCAGAGAAAAGAAGGGGTAAACATTTAGATAGAAAGGATGATAGGCAGGTAGCTTGGGGGTAGGTATGCAGTTAGGTAGCGAACAGCAACAGAGATTGATACAATGTAAAACAGTATGTCAAAACTTACTGTCTTCGTCTGTCTTTGCTGAAAGCATCGCGCTGGAAGGACCATCCCCACATTGATTGAATGCTAACACTGTTATGTTGTACCTTCTGTGTATTTTTAATCCTGTAAGGTTGATGTAAGGCAAGGGAGCTCTAACCACGCTCCTATTAATTTCCTTCTTACCGGACCTTAAGGAGTAAATCACTTTGAATTCTGGGATCAATTCGAGAGTCTGATTGGTTGGTACAACATCCCACGTGATGAAAAGACAGGTTATCGTCTTGTTCACCTCTTTAACATTTTGAGGCGGAATCGTGGGAACTGAAATAAAGACTTAGTTCTATTAGCATTATAATTTCTCAAGTCTAAAGTAAATTACTATCAAGTAAAAAAATGATCTTCGCAGCTGGGCTGGATATTAAAAAAATCGTTTAGAAACGGAAGCCTGCTAAAATACAGGTTTCAACGGCATTCAAACCCGCACCTCTCAGGTTCTAGTTGGACGCTAAAATTTGCCTCGCTTCATTTGTGTGGCTTTGGTGTTTAGTTGATGGTAGCAGACCGACTATCCTACAAACTTACCACGTAATCTTCCAACTTTGCAAGTAGTTGTTTTGGCCGGCAACCGATAGAAAGTGCGATTTATTGCTTTAATAAAAATGGGAAAATTTTTAATTGTCGATGAGTTTATCGGTGCAACAGATTTTGACCAATCAGGGCACCCGTAGTATTTAAGCTATTTCATAATTGACAGTGTTTTAACTCAACCTTCCCTTTATGCGCTGCGATCGTATTTCTGACAAAATACAAGGTAATGAGGGTGTCAATCTTTAAAAAAGCGTTCGCTTCGGATTCGTAATAGGTCTGGAAAATTAGGCTAGTTTAATCAGATCAAACATAAAGTTAAACTAGCTTTTAGCAGTAATTAACCAACAACTCACTATTTTTCTAGCCTTCAATTATGTAAATTGCATGGAGAGTTTTTAAGAGAATTAAATTGGTCACCTGAGTCATTCAGTGCGCAAATGTTTTCCTTCTCTGAAGCGGCACATTCGTTAGTCTGCGGGATATAAGTTTTAGATTAAAAGAACATCGAAAATTAAACATAGGTGAGATAAAGCTTTTCAAATAACGTTTGTACAAAACTACGTTTTAATAACCAATGTTTAATTTCAAGCCGATAATTATGCAAATAACTTTTTGACTCCAATATATGCGGCTCCTCTTCAAATGATTTAGCTTAGCGTCTGACTGAGCCTTCAGTAATGGTAATTTTAAAAAAATATCCAGATAATTGACAAGAATATGTTCGCTAAAAAGTCTTTGTTTATCAGCTTTGTCAAAAAACTTCTTCAGAGAATAACGAAGCAAAAAATTGAAAATAAATTCTGGTTTTTCTATACACAAAATTGGATAAGAATGTTTAGAGCTTAACGCAAAGGTAAGACAAATTGACACCTGGATATCGTTTGAACATTTTTGAACAAATGATAATTAACATGACTGTGACAAGGCATGTGAAAAAGCCGATATATTCGATTAGCTAACAATTCCGACAGCAGTGATAAACAATTTAGGCAAACTTTCAAACAGAAAAACTCAAGAGCAAAAGCACCGAGCGGACGTATTTCTCTGCAATTTTAAGTAATATAAACATTGGTTTAACTGATCAAATAAAACCTAAGCCAGCAAATAATGAAATTAATGGATAGATTGAAGAAGGAAAGGGTGTCTATAAAACGTCTTAGATTTAAAACGCTTCCTGGAGAAAATAAAGGGGATTTTTGTGTAGAAGAAGCGTATTAAAAGTGCATGGAAATTAGCAGAAAGACAAACATGTTTGCACTCCTAAAATGAAGGAAGTCTTTATTTCTGGTAGAAAAAACCGAAGTAGATGGAAAATAGGTTTGGGGCTGTCCTGGTGTACCGGTACACGGGGGAATTCCTATTGTTTTCATATCCATACATGGAGTTGTGACGCAGTTCGTTAATGTTTCGCTCCTTTGTGTACCGGTACACGAGGACACAACCATAGGTTTCGTGTTTGAGATACCCATGATCCCATGAGCTTTCGTAGAATGTGAAATTATTTTGACTAACAAACAGTAACGTCCCTGGCTTTAGCTGCCTCACAGAAAATTGAATTCAAAATAAATAAAATTAAACCTGTGACTGTACTTGCTGGCTAAAATGAAAGCTAGTTTGAGCTGTGAACTGCAACAAACGAAGTCGACTACTACATCAGAATTACAACCTTGTTTTACTTAATACAGCACTCACTTTACTCGTCCTTATCTGCTGAAACACAAATCCTGGGGAGTGAAAGATAGACCCTTCTCTGTCGCAAAAGTCTTCAACTCCACAGTCATTCAATTCACACAGACCGTTGGCTTCTGCCGATCCCTGGTAGTTGTACGAGATGCATCTTGGATCATCATGGCAGGTTTGTAGACAGTTGAACCAGTCTGTTGCAGTAAAGGCTTGAAAAACATGGCCGGCTAAAACATGGTTGTTCTTTGTGGTGGGCTGAATTGCAAATATCAGTTTGTGCTGAACAAAAATTAACACCAACTTGAGAAATACCAAGTATTTGAGCATGACGATATGAATGATATTCTTCTCATGTTATTAATGACAGAGAGCATCAGATATTTAGGGGAATTACCATAAGTGACAGCTCTTAAAAGCTCAAATTAATTGGCCGATGTCTATTTTCTGAAGTCAACTCATTTTGTTTACGTTTTAACGCTTCTAAATATTATTTTTCATTCCCCTTCAAATAATTCACTCTCGTCTCCAGAAACTTAATAGACCGCAAAGATATGGGTATCGTAAATTAAAATTTAAGTGAGGTACTTACTATCTTTTCAGCTTAATTCTGCATTTAAAAATCGCAGCAGGTGATCTCCAAATTTTCTATTTTAAAAAAAAATTGCTCAAACGTAAATACAAGTGACACATACAAATAATTGCTTTTACCTCTTTCAGAATTTAAGCCTAACTTTTGTTATCGAAAGCGCATTTGCACTTCAAGCCCGACCATATTTTATGATAGGAAATAAATTACGAACGCCTTCACTGGAATTCATTCCCACTGATGAGATAACAAAAACATTGGAAAAGCTTGATTCTTGCGGACGTGACAAAATAGCGTCTGCTCAGATCGCATACCTCATGATTTCCGCTTTGACATCCATATAAACAGGCAACAAAGTTGTCCCCTGAAATATGATAACTTCAACCTACGTTCATGCACTGTGAAGATGATTTTTTATGTCTCATGATCAACTGTGAGGATAAGTTGAATGAAATGCATTGCTACTTGGTACCACTGGTAACCACATTAATACTCTGTGATTTGCATTGGAAATAGAGTTTGTTTTGAAAATTGAAAGTAATGCGAAGGGAATTTAAAGGATTCTTTGTAATAAAACAAATAGAAAAGCCTTGACTGTGCTCTGTATTGTTGAAAAGAACGCAGGATGCGGTTAGAGCACGAAAGAAGTGTAGTGAGGAACACGAGACGTGGTCGAGTGTTTCTCCCCACTTCTTGAATGTTTCACAACAAAACATGGAACAGTTAGGGCTTCTCTATTTGTTATTTGTTATACATTTCTAAGATCAAATGACTAAATATCTTTATGCGCCTTTAATCTTTTCTATTTCCTTTTTTTGTTTATGCTGCTACTTTTCTCTCTTAGTTCCCCCCGGCCCCCTCCCTCCTTTCGTTTCTTCCATTCATTCTAGAGGGGATACGAGAGACCGAAAAGTGGGAAGTGGAATACTCGAGAGGAAGGGCACGAATTAACAACGTTATACTTTTTTGACAGCGAAATTGCTGTCGGGGATCTACCCTTTGGAAAGGAAATGATACAATTTTCACATATTTCGGCCTTCGGAAATGATTTTTATTTATGGTTAAATCATGACTATTCGATGAAAAGACGTATTGACGACGAAATTATGATGTCAGCCAAGATTCAACCTCGTTCCGCGGGTCCTCTCTCTTTCCACCCTCTCTCTTGAGGGAACGATGTCGCCAAATATTTTAATGACTTAGAAGAACTAGTGATCAAGCGTAGTCTTTTTGGGTTCTGGTCACTCGTGGACATTCGTGGTCACTCGTAGTTACTCGCAGTCACTCGTAGTCACTCTTTGTCATTCGTGATCACTCGTGGTCACTCGCGGTCACTCGTGTGTTCGTTTAGAAATACAACGAGGTCTTTCTTATTGATTTTCACATCGTAGTTGTGGAGTATTTGACAAGTATTTGAATGCGTGACGAAAGCGTGAGTAAGGGTGACCAAGCTTAGATGAGAAATCTTTGACCAAATGTTAATTAGTTGCCTGCAATAAACTTGGCTTACTTCTTGCACTTGAGCGCTGTGCCACTAAATCTTAATTAGACTCCAAAAGAAAGTGTTTCAATGTTTTTTCCTGAGTGGATGCGTGTGAGACAGAGATGAGGTACTTATCTACTCATCCGGCTTTGTTTTTCAACAGATAAGAAAAATTAAGGTAAGTATTAATTGTTGCATGTTCATTTCAATTGCGGTAAAGTTGGGCGCCTTTATTATGATGAAGTAACAAAGAATTTCAGGGAAGGAAAACTGCAATAGGAAATGAAAGTCCTGAGTTTGGATGCGTAGATGTATGTGAGGCATTAAAAGTAAACTTACATTTTATCCCAGCTAAGACACATGTTATTGCGGTGGCACAATGCCGTATGCTCTTGTCTCCGCTTTCCTTGTGATTCAGTCTTATAGTTTTCCAAATCCCTATCACACTATTCGAAAATTTATATCAGTAGTTTAGGGATGTGCATCGTCTATTTGAGAAGAAAAGCAAAAGGAAGGGCAAATAAAATAAAATAAAGCGCTGAAAAATTAAAATAAAAACGCAAGCGGTCTCTTCTATTAAATTTTTTTACAAAACTTTAAGTAAAACAGCGATGGTTTCTTTCGATTTCGTATATTGGCTGAAGATTACTTCTTTGTGATTATAAATCGTATTTCTTGAACTCAAGTGAACAAAAGCCTTTTCATTTAATCGATCGACAGTTGTCCAAAGATGATTTGAATGTCCAACACACTGGATTAAGCGTTCCGGGGTCAAAGGAGTTAACTACAGCCGCAACACGCACTAAGGATAACACAGGACTCCTGACGCTAAGACCCATTAATTTAGATGATTAAATAGCACCTGGCCCTATACTCCCAACAGAATGAAAAAAAAAGCAAAATAATAACCTGAGCAATTCAGTGATAGTTCCAATATGACTTTGAAGTAGAGGAACATTTGCCAGCGTTGTAAAATTTAGTGTTTCACATAACCCGCGAGGAGGGCATGTTTTCTGGCGGGCGAGTGATAAATGTTCTGATTGATTACATTGTTGACAGAGGCAGCCATAGTGAGTTTGTAAAATCGAGAAAAACCTGACGCGCTTCAAAGAGGTGTACAACGAAGAGAAAAATAGGCGGGAGGGGTAGGAATGACAAACAAGTGTAAGGGTGGTTTGTTCGCTCCAGGGCTTTCCCCGATCTAAATAACTATATATGGTAGCAACAAAACTCAATCGGAATGATAAGCACTCGCTCGCCGATAATAAAGGCCTGCAATACAGTCTATATTTTCCGACCATTGTGCTTCCAACTAGTGACATCAGAGGATAATGAATTCCACCCAAACCATCCCAAATGTAACCACTGACATGAATTGTGCAATCAAAGGAATGGACTTTGATTAGAATTTACAGGGTACTGTCTGAAGAGGAATTCTTTATTTGTGTAGCAGTAGCAGTAGTTACCAAATGTAAATCGTCGTGTGTTACACAGCGTTGTAATTCGTGTACCCAATGCAACATTTAAGAATCAATGAAAGAAAATAATTATTCTTAACTTTTCAATCTTAGCGCAACCATGGATCTGTCTTTACCAACATGTCTGATCTTATTTACGTGACTAAGCTGACTATTACTAAAACATACCTTAAGACAAATAAAACCAAGCGCATGAGATTAGTAAATGTGACAATAAACTTCCATTTTAAGCACGTATTCCTGAGTGAAGACCCATGGATATTACTCGTTTCTTTTACTATGTATAGAATAGTAAGTCCGAATAGCGAAAAAATATTAAAAGGCTAAAAATCCTTTGCTATTTGTAGCCTTCATTGTAATGGTAAATTATGAGTTCTCGTGAAAGGCAACTATCTCCAAATACGTTGTTTGACTTTGGTTTCGTGGCTTTTCGCTTTTTTCGTGTTTCCTGATGTAACATTTATTCTGTATCTCTGTATTACATCCGATCCTCTATTAAATGGTATTCTGCATCAGGTGACCAGTATAAAGGATAAATTTACCCTTTATGTTGCAATATTTGGTGGCACCTGAGGCAAAATACATTTTATTAACTACCGTCGGTTTGCGACGTTTGTTTGACATAACAAACAAGCATGGCTACGAAAACATAAGGTAACCTAAAGAATCCTCCAGTTTACAGAGAAGCAAAAACTATTTTTCTGGTTCAGAAATCGTTCGAGAAGCTTCGAAAGAAACGATTTAATATATTACTCACTTTGCTAATCTTTTTACGCAAGGAGGACCTCACATGACGGACCATTCCCACACTGGTCGTAGGCCAAAACTTTGATTTCGAACTTTTTTCCACAACTAATCCTGTAAGGTTGAAATGAACCGAGGAAACACTATTTATTTTTCTTTCTGCTTGTGGAGATCGACTTCCTACGATGGCAGAGTATTCAACATTGTGTCCTAAAATTTCCTACAGTACGTATGGGGGGGGGGGGGGAGGGAGGGAGGGCACGGTTACACGTAGGCTAAAAATTTCCTCATATGTGTGATTGGTTGGTAGGACATCCCATGAGATGAATATGCTTTTGGCGGTATTTTCACAAAGGTGACATTTTGTATCGGAGTCCCAGGAACTGGAATGAAGGCTTACATCTTAAACTCTTCATTTAACCCTGTCAAACTTGTAAATGTGTTTCATTTGACATAAGACTTTTATTGTTTTTAATAAAAATTGATTTTTGCGATTGGCGATAATTCCTTTATTGTACCCTGTACATTAAAAAAATTTCACAGATCATCACGTTTGGTATCGTAAATTGTTCCAAGGATGTTGTTACGGAACAGCAGTTATATTAACAGGCTCACTGACTGGTCCAAATCCTTTGCTATTCGCAGCCTCCACAGTAATGGTAAATTTTGAGTCCACATTTATGCCAACGATCTCCAGATACTGTGTTGGCGCTTGTACTTCGCGACTTGTTGTTTCGTTGGAGATCTTTGATGTAATATTTACTCTGTATTTCTGTATCAAGCCCCGTCGTTTACCATTGGGTATCCTTTCCCAGGAGACCAGTACACAGGACGAATTCACTCTCACTGCGATAATATTTGGAGGCGCCACCTTAGGCCCTGAAGCCAACCACATTTTATGTACTTAATGAGTGAGCGGGAGGGCCGGGAAGGAAAATATTTGGCTCGAAGTGAACTCTGTCCGTACGGCATTACCTCGAGCCACATATTTTTCTGGTCTGGTCTAACAAAACTCAGTCAATAAGCATTTTGTTATATGATCATTTAGCGCTGGAACTCGCACACAGAAGGGCGCCAATTGAAAATCTAGCAAAATAATCTAGAGCTAACTTGTATATTTTGTTGGACTGTTGTGGTAAACTGGCTCGAACACAGCGCGCAAACGAGAGGCATCAGGAGTCTGATCAAGAACTTTTATTCGGGTCAACCGCCGCTTTTTTCTCAATACCTAATTTAGCCTTAAGTAAACGCTCTTTACTATCCTGTCGGTAGGCAAGTGGGGGCTTGCGGGAACACTGACTTTGGTAGATTAAACATCTCTCTAGAGGATTATCTCGAACAATTTCACGAGACTTTCGAAATGAACAACAAAGTACTCGATACATCAAGCCAAGAAAACACACGATCTTCGAGAACTAAAACCTAACCAAAAGCTCAAGTTGAGGACTTAAAGTAAGGTCGGTAGACGAACTCAAACACGACTAGTGGTGGCGATTACTGTCCGACATTAAGCCCCATTATAGCAGTCAAGGACAAATCACTTAAAAGCGGAACTATATGTGTGCCCTTGTATCGCAGGACAAAACAAGGCTCACAAGACTTGCGCAAAGACTACAAGATATTCTAAAAAACATAAAAAATTCACAAACGTGTAGCCAGAACACTTCAAATGTAGTTCATAATAATTTTTTATCTTCGAGGCAGAACAAGAAAATCAGAATGCACCGAGAAGTGAAACTCACTTTATCATTTGTTTTATTTAAAATTACACAATTTTAATCCTCTTCTCGGAAAATGCAAAAGAGCTATGTGAGTGCGAGGCCGGATGGTTTATTTTCCCAACAGGCTCACGTCAACACGTCCCGCCTTACACTCGCTAGCTTTCACTATGGTTATCTACGGCATTGCACGTGCGGGACAGTGAGGATCATATGATATATGAAAAGATGTTACTTACTTCTCTCGTCCGTCTTTACCCAGAGGACCTCACTTGACGGACCATTCCCACACTGGTTGTAGGCCCGCACTTTGATTTCATACCTTCTGTTCACAATTAATCCTGTAAGGTTGAAATGTACGTCGGGAACACTAAACACTTTTCTTTTCTCCCATGCCGGTTGACCTCCTTCTATTATCGAATATTCTACTTCATATCCGAAAATTTCGTCATTTGTCTGATTCGTTGGCACAGCATCCCATGTGATAAAAATGCTCTTGTACGTTTTGTTTACCATCGTGACATTTTTTGGAGAAGTCCTGGGAACTGAAATGTAGGCTAGTTTCGGTTAACAATGAAATATTCGAGAGCAGATCCTCAGTCTTCTTGGTTGATGTTTTGGTGCGCCTGCGATCTTCTCAACACCAGCGGTAAAGATCACTGACGCACTGGAACACTCCCGACTTAGGACCAGCCTATCATATCAAGGGGTCAGAAACATTACACTTGCTAAATTTAGGCAGCTTATCGAATTCGGGCGGGTCCTAAGTTTAGACACGATCTGATGGGCCTATTTGAAATAAAGGGTTATCCTGTTTTCTTAATGAGGATATATTTGTTAAAGTAACCCCCCCCAAAAATTGATGATATCCTAAAAAGATGAGTTCCACCTGCAAAAGCTCAATTAGGGACAATATTAGTTCCGATGTTTTCTTCCGAAAAATCAGTTCGAAGTATGTAATGACATTTGTATCCCTGCATACCCTAGAATTATCAGCCTACAAATATAACATCAACAATTAACATTCACATGTTGTCATGACTAGAAGCCACAAGTTTGTATAAAGTTGACGATAAACAATTTCTTAATAAGTCTTTGGAGAAGATTTTAGTAACTATTACTGAAAGAAAAACACACTCATCACAAAAGCATTCATATTCATTACGTTATTTTTTATCTAAACAAATTGTCACTCAAGGTAATATTGTTATGGAATTATTATTTTTACTGGGAAACTTTAAATTTTGCTCTCATAATTTGCCCGGAAATTTTAGAAGGAAATTAAAGAGCTTACCTGATCTATCCGAAATGCAACTGTTTTTACCGTGGGAAGATAAACACCCGTTAACCTAAAAGGCGTATAGCGAGTACATAATTATATAATTGTGATAATGGTGATGATGAACAGACAAGAGAGATTTCAGAAAACAAATCCATAATTTTTTGATAATTTACGGAAGACGGAAATGTTCTAGGAAAATGCCTTTCAAAATATCGCAACGGTTACACCTCTCAGTAGGGTTGATTGCATTCATAAAAGTAGCATGATTTGCTTCTGGCAGCACCTAGATTCTTCGAAAATTATGCTGAAGTTATGCTCATTTCTCTGAATTACACTTCCCACCATTGCGATCGAGGTTTGGTTGTTCAGCAAATTAGAGACAAAGCAATTCGAACAAAGACAAAACAGTGATTGCCGGTCAGTTTTTAGTAAGGTTCCAATCATGTGTCGTAATATTTCCACATATCTTGAGCAGTTATGCCCCACTTTTTACTAAGAGGTTCGAGCGTGGTAATTTTATCATCGAGTACGAGTGCATCGTCCGGCAAATCGTTGATAAAAGAGTTGAGCCTTGAGTATATTCTTTCTGCAAGTGCAGGTGACTCTGATCTAAGTATCTGTCGTTTTAGACGGTTTCAAAACCTCTCTCGTGAGATTGAAGCTCCTTGAACAAAATTGACTGCTGCTGAATAATCTTAATTGCCACAGCCGATGCTCGAAGTGAATTCAGAGCGAAATAACGTTACTTTCTCACTTTGTGAAGATCACAGATTCAGATTATACAGGCAGTGCTAACATTAAGATAAAAGCAAAGGAGTAAGCTCGGTTTGCTAAATCAAGCCCATAAAAGTATGCCGACAAATCGACAAAAAGTCTGCTTCACAAGTCAAGTAAAGATGCAAGCACCTCATTTATTGAAAGTTGAATCATTGATCATAAATAATGAAAGAAAGGGATGGAAGGTAACCATCAAATTTCCCAGTACCTAAAAGGTTATCTCTGAAAGCTGTCCTTGATTTGCGGATTTGTTACCTCATTCACATTAAGTCTTATCCGAACGCTTTATATATTAAGTAGTGTTTGTTTATGATGCCGATGCTGAACATCCTATAAAACGCTAAGTTTGCTTTCTTCTAATAATATCAAAATGGTAGAATAAATTTAAAAATCTATCAATCATGAATAAATGAATAAAATCGGGGATCAAGGGAAATGTTCTCATCAAATTGAAGTAGATGGTAGGGTTAGAAACAATTAATCTAAACGGATAAGTGACAACTTCCTTAAATGCCTTTTATTACTTGACATGGAACTAACTTTGTTTTATCAATCATATTACTTACCTTCTTTATAATTGTTTTTATCTGCTGGAAAACGAAAATAAATTCTGGTTTTTCTATACACAAAATTGGATAAGAATATTTAGAGCTTAACGCAAAGGCAAGGCAAATTGACACCTGGATATCGTTTGAACATTTTTGAACAAATGATAATTAACATGACTGTGACAAGGCATGTGAAAAAGCCGATATATTCGATTAGCTAACGCTTCCGACAGCAGTGATAAACAATTTAGGCAAACTTTCAAACAAAAAAACTCAAGAGCAAAAGCACCGAGCGGACGTATTTCTCTGCAATTTTAAGTAATATAAACATTGGTTTAAGTGATCAAATAAAACTTAAGCCAGCAAATAATGAAATTAATGGATAGATTGAATAAGGAAAGGGTGTCTTTAAAACGTCTTAGATTTAAACGCTTCCTGGAGAAAATAAAGGGGATTTTTGTTTAGAAGAAGCGTATTAAAAGTGCATGGAAATTAGCAGAAAGACAAACATGTTTGCACTCCTAAAATGAAGAATTAAAAGAGGAAGTCTTTATTTCTGTTAGAAAAAATCGAAGTAGATGGAAAATAGGTTTCGTGTTTGAGATACCCATGATCCCATGAGCTTTCGTGGAATGTGAAATTATTTTGACTAACAAACAGTAACGTCACTGGCTTTAGCTGCCTCGCAGAAAATTGAATTCAAAATAAATAAAATTAAACCTGTGACTGTACTTGCTGGTTAAAATTGAAGCTAGTTTGAGCTGTGAACTGCAACAAATGACGTCGACTACTAAATCAGAATTACAACCTTGTTTTACATAATACAGCACTCACTTTACTCGTCCTTATCTGCTGAAACACAAATCCTGGGGAGTGAAAGAGAGACCCTTCTCTGTCGCAAAAGTCTCCAACTCCACAGTCATTCAATTCACACAGACCGTTGGCTTCTTCCGATCTCTGGTAGTTGTACGAGATGCATCTTGGATCATCATGGCAGGTTTGTAGACAGTTGAACCAGTCTGTTGCAGTATAGGCTTGAAAAACATGGCCGGCTAAAACATGGTTGTTCTTTGTGGTGGGCTGAATTGCAAATATCAGTTTGTGCTGAACAAAAACTAAAACCAACTTGAGAAATACGAAGTATTTGAGCATGACGATATGAATGATATTCTTCTCACGTTATTAATGACAGAGAGCATCAGATATTTAGGGGAATTACCATAAGTGACAGCTCTTAAAAGCTCAAATTAATCGGCCGATGTCTATTTTCTGAAGTCAACTCATTTTGTTTACGTTTTAACGCTTCCAAATGTTATTTTTGATTCTCCTTCAAATAATTCACTCTCGTCTCCAGAAACTTAATAGACCGCAAAGATATCATAAATTAAAATTTAAGTGAGTTAGGCTTAACATTACTATCTTTTAAGCTTAATTCTGCATTTAAAAATCGCAGCAGGTGATCTCCAAAAAAAAATTGCCCAAATGTGAAGTGACACATATAAATAATTGCTCTCACCTCTTTCAGAATTTAAGCCGAACTTTTGTTATCGAAAGCGCATTTGCACTTCAAGTCCGATCATATTTTACGATAGGAAATAAATTACGAACGCCTTCACTGGAATTCATTCCCACTGATGAGATAACAAAAACATTGGAAAAGCTTGATTCTTGCGGACGTGACAAAAAAGCATCTGCTCAGATTGTTTACCTCATGATCTCCGCTTTGACATCCATAAACTCCCATATCATAGGGTTTACCCCGCGAGTGGGCAAGGTTTAATGAATATTGTGGTTGATTGACTACCCGTTCGAGCAGTTTAGGCTCGATTTGCCCACTTCGAACCCGCGATGTGGAAAAATGCTAGAACGAATAAAGGTTTTGCGGGAGTTTAGCACAAAAAAGTGACCAACACTTCCATATAAACAGGCAACAAAGTTGTCCCCTGAAATATGATAACTTCAACCCACGTTCATGCGCTGTGAAGATGATTTTTTATGTCTCATGATCAACTGTGAGGATAAGTTGAATGAAATGCATAGCTACTTGGTACCACTGGTAACCACATTAATACTCTGTGATTTGCTTTGGAAATAGAGTTTGTTTTGAAAATTGAAAGTAATGCGAAGGGAATTTAAAGGATTCTTTGTAATAAAACAAATAGAAAAGCCTTGACTGTGCTCTGTATTGTTGAAAAGAACGCAGGATGCGGTTAGAGCACGAAAGAAGTGTAGTGAGGAACACGAGACGTGGTCGAGTGTTTCTCCCCACTTCTTGAATGTTTCACAACAAAACATGGAACAGTTAGGGCTTCTCTATTTGTTATTTGTTATACATTTCTAAGATCAAATGACTAAATATCTTTATTGCGCCTTTAATCTTTTCTATTTCCTTTTTTTGTTTATGCTGCTCCCTTTCTCTCTTGGTTCCCCCTGGCCCCCTCCCTCCTTTCGTTTCTTCCATTCATTCTAGAGGGGATACGAGAGACCGAAAAGTGGGAAGTGGGATACTCGAGAGGGAGGGCACGAATTAACAACGTTATATTTTTTTGACAGCGAAATTGCTGTCGGGGATCTACCCTTTGGAAAGGAAAGAAATGATACAATTTTCACGTATTTCGGCCTTCGGAAATGATTTTTATTTATGGTTGAATCATGACTATTCGATGAAAAGACGTATTGACGACGAAATTATGATGTCAGCCAAGATTCAATCTCGTTCCGCGGGTCCTCTCTCTTCCACCCTCTCTCTTGAGGGAACCATGTCGCCAAATATTTTAATGACTTAGAACTAGTGATTAAGCGTAGTCATTTTGGGTTCTGGTCACTCGTGGACATTCGTGGTCACTCGTAGTTACTCGCAGTCACTCGTAGTCACTCTTTGTCATTCGTGGTCACTCGTGGTCACTCGCGGTCACTCGTGTGTTCGTTTAGAAATACAACGAGGTCTTGCTTATTGATTTTCACATCGTAGTTGTGGAGTATTTGACAAGTATTTGAATGTGTGACGAAAGCGTGAGTAAGGGTGACCAAGCCTTGATGAGAAATCTTTGACCAAATGTTAATTAGTTGCCTGCAATAAACTTGGCTTACTTCTTGCACTTGAGCACTGTGCCACTAAATCTTAATCAGACTCCAAAAGAAAGTGTTTCAATGTTTTTTCCTGAGTGGATGCGTTCCACCAAGATTGAACCTCCAAGCTATAATATCTTTATCGTCTATCGTAACATTCGAAGGTAAGCCCTTATGCTGAGAGATTGTGAGTTAGCAGTCCAGGTCTATTCGGCTTCTTTCTTCCTTCGAAAAAGCGATTTATCGCTAATTTATTTATTTTAAGTATCAATTTCAACCTCGTTTCAAGAGGGAGGGGGGGTGGGGTTGATGCCGGGGTGGGGTGATAGAATGCTAGAACTGTACATCGAGTTCATCTCGTATTTGAAATACGCCAAAAAAACTTTTATCAACCAAGCCGAGCAAAATAACTTTACCATGTCAAATATTCCAACCTGGTAAACATCGTCCTATACCCCAACGCCCCACAGATGCTACGATGAATTCAGAATTCTCCAAATTTTTGTCTTCCTTCTTCGCGACAACGAAAAAAGAATTTTAAGAAATAAGGAAAAAACAAAAACAAACAAACAAAGAGCAAAGGACAAACACGAAAAAATATTTCAGTCGAGTTGAGCCTTGATCGCAAAGCAAAAAGCATTCAGTTGCTTCGAGAAGATTACAATATTGGTTGCGGTCGAAAATAAACTTCAAACAAGACCGCTTACCGCCCTGTCGTCGCTTTACTCTTGGATATAACGTGATGAAAAGTAACTGACGTCATACTTCAAACAAGAGCCATAACAAAAACAAGAACACCATAACAACAACAAAGTTATGAGACGTAAATATCACCTTTCGGCTCCTTTGTGATTGGATGAAGTCCCTGTTGTATGGGTGGGGACGGATTTTATTAGTCAAGGAAGGGTAAGAGCTAATTAATCTCTTAATTCCAAGTGGCAGGTAAAAGTCATAAATGGTCATAGAAAGGGAGAACAAAAGATCACCGTTTTTTTTTCCTTTATTGTTTTTCGCGACGTCGTGTCTGCGTGGTAATACTTCCCCTGACTCTCCCAGTTAGTGAGTACCCTCCCCATCCGTCCGTCACTGCCGTTTTTTAGGAATATCCCGCAAAGTAAATATCTGAGAGACTCGAAGAAAGCAAGACGCAAAGCGGCACACATTTCGAAAACCTGCTTCAAAAATGGTAGACTGCCACCGGGTTTTAAAGGCAGCATGTATAATTTTCAACATGATTATGTACACACTACTTCTGGTCATGAATTACGCTGCAAACAACAAAAGTGGGATCCTTTTTGGGAACAAATCCGTCAGTCAGGTGGTACGAAAATACTCCATCGAGTTCAGCCCTGCGCCTTATGCCTTTGAGATCTGGAAGCTCGTAAACGCGTGGACCGCTGCATGGATTCTATACACGCTGTCTTACATCTTCAGAAAACGCATGCCCGATGCTTTGAGTCCGTTTTTCTACGTTTGTTTTACGCTGGCTACCGTTTCGAACATGGCTTGGACTCAGTTCATTAGCTGGGAGATGATCAAGGTAACATCAGGCTTCGTTTTCGCTATGGTGGTGTTCCTTTACGCGTCTCTCGCTTGCAGCTTCGCTGGTTTGTACAAACAGCGCTACTTCATCGGTCGATTCGATTATTGGGTCATTCACATGCTGGTAAATAATGGGATTGCTGTGTATGCTACATGGGTCACCGTAGCCGCTCTTCGCAGTCTGGCGTTAATTCTGACGTATTTCCACGGCATAGAGCGAGAACTCTCGGTCACAATCGCTTTGGGAATTCTCATGCTGTTAATCGTGGTGTGGTTTATCCTAGAAAATACAATTTTTAGAGAAGATCTATTGTATACCATAACAATTTATCCAGTTTTAATTTGGATTTTTGTCGCCAGCATAATCCTTAACTTGAACCGCGTAAGCCGCCTAAATACGGCCATTATGCAATCTCTTCTTGCCGTGTCGTGTACACTCTTTATTGGAAAAATTAGTCTCGTCGTGTGGAAAATCATCAACAAATGTCGAGACACCAGGGCAAAAGCTGACCTAGCAATGACGGAGATAACTCCCGGGTCTGATGAGAACCGCGAACAAAAATACACAGATAGATCGGAAAATCAGGAACTTGTCGATTAGGGTTATTTCAAGCCAAGCACATTTGCTGTTAATAGATCGAATTATCGATATTGTAACCCTACCCGCAATACCGACCACGCATTTTTAAGATGCTGTAAGTGATTCTGTCACGCTCTGTTTAGGCCTAAATGGTGTAGCTAATATAGGGCTCCCGGTGATATCAAAGCGGACAGGAAATTAGAGATGCTAAAACGTTGACAGACTTGGTTGACGATAAACTCGACTCTTTTGCTTTGTTTTGTTTTTGTAGGAGCCCTTAATGGACTCCTTTTTCTGACATCCAAACGATTGCTCCTGGGTAAAAGGTAGTGTTGGTAAGATATGTATCATAATCACAAATTCCCTGTTGATCGATTCTTAATCAATCAGCCTTGGCTGGAAGCTTTTTGAACTATTCAAAAAAAAAGAGATAAGAAATGTTTAAAAAGAGATATTTGAATCTCGTTTTGCCACGAGCGTCGGACAAATGAAAACCAGTTTTAAATGTAACGTCTTGTCTGACGTTCAGATCTTTAAGATGTACATTCTTGTTAAATTGTTCGTTTTATTATAGTTGATGACAATTGATTAAAACAATATTTCAATAACTCGTAGCCTATGCCAAACTGTTGTTCAAGAGATGAGTGAAATGGCGTACGAGCGAAATGTCTTGCTCTCTTTCCTTCCTCCACATCCCTCCCTTCCCTCCTTCCTCCCTTCCCCACCCCCCTGCCATGTTTTAGATTTTGGCTTTACGACCCAAAACAAAAATGGTGACTAAGTCACATCAGTAAGTTTCACTATTCAGCTTCGTAGTAACATTTTCCTGCGTTGACGGCCTCGCTTTAATTCCATCGTTTTCTTCATGAGTCAATGTTATAGGGCCTATTTCTATTTCAGACGCTGAGGCATATATCTTGTATCCAAAATAACTTTAATTTGTCTCAATGAGTTAATGTCAATTCATCCAGAACGGCGCCGGCTTAAGGGCGTTTTTTTGCTATGTTTTATCCAGAAAGGTCGATTAAGATGATTTAGTGCTTGATAAGTCGCCGAACTTTCCGTGACTCTGTTATAAATAGATTCCATTTTGCCGTTCATTTGTTCTGTAATGGATTGCAGATGACTGAGGCTCTCATCACATTCCGATGTCTTCTGTGATCACTGAAAAAAACTCATGGTACCAGAGAATTTAATTGCTTTAACCAAAAAAGGAGCAAAATGATGCATTTGAAGAAATGCATCCCGTATTTTCGAAGCTGGTGAAGTATTTTTTAGGTGTGAGCCGTCAAGTTTCTGCAAGAGCCTGAGGCCGAGTGCACGTGAACCGTAATATTGACAGAATAAAAAGTTTCCCTCATTTTTCGTCTGACTGTCCTAATTGTTCGATAAAAACACGACTGGAGAAAGAAATGAGAAGTAAAAATTGAGTTTTTTTACATTACAGTCCACCTAATAAAATTAAAATTCACTGTGACTGATCGCGATCGTTTGTTGACTCGGAAAAAAGGTTATGCATCTTTCCTCGCAAACGGTTGTCGAGAATCTAAAATAATTATGCCCGTATTGTGGCATTTCCATTTAAGCGTCGACAAAAAAACCATAGTAGCCACAACAACGAATCAGAACAAGGTTTTAAAACATCGTCATTAACTAATGTGAACCAAGAGAGTATCAACTGATGATCTTCTCATGTGTGAACTGAAAGTGAACCTGCTTGAAGCGCGGGAAAACGCAAGTGACTTGATTTAGATTGGTTTTAATTTTGCTTTTGATTGGTTGAGATGGTAGCGCGAGTTTTCTGGACCAATCACAGAGCAGTGTAAGCAAAACCTAAGTAATAGAAGACTTTCGATTCTCAGTTGAAAACTGCTCAATTAGTGTAAATCTACCTTGTTCTGTCACCAACAATGCATATTCAAAAGATTTCAGGAAACTCATTGGCTGAGAACACGTTAATTAATCCTTATCACGCAGTTCGCAGAACCAAGACTCAACCATTTATTTACTGGTAGCCCAAGACCTTACCGACTGTTTCGAGTTTATGGTGACCATACCTAGTACTCAACATATATATGTATGTATATATGTGTGTATATATGCATGTATTTATGTGTGTATATATTACATATATACACATACATATACACACGCACACATACAGGCCACTCAACAAAAGATTTTTAAGAGACATAAGACAGAAACAAAATTGTTTTCATACTCAAGCGAGATGCGGTTTATTTGAAAAACTAGCTACGTAAATTTGTAATCAAAATTTCTCAATTCTGTATAACTATTAAAATAGTGTTAATATTTGCAACAATACTAGTATCAGAGATGATTCACAATAAACAATTGCTATACAAACAGGCAACAACGCCGTTCTTAGCTGACATTCATTGTATCAGAATTCAGTCAACATTCATATTTAGTTTTAAACATTGGAATTGAAGTCACGACAAGTTATTCATTACCGTGTAACATTTGATAACTTTTAAGATAAACAAGATCAGTAACATGCAGGACAACCAAACCTTGGCCCTTGATGTACCTTCAGAGCAGTTTTTAAGCATTTAATTCCCAAGTTTTGATCGTCAATTCTCCCCTCTAGCTGCTACGTATTTCCTTGTAAATTAGTTATGAGAGCATGGCGCTACAACAAGATAGAAGCTTCTAGCTGAAAAGTTTGAATAGTCTCATTACCTGTTTGCTGAATGATGTATGGTTATCATTAGGGAGAAGTTTCATGCTAATTACTTTTGGGAGTTAAACGGTTAATTGGGTGTGAAAAAATTAGAAACCAAAGTAATCAAACTATCAATCAGAACAAAGCCTAACATTGTCATTAACCAATGAGAACTCATAGTAAAAAAAGGCAACCAGCCTGACGTACAGGAAAACACTAGTGACCAAGTTGGGATTGCTGTTGGTTGCTCTTTCAATAATCACTTCAAAACTGCCTATCTTGCTTTGATAATCATGCGTTGTATTTATCATCATTTATATTTAAGCACATGAAAAAATTAATTGTAGTGAGTATAGCATTTGTAGAATGTCATTTAGGTGATTTCTTATCATTAACTGAGTGTGTATAATTACAAAAATTGATTTGAGAATTTGCTTCTGGAGTTTCAGCTAAAAAAATACATTTATCATTTGAATTGTGATACTTTTGACACAAACATTTAAAACAGTATTTGTTCTATTTTCATCTCAATTAGAAAGCTTCATTGTGACAAAACTTAGAATTGTTACAATTCAGGTCTTTGTACAGATTCTTTTGAACTTCATTGGCTGCAGAAAAAACTTTGGTCTTTGCTCTATTTAACTACATATCACCCCTAGAAATACAGACCACAGTGAATCCTGTCTTACCCCATTACACCCTAACATCAGAATGCATATTCTCCTTACTGTTCTCTATACATTTCCTGAGGTGTCAGCAAGAAGAATTTGTTTAACAATCAAGAGCTTCTTTAGTTGGTGATCATTTCCTCTATTCTCATGACCCTTGTGTTTGATTTCAGGCGTGATATTGTAGGGAGAAACTAGATGCTAGGCACTCTGAGGGTTAACGGGCTAAGCAGACACCTAGAGTTAACGGAGCTTAAGTGGCCTTCATAGAAGTGTTTTTTTTTTTTCATTCAAGTCCCTTGGAACAAAGCATGAGGGAAAAGTATAGCCCAGTATTGACTAAATACAGGATCCCTTCTTATCCCCTTTTACTCCAAAGAATAATCAACACATAACCTCTCGGCACAATCTCCATATTATGTCAAGAAAGCAGGTACTGAGAATTGATTGGTCAGCCCTAAAAATTATATTGATAAATAATCCCCTCTTATTACATGTAATTAATGAAAGTATAGGAATGCTATACATAAAGGACAGATCATAAATCCTATTTTGGAAGAAAAGGGTTATTTGAACTTTTTGTCTAACTGTAGTTTTGAATCATTTCTTGCAGGAAACATTGAGGTTCTCGATGGCTTTTTTCAGCTTAATGCATGTTTCACTGTTATGGGAAAAAAGCTGAGAGGCTTTGCTGCAATTCTTGTACTGAAGATCCCTCATTGAGGGCCAATTGTCCTGTGATTCCAATCTTTAAAGTAAACTAAGAGGGGTAAGCATGTACTGCACCAGCAGGAAAAAGGGATGCCTTGAAAATTGTCTCTGATTTTTCCCATCCACAAAGGACACATTGTCCAATTCACTAAAATAAAAGTTTGTAATGTAACTTTGAAATGATTGGCTTTCCTTTGGTTCATGGATGTAATTATATATATCTGTAAATAACCATATTTTAAAAAAACTTCTTCCACATTGAAATATCCTTCCTTTTCATTGATAAACATCTCAGCTCTCAAATCCTTCATTTTGGTGCAGCATCATACTTTATTTGAGTTGGGTTCTGCATATCCACTGTCCACCTCCCCCTTAGCAGGCACCTGATTGCCTTGGTAAAATGTAGGCTAAAAAAAAAAAAGGAAAATTTTATTAAAAATTGACCCAAACTGACTCGACTGATTGGTCGTGCAAGAAGGGTTGCCATGAGTTACAATTAATGACATATAAAATACTGTAAGGTCCAAGATTTTCTTTGAGGGTTTACCAAAGATTGATGATGAGAAGCACATGGTATCAAGTATCAATTGTTGCAGTCAGTCTACCTAATTATTAATTAGCCCTTTCACTCCCAAAAGTGACCAAGACAGAATTTCTCCTTATAATATCAATACAATATCAAGCAGGCAGGTGATGAGAATAGAGAAGAATATCAATCATGGGATCATTAGTTGATCCAATACCAAATTCTCTGAACTAACATCATAAGAATTGTAAGGCAGATAGTAAGGAGAATTAATAATTAGATCTTGGAAGTGAAAGGGTTAAATAACATTTTGACTTGAAACTTAATTCCAGAATGAAGGAAGGATTAAGCGTGCGAGTTTCTGCCACACAACGACAATCATTCACTGATTTTCATGACTTAATTTTTTTTCCTTTTTCTTCCTTGATTCCAAAATAAATATTGACACAAATACATTATGCCAATTCCTACACTTCATTTGAAAAAATAAGTCTGATATTTTTCAGTCATAAAATTTCTTGTTTTAAAACTGCCTGCCATTAACAGATCAAATTAAAGTTAAGAGTCATTAGGGACCTGAATCAAGATAAAAAATTAAGTCAACCACTTCCTTATTGAAATGTCAGACTAATTTTGAAATTCAGGCTCAAAATTGCCTTGGCAAATTTTTACCAAAAATTCAACGGGAGTTGCATCAGAACAGGAAAATATATTCATCTCAAGGTGGAATTTAACATCTTAAAAAATTAAGCCTGATAAATAAAGAAAATATCATTATTTTCTTCCACTGACCGTGGTAGGCACTTGATACTCTGATGAGGCAGGATTCTCAGAAGGAGCCTCGTCATCATCTGAGTTCTCCTCTCCTGATGATGTTTCATCTCCTTCTTTTTCTGCTTTTTGTGGTGGAGTAGGAGCAGCTTGAAAAATGACATAATGATAGTTAATGGTTGCAGATTGCTTTGTAAAAGATGCATTGATGTGTTAACATGAATCCAATTGTCTGTTTCTTCACTTTTTAGTCTTCAATGTGACAGGGTAAAATTTTCACTTGTGATATATTTAGCACAATGACTTGGTGCAACCCAACAATTCACTGCTACATGTAGTTCAATCAAACACAGTCAAACCTCACTCATGATGGGGAGAAAAGCATTGTGTGGACATCACACATTAAAAACCTACTGTTTACTATAATTGTAATGTTCACTTCAAATCTCAACCATTCTTTGTGCATGTTATACTGCTTTAAATCGACTAAAGATAGCCACAGCAGTAAGTAACTCAGTCAGTGAGCTGGTAATTCAGTCCTTCTCCAGCAAACATCTTAGTCTGTCAGTCAGTCAGTTAGTCAGGTAGGCAGACAGACAGACAGACAGACAGACAGACAGACAGTTCAAGAGACGGACAGACATAAGCAAGTTACAAAGAGAGTCAAATGACCCTTCTTTGACATAACTTTCAGGACTAACATAAAAAAATGAATCCCAGTGTAATATACAACCCACAACAAGAAAAGACAACTCAAATTGTACATATTAAATGTTTCAAGTTAAATCAACCCATATTATGGAAGAAATGACATTATGAAATTGTTTATCATATAATATTACAAATACTCCTATATATACATCATGCATAATTGTATGCCTATGATTCACACTTTTTTTTTTGGCTGAAACATGGCCTGGTCAGGTGATATTATGCATGATCACCAAATAAAGCTTTCCTCATTTATCGGCTGGTAAAAATTCCCTCTGCACTTTAACATCCACTGTTTTCCTTTTCAGTCGTCACTACATAAAAAAAAATGATTGAAACAAACCACATTCAACTTACTTTTTTTCTTTGATTCTTGATCTGACTGGGTCTTGCCACTTGATAAAACATTATAGCAGTTGTCACACACTCGCAGTGGTTTTGAAGACTGGGCAGGGAGGAGGAACTTCTTGGTGGAACAGTTACCACAAACAACTCCACCACACTTCCGACAGTGGTGCTGTGTCAAGCAATCAAAAAAAAAAAGGTAAGAAAAATCGCAAGAGCAGGTCAGGGCAATTTGAGAGGAAAAATTGTATTAGGAAGAAAAAACTAGCATAAAAAAAGTGAAAATGTGATGAAATACTTATGGACTAAAAAAAGTCAGGCCCTGCCATAAAAATGTTTCGCTCTTGCAATTAATGCAGGCACCTAACTACATGCAGTGGGGAGCATATGACCTGAAGCCAAATCTTTTCCAGTCCAGCCTTCTCATTCAGTCAATAAGTACAAATCAGTCATGCAACACTTACCCTTCTATTTAATGCAGTGAATTTGCTCTTGAAACAGTGCATGCAAGTGGATGCCTCACTATCTGGAACCCAGACTGCAGCGTGTTCCGTGGTTCCCTTCTTTCCAGCTAGAACAAGACAATTAAACAAAAAAAAAGGAACTTGAATAAGAAACAAAGGGTGAGACTGAGTTTCTGGTAACAAAACACCCCTTTTAAACCCTTTACACCCTAACATCAGTATGCATATTCTCCATACTGTTCTTCATACATTTCTCACAGTGCTGACAAGGAGAATTTGTTTAACAATCAGGAGCTTTTTTTAGTTAGTGATCATTTCCTTTATTCTCGTAACCTTAATGTTTGATTCAAGGGTGATAGAGTAAGAGGAAGTTAGATGTTAATCACTCTTACAGGTTAAAAGGTTAAGAAACACCATTAAACAGTCAGCTTAAAATATGGTTCATTCATGGCCATTGTTTCCTGAAACCCTTACATTCCATTGTTATTATATACTAGCCTGAGGTTAAAAACAAATTTACTATGGGTAAATGTTGCAAGTCTGTACACAATAAGATTCTACATAAAAACATGACATGATTGTATATTGTTTTATGCAGTCTGCATGGAAGGTGAGGCTGATTCCAGACTCAAGAGATTACCTTGTCCCATTATAATAATTATATACTAGCCTTTAGTTATAAACAAATTTACTGCAAGTCATGTTGCAAGTCTGTACACAATAAGATTCCACATGAAAGCATAACATGATTGTATATCATTTTAAGCAGTCTACACATAAGGAAAGGCTGATTCCAGAAGTTATAGTTGACTATGTAAAAAAATACGGTAACTTGTTTGAGCCTGGGGGTAACATTTAATCACATGGTCCTATCATCTGCGTGAGAGTCGCTTGGGAAGCGATGCTGATAGCGGTGACTGACATTTTGATGGCCTATGTTAGTCACTACTGCAACAACAGTCCATCTCAGAACTGCTCTCATGTGGATGAGCAGATGACACAATTAAATTTGTACAAACTGTTCAATAACTAAAGCGCTCATTCTCACTTTTTGCCAACAAGTCCTGAATGCACTTGTTGATGTGTGCCATCCATTCAGCTTTTTCAGTCCTTGTAGCAGCATACACTGCAAATGACTTCTTTGCACTAATGATTTGCCAACCATTCTTTAAATCTAGAAGGCAAGCACACTGAGTAATAAACAGTGGGGCATCAAAAGTAATCCAGGTTTTGCATTGGTTTTGTTTTATTGTACTGTCTGATCAGTAATGGCAATAGGACTGAGTGAAATCCAATTTGGTCTTTCGCCCTTTACACCCCACACTGTAACATCAGTATGCATATTCTCCCCACTGTTCTCTATACTTTCCATCAGTTCCGACCAGGAGAAGTTTTTGGATACTCTTAAATTGGTGATCATTTCTTTTATTCTCATGAACTTTAAATTTGATTCAAAGGTGACATTGTAAGGAGAAATTAGTAACCAGTCACTCTTGGGGGGTAAAGGGCCAACCACACAGTCAAGTGATTAACAAAATCAGATGTGTGACTTGTTTACAGACAGAATAAGACAACATGAAGTCCTGTTACCATTTAATCAAAACTATGACTAAATTTGAGACACAAACAAGCCATTGGTTATACTTTTTCGTAAAAAAAAACAACAGTTGACAAGACAAAAAAATTGACCACAACACATCTACATGATGCATGCTTTCCAGTAACACAGGCATGATGTGCATTTTCCAATTACACTGTCCTGTTGGTACTCAATTGGGGCTGGTGATAACAAATCAAATTCAGGAATTTTCTCAGAGTTATGATTTTTACCAAAAACTTGTGCTCCCCTCCTGATCAATCACTTCAGACTATAACTTTTGCTTGTTTTTACTTTAAATTATAACTGGTTCATTATGATATCTTCCTTAGTTTTGACTGACCATCATGATTACAGTTCACTTTAATGTTTTGACAGTCATTAACATCTTTAAAAGGAAGGTAAGTGTGCATGATGGCTTCCCCCCATTAAATACACGGTAAAATTTACTAGCTTCCCTCATAGACATATCAACCTGCAAAAATGTGCTATAAATAGATGAACTTGACAGCTGCAGGGTTTTATTCTGATATCATATCAAATAATATTTCAACTACTTATTCACCAGGCAAAATACAATAGCAAAAGGATTGAATTTCTGATCAGAACATGGGTTACAACATAACAGCACTCACTTCCATCATCATCCAAGGATTGCAGTTTGATATCTTCCAGTGGGATTATATGCTGTTTATTGTACTGAAAAGAAATTCAAATCACTATTAACCCTTTACACCCTAACATCAGCGTGCATGTTCTTCACACTGCCCTTTATACATTCCCTAAGATGCTGACAAATAGAGAATTGGAGAATTGTTTACCAGTCAAAAGCTTCTTTTGTCGGTGATCATCTCCTTTATTCTCAAGATCTTAACGTGTGATTCAGGGGATGATATTGTAAGGAGAAATTCCATACTAGTCACTCTCGGGGTTTAAAGGGTTGATGTCTTGTGAATTTAGCAAATAGTTCACACTAGAATAGCCTTTTAAATAATAATTGCCCAACTAATTTTGAAAAAGTTCTAGCTTGGAGAATACAAAATGCAATAATGACAAGCTTGCATTAGAAATGTAATGTAACCTTCACAACCTTTTATTTGAGACAAAAAACAAAAAGCTTGCCCTTTGCTCTTTACATTTTGAAAAATTCAATGTAAACCTTGATTACCTTCTTCTTGTTAATGACAATATTTCCATAAACAAGGATGTCATTAAACAGAAAAAACTGACGTGGTTTAGGCTTCTTGCGGCACAGTTTAGTTAATACACCTTCACCAACCAGTACTCTTCCTGGAACCAATAATGGCTAAAGAATAGAAATTAGAGAAAAAAAATTAGAAATAAACATTAAATGTTTATAAATGGGAGCATTCTGAGTTCTTTTTATCTGGGTATCCTTGTATCATTCATTGACAGAATAACATCATCTTTCTCTTTACCCTTTATATCCCAGAAGTGATTAACATGTAACTTCTCCCTGCGATATCTATACATTTTCTAGACAACAGTTAATGAAAATACTAAATATTTATCTGGAAGAAGTTTTTGTCTTGATCTTACACCAAATTCACATCACTAATTTACAATGAATTGTGTGACAGCAAGAGGAGAGAATTAACAATCAGATCTTGGGAGTTAAAGGGTTAAATCATCAAGCTTAAAATTTACCACCATCATTTACATAATCATAATGCAGAAGCATCACATATTGACAATCCTATTCTAGCAGTATGCAGGAAGTTTTTCACCATGGACCGAGTTAAATGGCCTAGCCTGTCACAAATCTCCCATAGCTCTGTGGAAGAGCATCTTAAATATTAATCAGAAGGTTTTTTGTAGGTTTGACTCCTATTGGAAGTACTTGGAGTTCTTTTCTCAAAGTATGCCAATTTCATTCACTGATTAACATCACCTTTCAAACATTTATTGTGTCATGCTTCCGTAAACAGACAATACACTTCATGTGTGCACATTTTTATTAGGACAAGTGGGTTTATTTCATCTAGGAAAAAAAGTCAACAAGTATGTTTTCCATTTATGAATACCATTGACTGACGAGTATTACTTTTGACTGCTCATAACAGGAAATTGTGTCTAATTTGGTCTGTAATTCTAGTTTACTAATAGTAAACAATAAGTAAGACTTCTGCTTCGTGGTCATCCAGTTCTGGTATTCATACATCAAATAGGAAAATGCCATACTAAACTCTTGTCTGTTCTATTACCAGTATTAATTTCCAAATTTCAAGATCCATCCTACTAAATTTTAATCAAGTCATAACATGATTACAAATGCATGCCTATTATTAATGCACGTTAAGGTCGAACCAAAGTTATGAGAAAGAGCAGTCTACTATACATATTCAAATCACAAGGACCAAAACATCATCAGGACATGATCTGCATACTTACTTGTCCAGATGCTCCAAAACAACTTTCCACATTGGTAATTCTTCTCTCGTTGGCCTCTGTATTGGCTGAAATTATCACACATACAATATTTTAAAAGCATTAAGGAGAGACAATTAAGATGACATAAACACCACAGGTCGGTTGTTTCAATAGCGATCAGTAGCCTTAAGCGATCGATAAAATTTTATGGGTACACTGTGATACCTTTCTGCAAACAAATCATTTAAATGAAGAAAATGCTACTTAGACTCTTCAGGTAATGAAACATATCGAAACTCCAATATTTAATAAGTCAATAGTTTCGTCTAATATGGTGGTTTCACCCTTTCCCAATCCCATTGCACACCTCCTTCATAAAAATAAGCCATTGTTCCCTCTCTGCCACGATCGACTTATTTGCTGAGCGAAAGGCAATATCATGAAACAACCTCATCCGAAAGCTTACAGACACTTACACGCAGAATTAAGCTAGCATGACATGCATGGCTGAGAACTGTCAGGCCGCCATTCACATCAAAAGTCGTACTCAAATATAGACAATCGAAAGTATTTCACACAATGAAAATGCCCATCATCAAAAAAGATCGAAAGTTAAGGAAGTATTTAAACCTGATGAGGTTTTTTCAGGAAACCCCGTCCTAAAAATAACCGAAAAACGTTACAATTCCTTCACATACCTAATCGGTCCACCATCTTGGCTCCAAGATCATACGGTGGTTCCAAATCACGTGGTCATGAAGCAATCATGATTGGTGGGTGGATATTCGTTATTTCGTCACGAGAGGAACAAAGTGACGAAGGGGAGGGTCTCAAATATCTACAATGCCATTTAAGGTAACAAAATTAATTTTATACCGCACATATAGCTCATTGCTAAAAGCGGCGAGTTGAAACCACTCACAAGAGGTCATCAGTTTATCACAACTGGACTGAGACCCAGGGAGCCTTAAAACTTGAGTTACTCAGGCTGGTCCAGACCCTAGCTGACTTTACAAGCAAAAGTTTATTTATCTCCTCTGATTCTTCAAAAATTATCAAATAATTTGATACTAAAACAAAAACATCTTTTGAAAATAAGGGAATCAGCCCTAAAATTCATTAGTGTGACCCCTGACCAACACAACTTCCTTTCAGGTAATGTAAACAATTTTTTTAACTTTCATAATGGCACCTCCTCTGGTGAAAAAAACTCCAAGATTGAGGGGGAAATGGTGAGGACACAAAAGCATTGCATATATATCATATCCTGGGTCAGGGTCTTCTTAAGGGAGGGGAGGGGAGGGGAGGGAGACAATTACATGGGTGGGAGTGTAAGGTCTACATGTGACACTGACAATCATTTTAATCTAATTCTAAAAATTCAGACCCAACACGAGAAGGAAGAAGAGAGGAAAGGGAAAGGGGGAAGGATTTAATGCTCTTATCAAAAGGATAAACTTATAAGTTCAACAGCACATACCCAATAGAATTATTCTAACACAGAGAAGAGTTCTAAACTTTTTCTAAGACAGGAATCTGCTTATATTTGATTCATGACCTGCTAGGTGTGCGCTAGCTATTTTCAAAGAAATAAGTCCCATGCTATTGCTACTCAAATGCAGTAGCATCAGCAGTCTTGGAAAATGACAGAATTTTGTTTATGACTTGTTAGCAATTTGTGTTAACCAATACAATATCCCTGCAAAATTGTGGCTTCTCATAGGAACATTAAATTCAATACTTATTTGAAAGTCAACCCATTTATTAATTCTACATATAGTGATATGATTTACATGCTGTGATTTGTTCACAGTTTTACAATTGGTTAAAAATTTTTTCCAACCACCACATAGAAGAGTAAGCATATACCTTGCAGGTAAGACATCAGTGGATTTTTAATCATAAATAAATGGTTATGATTCCAGTGTCTAGCACTCTCCAATCCAAAACACAACCTTTACCAAACTGCACCTGTTTGCTGTATTTTCATGTTTTAGAAAGTGTTTTTTTATTTTTTTTTATGCATGATATAATGGGAAAAATTAAGAAGTCTATAAGTGGATCATGAAACATTCTGCAAAATCTCATTGAGAATAGGCTGTGGCAGGGGTAACTTCCTGATGTTCTGTGATAAAACAATCTTCCTAAGGAACCTCATGCAGTACTCCTCCAGACTGTACACTACCGAGTAATCAAAACATTCGATTATTAAAGACAACAATAATTATATTTTTTAAAAGTGTATCCATATGAAAAATGGTTCTTCACCACATACTACCTGATACAATTTTTAAAAGAGTAATACCCACAAATTAAATCATAGGAGCCAAGCTAAAATTCCCAGGCATGTAATGTGGAAACATTTTCCTGTTTTCATCAATTATAAAAATTTTCCCAGTCAATTCATAATTGGGTAGAATATAAGTGTTTTAACCCTTTAACTCCCACTTCAAATGTGTAATTCTCCTTACTGTCAACCATGCAATTCTTATAATGTTAGTTCGTAGAATTAAGTATTGGATCAACTAATTTTTCCCAAATTAATATTTTTCTTTATTCTCATCATTTATCTGGTTGATACTGTATTAATACTGTAAGGAGAAATTCTGTCTTGGTCACTCGTGAGAGTTAAAGGGTTAAAAGATCTTGTTCTCTTTGATAGAGTCCATCCATGTACAGTGTACTGTACGACTGGAAGGGCACGGGGAGGTTTCCAAGTAAATCTGTCAGTTTGGAGCAAAAAGGAACTTAACAATTGCCCCTCGCAAAAGCCACCAATAGGAAAACAGTACGGTATATCTCTTAATTTTTAAACCGACATCATCCTCAAAGGCATGCTCTCCATAACACAACCCCTCTACAGCTATCAATAGCCCGATTATCTCGTCTAGACTTTGTAACGATTACAAGCTACAGATGCATTACTCCAGAAGATTGCTGTCTATTACTCTCTTGCTCTTCCATACAATATTTTCAATTAACAGGTACGTCCGAGGGAAGCTAAAAATTGCGAACAACAACTAACCTGGTGTTGTTATGTTTATTTCCGCTCTAGAAGCATAGAATCTTCGGGTATCATAGTCTACTCCCCGTATAACAGGCTCGTCGGGAAAAAATGTTTCCTTGAAGTTCAGTAACAGCCTTTCATTCGTTTCTTCGTCCACTGCAATCCAAGGATGTGTCACATATGTGTTCATTTTAAGGCGATTGTTCGTTCGACTCTCAATGGTGGCAAATAACTGTTCTTCACCACTGTAATTGAACCATTTCAAATTGACTCTTCGTCCTGTGTGATTTATGAATAGCACTGGCGATACGATTCTGTTGTGTAACGATTTAAGAGGACGCTCAGAAACTTCCTCTTCTCTGTCATCCATTTGAAAAAGAATCGAGGTGTTAGAGCACTTGAAATTGGAGCATTCTGATCGGCACGACTTCGGAGGACATCGTTCAGATGTTTTGAAAGATGTTTCCTTGAAATTCTGATGAGCTGTCATGAACAAAGACTTTGTCATGTAGCTGACATTGTTGTGTCCTGGAGGTATCTGTCATGCATGATTGCGTGACAAGCTAAAAACACATAACCATGGTAATAAACAAATCCAGGCTTTAAGAGATAAAAATGTTTATTTCAAGATGTTGCAACACTCACACTCACACATTATTACAAGGATGTATATCTTCCTTCTTAAAAATATGAAAATTAAACAGATGAAAATCAAAATGATTAGCACACGTATTAACAAGGTTATTTTCGTTTCCCATAGGTTCTTTTCGCACCATTGCTTTGGCTTCCCGCAATCAAGTCTTCCTTTGGATTCTTCTGCCAAGTTCTTACATAATCAGTCTTTGATCCTTTTAATTTGCGGAGTTTTAGCTCCCTTGTAAAATAAGACATAAGAAAAGGTTTAACCAGTGAGATAAGGATATATTTCACCGTTGTTGACTTCACATTTTCTTCACTGAGGAAAATAAATTTCTTTGAAATGCCACCCCGTCGACAAAAGAAAACGAACAATAAGTGTTTTTTACAACTTGGGGCCATTTAACGATAAATAGTTCTAAGTCATTTTTTTAACTTTTCATTATTCATTTATTTTTCATGTATCTATTTATCTTATCCGATATGGATGTTTAGATAGCTGCCACTTTACTGATAAGGGAACTAAGAAGTTTCGCAAGAATACTAACAACTCGGCGTTTTAATTCTGGTGAATCTTCAGATCAAGAGAGAAAGGTATTGAGATTTTTTCATTAAAAAGGAGAAAATATAAGAAAATAAACGAGGAGTGTTTTTCATTTCGCAAAACACGTTTCGACCTCCCCGTATGACACCAGCAGTTGTATACAATTCGATACATTAGACGTGCCTTACAAAGTAACAAGTGCTCTTTCTTGCACTTTGGTGATTATGCTAAACCACTGATTCTACCTTTGAGGAACAATCCATTCGCATTTGTGGTGTATTCGGTGGACGTTTCATAGCAAACTCGTTCTCAGGGTCCTCTCTCTTAACGAGGACCCTTGGAACGAGAGTGATCTTATAGCAGACATAGCGAAATGGGAGTAGGGTTGGGGACAATGAGGAATGGAAAGGGACAAGACCTCCAGTGGCTCTTACGTTCATCGACTGCACTTACTCGTAGAAGCTTTTCTTGATAGCACTTCGAAACATTTGCAGACTACCAACTGACATCAAAATGATCACCAAAATGTTACCAAACATGTTTAAATGCTGCCGACGCAGTTCCTCTCGTGTGAAACCTGCCAGGGAATTACATGACAGCTCAACCCTTAACCGTGTATCATCATCATCAACACTATCACTGGTATCGTCATCGTGATTATTATGATCATCATCATCATCATCATCATTATTATCACTACCATTATCATCATCACATTTTGAATTAAGTCCGATCGCCTCAAGTTTCATAGAAAAAAGAACACACCAGAAGTTTTCAAGAAGAAAGTCATGCGAAATTCAAGCTTTCTTTACGAAAAACGTACATCTGTACATGAACACTTAATAATTTTGAACTTCTGAAGTTCTTTTGTCTTGAGCTAACCTTGTTTTCCATCGACTTCCTCGTCCAAAATGCATTTCAAAGTCCAATCGATTAAATCCTGTACATCATTCGTGTGATCCATAAACCATAAGTACGCAGTTTTCTGAATGATTAAAAAGAAGCATGAAATACTCAAACTGGAGAAGATTTCGCATCATGCGGAAGGCATTGTTGATCTGAGGTCAAGGATATCTGATTGCATACACAGCAGAATAGACACACCAGTCAACTGTACCGAGAACTTATTAGAATATAGGCTATGAGCATTAATAGCGTTGCAGGACGCTCATTTTTCCGCCGCGTGGTAGATTTGAGACGATTCGGGGAGAAGTTTTCGTGAGTTTAGCACTCATTATCAGTGAAAAAAATCAGTGAACACTCAGCATACGCATTAACTTAATCGGATGCGCATGCTCAAGTTTATCACCTTCGTGAGGTCGCTTACAGCAAACTAGAACTACACACTACGCGCAAAAACCGGAACAGCGGGAAATATCCTTCACGACATCTTATTGAGCTAGAGAGGGATTCCGTCAACCTTGGAAATTAATCATGAACTTACTAAGGACACCCAGAAGGGTTGAACACTCTTCACGATGAGTCCTCGTAATTCTTTAGGATGTCCGTTTCCACCTTAAGAGAATAAGATAAAATGTGACAATAATGAACTCGGGAAATGTCAAAACCACTAATGTTACCAGCCTCGGTTAATTGCTTTATTGATAAACTGAAACAGTTATAACTGTAAAAGTGGAACTACTGCGAAGGGGAATGAAGGTGTGCAGCCCCAAGTTGACCACTTACTCAACCGATCTCGGTCTAAGACAGGTGCCTCCTAGATTCAGTTAACACTGACTCAATTGTTCTGGGCCCAAGGCAGGTGTAGGTTTTTTTTAGAGCATATAAAACTTGCCCGGGTTTGCATAGGATTCAATGATCTTTCTCAGCTCCTGAAACAGAGCCAAGCCAGGAATCATTTGGAAATTGCGTTTATGGCGCTAAAGGTCCATGCTCTTTGTCTACCTCAAACTTACAAGTTGGTTTTTTTCCCTAAGAACTTAACTCTAAGAAAAAACGAAGACGGTTCTTACCTGAGCCCACGCCGGGGAAAGAGGCAAGAAAAACGAGGCACAACAGCCCGCTCCAAATAAACAAGAATCGCATTTCAACTTTGTCAATAAATTGCTCTCGATTTGCAAACCGCAGACAAAATGTCAAAGCCACCAGAATGATGATTTTCAAATGATCACTTGCATGTCGTCACAAAAGACTTTTACTTCGAGCACGAGCGCGCGAGGCCTACTTCCTAGCGCATTCTAAGAATGCGTGCACTTCGTGCCATATCACTGGCTTTGAAACTGTTCGAGAATTTCCTTTGTGAATAGTTGTTGCTCTCAAGGAGGGAAAGGGCAGGTCTTGCTCGTCTATTGAACTCTGTTGCGGTTTAGAGAACGCGAGTATATTTAGTTTACGTACACTGCCGATCCATCTTTCTTTGTCTAAAAATAAAGGCAAAACTGGGTCTGTTCAAAACAACGGACGAGACTACTTAGAACCTCTTCTCTGAGTCTGACTTCTCAGGACTGGCTGACTAAGGAATGTAAAGTCGCCAGTAGGGGAAAATGAATGATCAATCAGGCCTCTCACAGATGTCACATCAGTTTTGCTATCTAAGGCAGAATTCGTACACGTGAAATATGTCTGGGCAATTATAAGTCAAACTATCCAAATTTTCGCACCTTTATTTGCGAAATTCTTCATTACAATTACTGAAATAACTTATTATACAACCTAAACGGAATTCTTAATTGACAACTTGAAACATATGAATATATAATGTTCGCCTGTCGAAGAAACCCTCTGTGAGAACTTGCCTCGTTGAAACGGAAATTTCAAAATTAAAGGTTGACAGGAAGAACGAAAGATACCCAGTTACGGTGACGCTAAACCCTGTGAGAAAAAATACAAACGCAGACATTTAAGAGAAAAAAAGCCAAAAAAAGAGAATGGCTTCCACTTTTTTTGTGATTAAGAGAAAAAGTTGCGTAACAAAACCTACACCAGATATGACAGGTAAGTAACGCTCTTGAGTTTTTAATATCGCCGTGTTTTTCTCAGGTTTCTATCATGCCGTGGTGAAAAATCTCGTTCGAAACAAGTCTCAATGGAGAGAGAAAAACAAAGAGGAGACTAAGCTGTTGGATTCGGAAATTAAAATCAAGGTATCGTAATCAAAGCATAAATGAGTAGCCACCTTTAAGAGAGCTGTGTACTGCAAGAACCAAAGATTCTTTCGTGTATCAGTATCCGTCTAATGCTTCTTTGTTATTTAACCGAAAAAAAATATCAATTTCATATCTGATACAACTTAATAAAGTTATTTGTTTAGGTAAAGGTAAATATCACCTATTATTCAACGAAAATGGCCTGAACAACCACTCAACTTCTAATGAAAATGATATAACTAACAGTTACCAGCGACACATTTTGGAAAAAACCGCTATCAAACAAGTTCCCTCACAATTTGCTGACCAGTCATGTCGAAGGTCAACCGACATGCATCATAACCATAGTTAAGGTTTCTAAACTACAAACTGAAAAATTATAAATCGCTTCGTCCTTACGAACTTCAGCATCCATACAAGAGGCTACCAAAAGGTAATACCGATTAGGACCCATTCATAGAACCAAATGAAATGGGAAAACAAAAAAAGAAAGAATATAACACGCGTCTATAAGTGGGAAGATATGAATTCCCTTATGATATGAGAAAAGTAACCATAAGATGTTACCACAGTCACACGATGTCTTAATCCTTTAACTCCCAGATCAAATTTGTAATTCTCCTTACTATCAGCCATACAATTCTTGTAATGCTAGTTCTGGGAATTGGATCAACTCATTATCCCCAAATGGAAAATTTTCTTTAATCTCATCACTTATCTGGTTAATATTGTATTGATATTGTAAGGAGAAATTCTGTCTTGGTCACTCATGGGAGTTAACGGGTTAAGCAGCCACTCCCTACCCCCACACGCAAAGTTGGATTTCCTGCAAGCCAAACTTCCAAACTTGGTCATTCCATCCGTCATTACTTCATAAACAATTCATTTACTTATTTATCTAGAGAGATAAGGTCATTACCAGTTTAGACAGGAAAAAAAAATCACAAGAAGTATTGTCAACGTAAAAGTAGAAAAGACTTGAATTACCCTTCACAATATGTTTAATGTTACATTATCATAACGCATATTAAACTGGACTGAAAAAAAGAACCTTCACAACATTGACCTTTCTTCCCATAGCTGAAAAAAGTTGAGTTAACAATTCATGCAAACGACGCGTACTGGCAGCCATATTGAATAACTAAAGAGCGTCTCCAGTCCCCAAAGCTATCTCAATTCAGAGCTGTTAGCTTAAGATCTCAGAAGCCTATCCATATCCTTTGCTACGATTTATCCTTCTGAACCTAGAAACATTTTATATCTTTAACCCTCTCGTCACCTAGAACATGTTGCCTTCATTGTACAAGCCTTCAAATATCCAACATGGCCGCCAGCAAAAAAAAATATATACTCTACCCACCCCACTCCCTTTGAACACTAATGCTACGTCATTCACGACGAGGGCATGGGGATAGCGGAATTCGCTGTACTGTTGCTGGCCGCGCTGTCAACACCAGGTGATTTGGGGGGTTGCTCGCTGCTTGTGTCATTTCCGTTACTACCGGGCTGCTTCGTTATCGGATCCTCCTCATCTTTAACGTCATCAAATTCGAAATCCTCCCACTGCTCGTCTGGAACTGGCTTGCACTTTCCGCAACAGAAATTACAACAGAAGAAGCAGCAACAGCAGAAGTAACAGCAAGTTATGATTCCGCAGAACATGAACAGCGCCTGTTCAAATAAACGCGTGCGCGCAGGATTAGTGATGTCATATGGTCGACTCGTCACCACATCAACAAGATAAATTATCATGTGCGCTCGATAAAAAGAACAGAATTTCAAAAGACATGGCATTGTAGAGCAAGAACAAACAGTAGCCTTACTGAAAATATCCAAAACAGAAAAAAAAGAAAAATTAAATAAAATAAGTGCTCTACCACGGCCATTCATTATAAATGTAATGATCTTCCTTATCCTTCAAAATCTTTTTTGACATGACCTAAACAACTACCAACTAATTACACTGAAACTGTTCGTACTCTGACACAAAGCTTTACGCCACAAAAACGCATTCACATTTCGACCCTACACATGACTAAAAAGCGTTCAAAGGCACTTGCATTCGATGAAATCAACTTTGAAAGCTTCTTTATTTTCTGGATAGAAACAAAAACCTGCATGATTTCCTGTTTACCAGACACCATCGGTTGTTAAAGTGAACTTACTTTACACCAGCCACTGTTGAGCCTGAAGTACAATTTGACATTCTGCGGATGAAAACGAGAAGACAGTTAGCAGCATAATTCCGACTGACTTCTTTTCTCTCTTGAATAAGTAATTAAGAGACCCTCTAGATTCTAAAGGAATCATCTGCTAAGGCTGTATCAGGTTGTCGTCACCGTCCTTTCAAGACTTTCTCAAACCCAGTAGAAGGTTGTGGGACGAAGAAGGAAAGCAATTTAAGGTTGTTAATGACTGATTCGTCAGGCTTTGTTCGTGGGAACTGATCCAAAGGTTGCCTTAAGAACAAATGGTGCAAATTGAACCAAATCATTTCAAATAGAAATCAGCAAATGAGTGGGCGATATTCCCTTTACTGTAATAGCGACATTAGAGGAAATATTGCGCTTTTCGATTGAGTTTCGTAAAAGCAAAACCCAGGTAATCACAACAGCCAAATAGAAGTGAGGAAAATACCATTTGGAGCCAATAAGAGCTCAAATTAAAAAAAAAACCAAACCCCCTCAAGCGCGGGAAAACGCGGGCCGCCAAGTTGTTATTGGTTTAAGATTTGCATTTGATTGATTGATTGAGTGACCAGTACGAGTTTTCTGGGCCAATCATAGCGTGAATTGGATTCACTCTGATGAGACAAGATGAAAACCGGATTCCTTTAACGCTCAATTGAAAATTGCTCTAAGTTTCTTTCGATATCGCACAACTCTTTCGCTGGAGAGGTTAGAAGGACAAAAATGAAATCTAATGAATGTATTTATTCATTTCTATCATTTATCTTCTCTATGTCTCATTACAATTGCACTAGATACATCAAAAGTAGCCTGCTAGTTTAATGTGCAATGTAAAAAAAAAAGGTGTGAAATGATCTGAATCTATTCAAGAGACATTCTACAGAAGTTGTACACACGCTTCACCCCTCTGAATATTGAGAACATCAATCTGTAAAACTCTGTACGCAAGGTAATCTACATATAACATTTCAAAATTTCCTTGTCGCAAAAATGAAAATTGTGAATTTTAAAGAGTTACTCCTCATCAGTCAATTAATATTTCATGACATATTTCTTTCAAAATAAGAAGCTAATGGACCTGAATCAGATGGAAAGATCTTCAGGCGATTTTTCCACAAACTGTTCTAGCTCGTTCGAAATTTCACCCACAACCGAAGCGTTGACTACCTTTAAAGCACCAGGCTTTTCAGAAAACTTAGTCTCGACTCTTTCTTTAAACTTTTGGTCAACAATGGTACCATCGATATCCAAAACCTCAAGCGCGGTTAAAGACGAGCCGCTTTGAGATAAGACATCGATAAACGCATACGCTCCCGAGTTTCGGATCAAATTCTGACCAATGCGAAGAATTTTCAAATTTGAGTTATTAACAACCCCCTTGGCAAGGAAGCTGGCTGCTTTGGCTGTGAATAGATTTCCACAGGCGGAAATTTCAATTAGGCTTTCGTTGTCAGCGATTATTTCGCCAAGAATTTCAGCTCCAACGTCGTACAAGTAATTCCACGAAATGTTCAAAGCCCGAAGCGATTGCGTGCATCGAAGACCGGGCATCAAGGCTTGTAAGCCAGTTACTTCAAGCTGATTTGAGTTGAGGGAAAGCTTTTCGAGAATAAAATGACTCTTTAAGACTCGCGACATACGTTCAGCGAATTGATCGCATAGAATATTATGAGATAAGTCCAGCTCTTTTAAGATAATTTCGCCGCAGAGGAATTCAAGAAACACTTCCATGTCTTGATCTGTTAGGTCGTTTCTCGAGAGATTCAACTTTTCCAGAGTTCGATTTTTTCTGAGCATCTCTCCAATACTGGAGACTGCGTTTCGCCCGAGCATATTTCCGGACAAATCCAGCTCCTTAACAGAAAAGTTCCCGAGCAAACCTTCTGCAATGGCCCTGCCCCCTTCGTTTCCAAGGCGGTTGTTTGCGAGAAACAAACTCACAACAGTCGAAGAAGAGAGAAGCTCCGTGGCAATTTCATATGCCCTTATCGGGCCCAGCACCCATCCGTTCAGGTCCAGCTCTTTATCAAATCGATGTTGTTTAAAGTACTCGAATGGGTTTGATCTTCCTTTCTCGGCGTCCATTACAGTCGCAATAACTTTAGTTTCATTTTCAATTTCTTTTTCTCGGCTTCCATTTGAAGTTGAATTCTCCGTAAAATCTTTCTGCGAGTGTCTCTTCTTCGAATCTTTTTCCATCTCGAGGGAATTTTCGGCGTCGAAAACTCTGCTCTGCGCTCCAAAAAGCAACCGAGAATGGCTTGTTACTTTGGGAGAATCGTAAACTGTTTGCACATTCCGCAATTCAGAATCTTCCATAGCATTCACTTGAAGCCGATTCCAACGCCAAAACAAAGAGCTTTTATTATCAGCTGGAGTGCTTTCTTTTCTTTTAGGAAAGGACATCTTCAAAATAAATCAGCTCTTTTCCTTTCAATTATCACCTAATTGACACTAATTCTTGTACATTGCACGAATGGGGCCCTCTCTCAGTGTGAAAACAAGTTTACCTCTTTTCTCAGTGTAACCAAGGTGTAACTTTCCTTCAAAATGTTTAGCTTTGAAAACAATGAACACAGACTCTTCCCCTTCTCTTTGAAGACCAAATACTATAACATTGATTGGTCTGATTCTTGAATGAATAATTGAAAATGATTACGAGTAGTTTATGAAAATCTCTCATGTTAAATTAATAATTTTTCGGGCTGGACTTTAATACAAAAAATTTACAGAGGGAGGAAAACTGGAAAAAAATAATTCATATCGCAAGAAGACAGTAAGCATGAAAACCAAGCTAAATACGACCATTACTATTTTATTCCTTGCAAAGAACTTTTCAGCGATAATTCCCTTGAAAAAATTATTTGTAATTCCCTTCAACCATGCCAGGCGAAGCTTTAGTAACGAAAGAATACATGTATTTCTGGATTGCGGTATACTTCCGTGCAGTCGAATGTAACGAAAAAAACACCATGAAAACAAGAACATGAATATATCAGGCAAAGGACAGACTGCTTCGTTCGACTGCTTCGTTCGTTTGCACATTAACTATCAAGACTATCTCAACTTTTCTTTCATATCCCTGAGGACTTAAATATTAAATGCGGTACCGGAAAGGCTTACAAGAACACTATCGTCGTGGAGTGTTTTTTTCCTTAGTGGGAAAAAGACACTTTGCATGTTGAAATAATTTTTTAAATTTTACTACATGTATCCTCCACCAAATGTCACCAATATCATTTTCAAATAACCCCATACCAGGGAACGGGTCAGGAAAAGGGCGTTAAAATTTAATAAAAGACATTTAATCTGTTACGTGATAACTGATCAATTCTGCTTGTCCTTCAATACACTGTCAAAGAAACATGTTTTCTTAGGGAGAGAAGAATTCGCTCACAGGTCACCGGGGTAAAAGGTTTATATCAGAGATATTGTTCATGTACTGAGAAGCCTATGTTGTGGAAATCTCTATTCATTATGATACAGATCACACCAATTTACATAAGAGAGGCATAGCACTTGGCATCATGTAGAGGTGAATGTTGTGAAACAAAAGGTCTTTTAAATGAAATGATGTCTTGTGATGTTACTGGGAGTTTTTTGGGGTTTGATAATGCTTTCAATACACTTGTAAACACGACTTTCCGTGATGAGATGTTATTTCTAAAAGAATCTTTCAAAACCCCAAACAATCAGGAAAATTTCAAAAAAAGCTCTGTAACAAAAACAGACAGTCACAAAAATATTGCCTAATTCAGTAGAAAACAAAATCAATAAATTTGATCTTACCTCTTCTCCAAATTGTTCAGCTATATAGAGACCCATAGAGCCATACTTGTCATAAATTTCCCTTTTACTGGGATCAGCTAATATACTATGTGCGTGATTGACTTCCTTAAACTGAAAGAGAACAAACATTTGCCTAAAGTCAGAAAAAATAGTTATTCTTAGAGTTTGTTTTAATGAGGATCACTGTGGCTACGTCACAACATTAAAAGGCTTCTGACTGAGTGTGAGGCACAGAATATGCACAGAATATGCACAATTTGTCCAAACATGCTGGATTATCAAAACTCCCCAAAACCTGCATCAATTAATTGACCCTTTGACCCCTCGCAGTGACCAGCATATAATTTCTCCTTACAATATCACCCCTGAATCACTCATTCATGTCATGAGAATAAAGAAAATGATCACCAACTGAAGAAGCTCTTGATTGCTAAACAAATTCTCCTTGTCAGCACCTTAGAAAATGTATGGAGAACAGGACAGAGAAAATGCAAAGTGATGTTAGGGTGCAGAGGGTTCACATTCTTACTAGCGATGTGTGCTTAGAGCCAATATTTGTAACATCCTGGTGGATTTTTGGACTGTTTCCTTTGTTATCATCATAGCTTCATCAACTGTGTTAGAAAAATTTGTTGTTGTTCTTGCTTGCTACGCATTTTTCGTGGGAATTTGGACAAGTTATGGAGACATACATGAAATCCTTGACGGCTCCTAATGCATTTTGGGGTCATATCTGTTTCAGTGGTGTCTCCCCTTCAGAAAGTCCCTAAGCTAAAATTTCTGTCAATAATAAGAAGGCCAAATTCTAAGAGTTTCAGAGTTTTCCAAGACCCATGTTAGTATCAACATTTTCTTTTTCTCCCAAGCAAAGATTGACTTACTTTTTCTGTAGCTTCAGGATTATTAGGATTTTTATCAGGATGGTGCTTCAGTGCCATCTAATAAAACAAAAACAGTTTTTTGATTAACATCTGATATTGTTGTAACACTATAATTGTGATTACACTTATATATTACATTAATAAAGATACCCATTAAGATGGTACATGTATATCATAAATTCCACTATTTTGATTGTTTGACAGGCCAACACACCTGACCTCACAACCACAGACTTTTCCATGAAAAAAAAAAGCACATATTCTGCAAATTATTTGGATATTTTCTTGAAAGTTGTTGAAAACACATTTACTTCATTTATATCGAGATTTAAACATGGAAAAAAAAACATGCATAAGATTTGTACAAAAATACTAAACCAATTGTGACTGTGAAAAGTACATCATTCCCTTAATCAAACACATGAATGATAGTTTTTCAAAGGGAGGGCAACAAGCACTTGATTTTCTGTAACAGCAAAATAAAAGAGGAAGTGCTAAGATTTGCTGAAATATGAATTACCTTTTTCTCTTTTAAGAGACTTTTTAAGTCTCGCCATCAGCAAATTAGCGTGAAAACAAATAACAAAATTTGAAATATATAGTTGTAAACAGACTGAATATCATGTTACAGAGCAGATTTGGCAGTGTTCTTAAAAATATTTGCTCTTGCACTTAAAGGGCTTCCAATCTTTGAAGTGGCTTAGTCAGTAAGAAAAAAAAATCATTATGTACGAAATAAAAACATCATGCTATGGAAAATGCTTAACAATTCTTATCCACATGTTGCAATGAATAAAAAACTCACTTGTTAGCTGCCCTCATTTGTTAGTTCTTTGATGCATCACAGCTCTTGAATAAAATTTGTTTGTGCGCACTTTCCATGAAAAAATCCCTTTATATTACACATGCAAATTTGATAGGTGATACCAGCCTTGTTGGCTATCAGCCATCTCATATGCAATGCACATAACTGTTTACAGTGTGTATTTATGGGAAAATGCACAAAATACAAGCTTGCTATACCCTAATAGTCATGGAGTCAGACTAGTAGACAGTAAGCCTTCAACTCAACCACATAATTCTGAGATAATGAATGATTTAAAAGACAAAAAGGCAGAAAACTAATTAACAAATCTGCTGGCCATTAGTGTGATACACACAGAATGACATACAAAGAGCAATTACTGGATGAGGTTGAGCATGATATCATGAATTATCAATGCGGAGGTCTAAGTTACACAGTCACAAGATTTGATAATTAATGATATCATGTGAAAACTGAATTCAATACAGCAATTTTTTTTATTACTCATTTTTCTAAACAATCTGCAAAAGAAGACACTTCTCTCTAGCTTTGCAAAAGTTTGAGAACACCACATAGACAAGGGGCTCGCAAACTAGGAACTTTGAGTTTGAACTCCACATGATAACCCAATATCTGCTGAAGACATTAGGTTATCATCTCAACTTCACACATTATTTTATATTGACTGTATGCTCTCAAGCAATCAGAGGGTTTATAGTAAGTCTAATGCATAATACTTCGAATTAGTAGGGTGGCATATCAATGCTTATAAATATAAATATCAGAACGGAAGGCTATAAACAATTACAGGACCAAATAATTCAGAGTAATTTTATGCCTAAAATCAACCACAAATTATCCATGCATGATGCATCAGCAATAGAGTCACAGTTTTAACAGTGTGTTCTAAAAGAAACTGTGATGTGAGTGCATATATATCAATAAAAAGAGTTCACATCTGATCTGAAGATTAAAAAAAGTGTTTCTGAACAACACACAAGTCAGAAAAGTTCTCTGTTAAAAGGGCTCATAGCAATGTGACCCCCAACATAAAATTTCACACAATCATCCAGTTTCAGGGTAAATACCAAAATTTCAAAAAATTTTGAGCAGTTTGCTAAATGCTCAAAGTTCAAAAATTTACAGTTGTGCAGGTCTTGAATCTTTCACAAGCAGCCAATAAGTTATTTATCCTTATAATATAAAAATGTTGTCAACCACAAAGATGACAAAAATAAAGAAAACTTCTGACTGAGAACCAAATTCTCAAAGAACAATTTCTAAGAAATGCATTTCACAAAAGAGAAGTGATACTGAGATGTTAGGACAATAAGGGCTGAATGTTTGAAGGAAAAGAAAAAATCATGTATGGACTTTAATTTCCATTTGAACCATTTGCCCACATTACAATCACATGACAAGTTTACAAGTTTACAAGTCTCACCTTCCTATACGCTTTCTTAATTTCTTCTTGTGTTGCACTTTTGTCAACTCCAAGAACATCATAGAGTGAAGCCCCGTCTTTTCTGAAATAACAAAATGGTAACAAGACTAAGGATTTTGCTACGCCTGAGTTCTTTCCATATAATTTGGTAAACAAACCCTTGAATGAGCATCAGAGCGCAGAATCTGAAGGTCTGAGGTTTGATTCCTCATGGGGACCCAGAATTTTTTCTTTGTCCCACGTACATGACAAGACAAAAAGAAAAAACATATTTCTCTTAAATCGTGTTGATCGTATGAATTGTTTCACTTATGGCATTTAGCCAAGATATTTATGAGACAGTGAAAACCCTCCGAAAGGCAAAAAAAAAAAGGTAAAACACAGACAAAACATCATTTGTCTTGGAGTTTGCTAACTCCAAAAATATTGTACCTTAATTAAATATTTGGATCACCAAAATTCATAGAGAAATACTCAGGATAGTGTAAAGGAATACATGGTACAAATAAAGTCATGCATGACTTAAAAGCTTCCTGCTTACGCAACACATCAATTGGACATGTATAAGTATAAAAAACTGATTAACATATAATATGAATAGTTATCATTCTTCAAAATTAAAAATAACTAGATGACATCATTGCAGAGATCTGCATCAAAAATTGACTGCATCACAAGACTAAAGAAACCACATCATTACCCATAATAAACTGGTGGCCCTGCAGTGAAGCTTCATATCTATCATGCTCTTTTGGCCATATTTTGGCTGCTAATAAAATTAACATACACAATTTCTCTGTCTTTCCCAAATAAAATTTATGCAAATACAATTCTTCTTATTTAAACATACAGAGGTTGACAGTTTAAACTAATGCAAGATGACTCTCTAATATTCAGGAAATCAACAGTATGATCATGAACATAATACAACTGCTAAAAACAGAAAGATTACGTGACAGGATTCAAGTTAAGCAGCAATTTTCTAAAACATTAAGGTTCAAATAGAATCCACTTACTCTTTCAGCATAACATAATTGATTTCTACTTCCCCCCTGTAAAAAAACCTGACCAAGTTTGATTACATTGTTGCTGAAACATTACCTGACTAAATCCCATTGCCTCAGATCTATTTAACTTGCGAAAATGAAATTTAAGTTCCCTGTTCAGGATCATCATGGTAAAACTACAATTTGACAAAAGATACCAGCAGATATTTTAAAAGGATGTTGATGCAATAGCCTTTGTTGGTTGTTATTTTGCCTATTCATGGTTATTCCTGTCTTTTCCATCACCCTGAGTTCAACTTTTAAAAAGTTAGCAAAAGGGCAAGTACTTAAGAATTATTTTAAGCTGTGATGTTCATCATTACAATAACACCTCAAATTCAGTGGAAAGTTTTTTAAACTAGGATCTTAATTAAAATAACGAAAACTTGATATTAGTTTATTTATCAAATCATTTTTGTTTACATCAAGAAACCCGACTCGAAACAGCTATTTACATATTTTCACGGTTCATGCGTTGGAACTTCTGAACTGATGGGAATTCTTTCCCCGAAAGTGTAACAATCTGTCTGTCAGGAAGTTTCTTAAAAATCACAATTTTCTTGGAACAATTAACAAGTAATTCAGCGGATCACATGACTAATTTTGTAAGCGACAAGATGTTAACACCATTCTGCAAACTGTGCTTTCAGAAACAGAGCATCCACTCAATTCGATTCCCCAGCAAGCGAAGGTAAAATGTGTGCGAAACCTAACTTACACAGTTAAGAAAAAGAAGCCTGACTTAACATGAATCGAGTACATTTTGCCTATTTCATTTGCTTCGATCGAAAAACATGGAAATTTGTGATAAACTTCGACAGTTGCGGGTACAAAAATCAATGCAATTATTATTTGTAGTCACGCCTAGGAGATATTGAAATCAGACGAGCCGTTATGTACAAACTCACAAAACACTTATCCCACCGGTTACACATGAAGCTACTGCAATCTTACAACAACGACGAAGCCATACTAAATAATAACAATCATCGTTTACGTGTGACAAATAGCTAAACAATCAACTGATGAACTTCCATTTCCTCTCGGATCCAAGGTTCGAAGTAGAAATTGTAAAAACGTATTTGTATTTAACAACCGCAAACCGATCCTGAACGTGCCAACAATGACCGACTAACCAAAGAACTTAAGACTGAAACGAAACAAGGAAACCTTGAAAGTATCAACGTAAATTGGAGTCTTTCGATGAAACTGCGTTGAATCCTGACAAAGATTTACACGCGGTATTTTTCGGTACGCTGTTGACATATTCAGGTTCTTTAAAAAGCCACACAAACTACAATTTAAACACAAAATGCTTACGCAAGAGCATGGTCCTGTCCTTCTCCTTTACTTTCGCCATTGACACCAGAATGCGGTGCCATTATACTGGCGAAACCGAGCGAATTTGGTAGTTAAGAAGATGCTACACCGTACACCATTACATTTCAACCAAGCACTCGCTCCCGCGAATCGTGACGTCACACACGGGTCATTCCCGAAACACCATGGACACGTGACCAATTTAATTCGAGTAGCTCAGGGCATCAATAATAACATGGAACGAAGGATAAAGCTTTCATGATGAATGAACTAGCTTTCCTTATCACCAAAAAGATTCTATACAAATTGATTGTACAAATACGTCTTGGGCAAGGCCCTATATGAATCTATGGGCGGTGAAAAAATGATACTTTTGATATACTAACGCCATCATAACACCACCGCCTCTCTTGTTAAAATCTATTCCGGTGTACATTCAAGAGCTTAAAGACCCATGAAAAGTTAGCTCTCTGGGAAATTTAAGAGATCAATTATTCATCACTACTACCGAGAGAAAAAAAGTAAACTTTAATGAATCCTACATGGTATCTTAAACCCTTGTCCTCCTAAAAGAAAAAGAAAAGAAAAAAAAAAACCAAGAAATCAAATAAAAAAAAGAAACCTTCGTCATGGGTGTTGGGTTCCCCAAACTGAGAAAAATTTACTGGGCGCCTAGATCTCGATATTTTGATTCAGTAACCATGTAATTGCATTTTTATCATATTATCCGGTGAAAAATAACGTTTATCTACAAGTGGCGTCATTCATAACAATGTAGTAGTATTTAAGTTCATTTGCATCGGTAATAAGTCGCTCAAATGGGTGAAAGAGTCCGACGTAATCTCTTTTTATGAACCTCAAAAGCCAATAAAGGGAAGCTTAGATCAACATTCATGAGTCATACTCTCAAAGAGACTTTTTCCCTTTGTCATTTACCGCTGGAAAAATTGTGATTGTTACCCTTGGCATTAAAATTTTTGAAAAGGATGCCACTTTATTGGAGCAGTAATCTCTCTTTGAAGTCTTTTTTTTTTTTTTTTGAATCTTCAAATTCGTCAGAATGAACTTAGAACAGTTATCTATCATTTACTGCAAATGCACTTACTTTATCCCATAGTATTCTAAGCTGAAAACACTCTTCACGGTGCTCTTGACATATTATTGGTGAGCCCTTAAGTGCTGGTTTAGATCCCCAGGTTGATAAAGTGTTCTAGAGCCTGCTATTACTGATTTATTATAGGTTAAATGGTATTCTGTTTACAAGTAGAAAAGAGAACCTCAGTTTCCAGTTTTAATAAATCTGGGTATCCTACATTTAGGCATCGGAAAACGTGACAAGAAGTCATGAATGATTGTTGTAATAGACATCAGCGCGCGCAGACTGGAACGTAGAAAACTATGCTAATCAATTATTTAATCGTGATAAAAAATCGTCACTAAGAGGTTGAAAAGGGATTTAAGTGGTTAATTGACAGCGTAATGGACCGACAACAATGAAGATTTTATATCAAGAATTTGCGATTACTTATCTGCCTTCCTTCGACTTTTGACCCAAAGTTTGGATAATTTAAAAAAAATTGTATGGGTTACAAGAGACTTCTCGCTTGTTCATGGCAAACTAAATCACCTGCGCTGATTTGGTGGAGGACCTACTTACTTTCAGGAGGCCATTGGACTTTGCGGATCACTGAAGGTTTGAATTTACATCCATCTTTTCTTTAGCTGTAACATTTGCAGATCTAATGGGTCTTTGTAATTGCTTATGCGATGTTCAGTTTCAACGTGAAACCAGGCCGAACTTAGGCGTAGCGCTTGTGAATTGTATACTATGCCAGATTAGGTAAACGAAAGAAGTGAAAAAAAATTCAAAATTTCATGTGTCCATTTCAGGCTAGCTGATCACACGAGCCGCTAAAACACATTGCTCCTATTTTGATCTGCGGTTTGAAAAAAGCTTTGTTGTTCATAGGTGAACTATGAGTATTCAAACAGATAAAGCCACTCTTTTTAATATTTAATACAACAAGGTAACAAAGATTCGTCCGGGGTAAAATGCGACGGCTTAAACGTGAATGAGTTCGATAGGCAACGAATATCATTTGCACTTCGGTTCCGTTCAACGGGTATGGACCACATAAACAAACCTCTGATACAAGTCTTAGGTCTTTCGTGAACGCTTATACTATACAGGGTTCATTCAGCTTTAGGAAAACCAGCTTGTGCGATGACAAACTAGACATATTTCCGTTACGTTTAGAAGTTTGGTTTTACTAAGGCCCAATCTCTTTCACACCCTTACCGACTCCTCTCCTCTTTCTCACGTCCAGAGCTGCCATCAATAACTGACCCTCCCTACCCTTGAGCCGTGGTCATGGTTTTTTCAGATTCAGTGGCAAACCAACTGTCTTTGCAAAATCTTACGGTACTGTTTCACGGCGCCTCTCCAGCGTCACTCATTACAGCTGAATCTATCTCTGGAGGTTTCCCCACTCTCCTGGTATTAACTTTGTTCTATCCTAAATGGTCCGATATACTTCTCGGTGTCCGTGAGGGAAAAATTTTTTTTGCTATTATGATTGCAAATGGTTCTATCCGCCGAACAGCCCATTGCCAGCAAGTTCTATGGTTTCACAGTTGCATGGAGAAATTTCGATACCTTAATTATTTGGCGCTGCAGCTGATCAATGTTTGCGGACGTACAACTAGAGAAAGCAAGCAAAAATTTCTGCTTGCATTTGAAGCTTTAAAATGCTGTGCAACGATCTGTGAATCCCTCTTTGATTAAAGGGAATCAAAGTCAACCGGTTTCCTTCGAAAAAATAAAACGTAACTTGATCAGATTTGACCTTAGACCGCGGAAAAGGAATTTTCAGACATAACGTGACATTGTTGGATTACTTTGTTTATTATAGTTTGTTGTCACTCTTTGGTTGGGTTCATGTGAAAATCGGGCGTGCACAATCAGCAGAAATTGGAAGATCGTGTCAGCTGATCCGAGTCATAAATCACTTTCGGTCGAACAGGCTGCATACATTTTCGTCGTTTGATCAGAGGCTCGAAAACGTAATCTTGTATTTCTTTCCAGTTGATTAATCATGTAATTCTATTCACAACTCGTTATGTTTTCACAATGCTAAAAAGGTATGTTCAAAATTGTTTCAGGAATGGACTCAGTTAACTTGAAGATAGAAAACGCGATTTGCTGTCTGCGAGCTCAGTAATTACTTTGGCGACAGCGAGACATAAAGAAAATGAAATATTCCAGCTAGGCCACCATAACAATTCTAATTCAACGCCTTGTGTAATGCTAAATAAAAAGCACTGCTGTATTCGTATGTAACAATTCGCCTGCTAAAATGTTCGAGTAAAGTCTAGAAGCAACGATGGGCTTTAGAATAGCGGGTTTTCCTTCTCCAATCAATGCAGGAAGTACCAATCTGATCAATATTTAGTTTTGATTTATTCTGCTTTCTTGTCGCCCGGCAATATTTGCATATTATTGTTGCAGGCCAATCGTTTATGACGAAATTAGCCAAAGTCTTGTATATATTTGTGTTCAGAGTTTTTTTTCAACTTTGCAAGATTTCCTCCGATGCATAGCCGTATGTGACGTCATCCAGAGAAAACCATTTGAATCCAAACAAATGCGTTAAAACAGGTGATCTGAGATGTAATGGTAAACATGAGCATTTTGCTCGCTCTAAATGAAAAAAAAATGCTGAAAATATAATAATAGTTCTCCCCAAAGCTGAAGATAAGAGCGTCTCTGGCAGTGCTTCTTTCCGATCTTAGATATTTCACAGCCCGTGTCAGCGCCTAAAAGTGTTTCAAAAACTAAGCCAGGATGCGGTTCCGAGTTTCGATCGGTGTTAATAAGAAGTATATTCGTAATTTTGCGACATTATTCTCCTTGAACTTATCAGTGATTCCGACATGTTCGTCAAACGGCAGAAATTAAGCCTTCTTACCTATCATCGTCCATCTTCTCGTATTCCATTCTCGCCAGTTATTGCTACGCAAGAGAACTGACAAAGTCGCAGATCTCGATGTCATGTCAAAACTCTCTACCCGCCATTTTCCCTCGATCGCTCGCACGAACGGTTAAGCCTCGCGCCACTGAGCATGCTCACTGCGGCCACTTCTGCGTCCATTTATGGTTTCCAATACCAGCTGTTCGTGCCGGGTTTTCGTAATGAAGAGAATCTTGTGAATAAAACACAACGAAGCACAAACACATTACAGGAGAAACTGGGTTAATTACATTCAAGACAGATTTGATCTGTTCAGTGACTCTGTATTTTTCGAAGCTGGCGCAGTTCGTATTTCCTCGCATAACCGGAAGATCATATTATACCATTACCTACACTCAACAGAATTGTCGATAAAAACAATGAAAACGAAATCGGAACAATTCATTGATTATTTAATAAAGAAAAAGAAATAAATTGCAACTTTCACACTCTCGCCGAAGACAATAACATTGTTCTATAAAATTGTATGCAAAGGCAGATGCAAATTTTCCCCCCGCAAAATCGCAATTAAAAAAACTAAACAAATGTCTTTCCATCCCGGTTCCTTCGTTTTGAGAAAAACGATCCTAAATTGTGTTGTGTCACAATAAATTTTCATAATTTTTTGGTGAAATAACATGAATCTTTTTTAATTTTCATAAAACCTTTTATTTTCAATAAAAATTATCGAGCAAACAAATTATGTAAGCCCATATTTTTTTTTCGTCAAATATATAGAAATTTAAATTTATGTAACAGAGACGTTTGGGATTATTGTTTGTCTTGTACTAAAGTGGATAAAACATTTTGGGGTGAGTTTCCTCGCTAAGATGCATTTACCTGACACACGCGGTAAATTCATTAAATTTTCTGTTGTGGGTTTTTGCTAACGTAAGTAGGTGGCAAGCTCGGCCACATTCTCAAATTCACGAGCTATTTTTAAATAAATACTTGGCCACCGATGAAGGCAAGATGAACTTTACGTCTCTCAATGTTATCCTTTTTATTTCTCATCACCAACGAGCGTCAGACTAAACAAACGGGTGGGAATTTGTCCCAAATAAATAGCATGATCGAGCTGGGAATTTCAAACTGTTTACGGTCTTAGCCCTCGAGAAATACCAAAGCAGATTGTATCTGTCGCGGTTACACACGACATAACCACACAATCTTGTGAAACTTGTGCTGGAGATTAAGTTCCTACAGAGTTTTTGCTTTGTCTCGATCGGTCGAGTAATCCTGGTATATAAAGCGAAAAAAAAATACGGATTGATAAAACGACCAGATCCAAAATGTTCACCTTTCCATGGTCATCAAACCAAAAACAAACAGAAGGCTAGATTAAGATCGTTTTCTGTCGCTTGGTTGCTAAGAAATATCTGCGTATGTATTTTTTTTTAAAGATTTTAAAATTATCTTTACTTGTCACAGTCGAAGGAGAAACGACTCCCCTCTTTAACGAGAAAGGGAGAATTTTGTAAGAATTTAACACATACCCAGGTACCCAAGGGTTGTAAGACGATATAGAGCCCCTTTCCCTTCTCAAGAACTTTGGAGATGATTGTAGAGTGGATGTCTGCAGGAAATGGGATAATCTGCGCAGCACAGGAACAACCGGGCGCTGAGAACCAACGCAGGCAAGTGTTAGCATCGATAGCAGAAATGACTCTCCTCTGTGTAGACTCCCTATGCAGTGACTGCTCGGAAACTGTGTGGTGTCTTGGTGGTGAGTGGCTGTCCTGATTTGGTGCGGAAGGAGTGTAGAGAAAGAAAGAAAGTGGCAAGAAGTGGTAGAAGAACAGGGACCGTGCGAAGGGAGGGGCTGGGAGGGGGGCTTAAGGCCCCTCCCCCCTTTTTCGCAAAAATAACGACAAATTAAACAAAACATAATTTAACAAAAATAACGGAGCCAAAAATAGCCGCCCACTCAAAAACTTGCTACGCGGTCCTTGAAGAATGATTAGGAAAAACTTAGTTTTAACAACAGCACTATCACTGACAGAGGCACGCGATACAACAGGCCGGATATAACTTTTGTTCTGAAAGATAAGCGAAAGCAAATGATCGAATTCATGTTGTGCAAGATGGCCAGAATATTATGATCAGCGAGGCTTGCAAGACCAATCATGGTAAAATGAGGAGTTTCCTTGGAAGTACAGCGTATGAACGAATTAAGAAACAGAGGGTTACGCTATATTAACCACAGACTTGCTAAACAAAGAAAGGTAGAATGCAACGACTAGTTTTAGACTACCTGAACCTTCAGCCAAGAAGCCTGGAAGTTTAACATGAGCTTTTTGATATGTTCCTTTCACGTAAACCTGACGTTTCCAGTAATTTTATCAACTAAAAGGAGCCGCCATTATCTTACAGACAGTAGTACGTCAAATTAAATGTGGATAACGTTATCAGTAGCTTGGTAAAGATTTTTCTTGTATACAGATTTCTCTTCCTTACTGGTTCAGCCACTTTTTTGTGGGATTTAACTTAGTGTAAGGTAAATGGTTAGAAAGGAAAAATGAAAAATGAACCTTTCTGTGAAGCTTTAAAAATGTTCCTCTATCCTGGGTTCACTCGATCTTGCTTCGTACAACTCGGCCGAGGCCTTTTTCTAAACGTAGTAAACAGCGGGTTCTTAGCTCGTTTTGGAAAGTTGCACTATGAAAATTTACCATGCGGTACTTTTTTTTCAAAATTTAGAAAAATCGCATAAGGTTAAAGGTAATGCATAATTAAATTTTAAAAGAGGTGATGTCTAATTTTTAGTATCAACAAAATTAAAACCTCCAGGATTTATCTTATGTGGGGGCTAATTAACGACATTAGTACTGTTTGGTGTATCAATAGCATATCGCTATCAAATCCTACGTGTCTCAACTTTTGTCTTACAGTCCAAAACCTACAGCTCTTTGGTTTGAGAATTTTCTTTTTTGGATGAGAGGATCTTGGTCATTCTACCCATCTGCCCAGACACGTCTCCCTTGGCGTTCGGCAACCACCCATACATTGGCATCGGATCTTGCTCAGCTGAATAACTATCATCACGTTCCAGCGCACCTCTCTCAATAAGATCCTCCACGGACCGCTCAGCGGCGGTTGTAACTACGCTCATGTCTTGTGGAAATGCTACCTGCCCCATTGTAAACGGTCCCATGTAGTAGATAGGAGGTGCATGAGGATCCTTAGCCGCAGGTACGAGAGAAAAATTGTTCATGTCAATGAGAGCACCGGATGGACGGAAATACCTCGCTCCATCCCTTGATACCACATTTGGATGATTTTCATGCATCTGGGACTTTAAAATGTTCCGAAAAGGAACCAAAATCTCGCTGACGAGCTTTCCTTCTCTCAGAGATCTCGTCAGTGGGGAAGGATCTTTCTCGAATGCACCCTTTTGACCAGTAGCATCTACTATCACATCATGACAGGCTTCAAAAGTTGTTTCTTCTTTTAATTTCCACGATACTTTGATGCCACATCTATCTTCCGCTTCGTCAATTTCGTAATCTTTGCCAATCCTTGTAACCTTCAGGTAGCCACCTTTCATTAGAGACAGGATCTTCTCAGCATTTTGAACTGGGAAAGGCCCAATTAGCAGATGGAGCTCGGTCTTAATTTCTTCAAACCTGATGCGATCCTCAGCCGAAAAGTAGTTGAAAGCCTCGTCAAATATTGCATAGGACTGATAAAAGACATTCTGAAGAAGAAGAGGTACGCCGCTAGTTAGACTATCTTTTGCCTCTTCCAGCTCACGGCTTAGTCTGTCGACGGGGTCAGTTGCTTGAAGCAGCTTTCTCATTTTAGAGACAGCGTCCTCCAGCGACACTGTCTCCCAGTCGTCTGGAAAATGGGGGCGAAGATGCGGAACTTCATCATAAATCTCTTTTTTAGAAGATACCAGAAGTCATCCAGAGGCAAAAATCCATCATTGGCTTCTATTATGGGAATAAACGAGGAAGGTGTTAAATACTTATGAGCAAAGATTTTGTTCACAACCACGCCCATGACCTGTGGTAGCAATGCCTTCCGTCCATACATCGTCATCTTGAATTCCTCGGCTCCTTTAAAGGGAACAAACTTCAAGGTATTTCTGCCTCTTTGACGACTGGCATGGAATGATCCATTCTTGTTCTGGAATCCATCCATTCTCAAGGCGAGACCAAGAAATTGCAGGTAATTTGTGCATGAGGCATAATTGTCGTAATATCTCTCAAAGGTCAGGATTTTCTTTCCTCTTGGCTGATTAGTTATAGCTATCGACTATGCCATAAACTAACTTCCTATCCTAAAGAAAGCTAGTGAAACTTTTGGAAAGGTCTAAACGTCTGGTAGCACTCGAAGTCAGCTGGCTTTATTTTAGAGCACAGTTTTGTTTTAGTTGGTGGTTGAGGGTCGCCTGTAATTAGGCAGAGAAGTGCCCACTTGCTGAATCTATGTCAACTAAGATTTGAGGATTTGAGGTTGGGTAGCATATTGACCCAGATAGCTCTCATTTAAAGGACTTTAAGCTCATATGACGCATTTTAAAAACTGGATCGAGTAAATGACGTCGTAGGTTCTCTACCTGCATATTTCACCGATATTCAAAAGTTGGATATTTTCAGATCTACACAGAAATTCGAAATCGTAAAACACTACTTTCTCTTATTCATTTAATTTTATCTGATATAATCCTTAGAAACGAGAAGGAGGTAAGAATTTGATCACAAAAACTTTACAAAACCTTAATGAAGGGGTAAGTTTCTAAAGAAACTGTGGTGCTGCGTCGGTGGGAGAGTATAGAAGTTAATTTAGTGTTCACAACTGAGTTGAAAACAAAAAAAAGCCATCGTAAAGGATAAAAAATCTGACGTTTCGAGCGTTAGCCCTTCGTCAGAGCGATTGGAGGAGCTGTAGGTTGTGTGTGGGTTTATATGCAGAAAGTGGAGCTACGCCATTGGTGGGAGTATGGTGACGAGAAAACAGGAATAAATTAGTTGAACGAAAAGCGCTCGTTGATTCCGTGGGGATTAAGGGTACCGATTTGGAAGATAAATTTTTGTTCTAGTATTTTACGGCTTTCTGAACTGCCTAGATGTAAGGAAAGGCCGCAAACTGCCATATGCTGTTTAGAATGATTAGGAAGATTAAAGTGTCTAGCGACTGGTTTGGATGCGTCCTTGTCATTTCTTTCCACGGTCGTGAAGGTGTTCTCGGAATCGGTCACCTAGTCGTCTTCCTGTTTCGCCGATGTATAACTTATTGCAGTAAGTGCTAGTTATGCAGTAAATAACATTGGTGGAGGTACACGTAAAGTGATACGTACGTGATATGTACGTTTTCAACTCAGTTGTTAACACTAAATTACCTGCATTACAAAACCTTACGATGTTCCGTGACTTGGAAACACACGCCAACATGCCTCTATCTTCGATTGCATCTTTGGCTGTCTACGATTTCGTTCTGTTATATTTCCGGCATAGCGTGGTTATTGGGCTTATGTCAGGATAAGGTTTTGAATGTTATGGCGCTCGCAGTACAGCTCTGTCACGAATCATACGTGTCGAACAGGATTTGGAATTCGTTTTTCGCTTCAGTATTCTGCTACTCATTTGCGTTCTTTTTACTGGGATACCTGTGGTAGCCCAGTCATAAAATACCTTTGTTTTTTTGTCGTCTTTTTTTTTTTTCCTCCGCCACAAAATGGAAAAATTGCGCAATAGTACCCAGTGGTCATTGGGCCCTCAACACCATGACAACTAACTGTGATCCAATGAGGTGTTCACATGCTGATCACGCGTGTTATCTTGATGATGATTGACGTTGTCATGCACGGACAGAGCCGGGTCACATGACGAACCACGAGATTTTTGCTTATAAAACTCTTTTGTCAGTCGTTTTGTATTTCAACGTGTTTGGATTACGATCACCTGGAGCATTATGGCGCAAACGCTCAAAATACTTGCAGAAGCCTACACAAGCCGTATTGTTCGCGGCCAATCCACACTAAAAGATGTTGTTGAGCGGTAATTTTGGAACGGATTGAGTCGCGAACGCTTGAAAGCTATGAAAGCCTTGAATGCCTTGTATACCTGGTATGCCTTGTATGCCAAGTATGGCAGTGTCTTAGTTGAAAAACGTACACTTGTTGTAAAAAGCAAAATCTGAAATCTGAAACCAAACTGCATATACTATATGCAATCTATTGACCAGCACTACTACCGTGAGACTGAAGAACAAAACTCTAATGGATGCAAACTGCTTGTGAAGAAAGACGCCATGTTGGATTCACTTGATGCCAGGGAACGTAGCTACGATATCAGTGCGAATGGTATTAATTTCACGATCAGAAAGGTGAATCTTATGTTTGTTCTCATTGTAGTTGTATGGATATTCTTGTTTAATAAATACATGATTCAAAATCCTGTGTTTTTTTGTGTATAATTTTATTATGTTAAGTATTCTTTACGTAATTGTCTTGTCACAGGCCGCCCAAGCTCACGCCTCGAGAAAAAGCCAACGATTAATTCATGAACGCGTCACGCGTTGTGTGACTCGGTGTTAAGTTTTGAGAGCAACCGTTGAAAATTTGAACACGTTATATGGAATAGTATAGGGAACGAAATATGGTCGATTTACAACGATAAATATTTCGAAATATGAACATTTTTCTCGTAAAATCAATAAAACTTACCCATACCCTGTGTATCCGATGTAGTTTCTAGCGATTTCTGGCGTTTTAAGCTTGCTTTACCATGACTGTTATTCACGTCATCTACTTTTATTACGTTGGTAAAATCCGTACAGACATTACACCAACCACCTCGCGCTCAAAGTAAGAAGACTATATTGAAGGCTCGAAATTATATTACGATCGATTTTCATCAAGAAATGGGCAGGAATTTTCCACAATAGTGCAAATAATCGTGAAGGCTGATCGCGGAAAAGCGATTGCGTGACGCTCCGTAAGCTGTAATATACCAGACGTAGGAACTTTTCAGATTATCAGTCTGCATTTTGTACCCATTCTGCAGTCTGCAGTCTATATTTTGTATCCGGTCTGCTGTCTGCATTTTGTACCAACAGGTATCCGTGGCACCGATACAGTTTGTTTTTGGTTACATTTATTCGCACAACACACATAATCTACCACAAATAATAAATATAATAAATAAATAAATAATAAAACTACTTATATAGCGCTTATCCAGTCCTGTTCTAAGCGCTTTACAAAAATATTAAAATATCACACGTTAAAATAATATTAAAAGTAAGTCTTAAGTTAACTGATGTCTAAGATATAGGCGTTTGACATGGATAAGAAAAGAGATCATACATTAAAGTAATTTTTAAAAAGATGAGTCTTAAGTTTACGTTTAAAAATATTTAAATTGTCACAAGAACGAATGTCATCAGGTAGTTTATTCCACAGTTCAGGAGCCGAAACAGCAAAAGCTCTATAGCCATAGGACTTGAGATTAAAGTTGACAGGAGTCAGACGCAATGTTGAAGACGAACGGAGCGTTCTTGAAGTTGAATAACGGCGTATTAGGTCTTGAATGTAGACAGGAGACTGCTGGTGAAGAGTTTTATGGGTGAGCAGAATTATTTTTTGAATTTAATTCGCTCAGAAATTGGAAGCCAGTGTAGGTCGAACAAAACAGGGGTGATGCGGTCGAATTTACGAGAGCTGGTAATAAGTCGAGCCGCTGCATTCTGCACTGATTGGAGCTTTTGGATAGCGTATTTGGGGACACCGTATAAAAGAGAGTTACAGTGATCCAACTTGGAGGTTACAAAGGCGTGGACTAGAGTCTCAGTGGTCTTAATGGATAGTATATACGGGAAATGTTCCGAAGATGATAGAAGGCAGATTTACAGACAGATTTGACATGAGGGAGCATTGACATAGTACTATCAAAAACGACGCCGATATTTCTGGAAGATGAAGACGGTTGTATTATATCAGAACCAAAACGAAGTGGAGGTATAGACTGTTGAGGGTTGTGCTTTGAATAAAGGTAGAGAAGTTCAGTTTTGTATTTGTTTAGCTTCAGCTTATTTAAGGCCATCCACTTATCTAGATCGGATAAGCAATTCTCGATTTTAGCAATGCTACTGGTTAATTCCAGATCATCGTTAACGGAAAAAGAAATGTACAACTGAGTATCATCGGCGTAGAAATGAAATTGCATGTCGTGAAAACGTAAAATGTCGGCAAGAGGAGCAGTGTAAAGTAGGTAGAGGATCGGCCCAAGAACGGAGCCTTGAGGTACTCCACACTTGAGCTCACGAGATTGCGATTTCCTCCCATCGATTAGGACGACTTGTGTGTAAGGTAGGAGCGGAACCAGTCAAGTGCAGTGCCACGTATTGAGAATTTAGAATTCAATCTTTTGAGCAGTATTACATGGTCAACAGTGTCAAATGCAGCGGAGAGATCTAGTAACAGGAGCATGACACAATGGCGATTATCGATAGCAAGCAAAATGTCATTTTGAACACGGAGAAGGGCGGTTTCGCAGCTGTGGAATGATTTGTAGGCAGATTGTAGCGGCTCTGTGAGTTGGTAGAAGTCAAGATAAGCTTGAAGACGCACTGCCACAACCTTCTCAATGACTTTCGAGATAACCTTAAGGTTCGAAAGGCCTAAAATTACTAAGAACTTCGTGGTCCAGGTTCGGTTTCTTGAGAAGAGGGGTTACAACAGCGTTTTTAAGGGACGAAGGTAGAAAACCAGATACCAGTGACAGGTTTACAATACTACAAATAGATAGTAGGAGCAGGTCCAGATGTTCTTTAAGTAACGTGGCTGGAAAAGGATCCAGACAGCAGGATTTCTGCACAACAGAGCGGGCAATCTTCGATAGTTCAAGATTTGAAGTAGGTGAGAAGTTGCTAAGCTCACAATTAGTGGTGGAAATATCCAGTGAGGAAAAGTAATCCGGAATTTCAGAAGGAGTAGGTATACTTCTAATACGGGTTATTTTATCTTCGAAGAAGGTAACAAATGTATTAAGGCCTATTTACACGGTACGACTTTGTCGCATGCGACAAGGTTACGACAGGCCTACGACATGACTTAGGACAATTTACACGCGCACGACATTTTCACCTACGACATGCCAAAATCGCGTGCAATTCCACTCGTTTCGGCCGCGGTCATTGTTTCAATAATTTGCAAGAGAAGGAAAAGAACCTCTTCCTCGCTCCACAGTGATATCATATTCTCTGTTTCCTCATCTGAGAATGTATTTCTCGCTTTGAAAGCAGTTCGACTTTCCGGAGGCGACTTCCTCCGCCATTTTGACGCAAGAAAATTTCACCTTCCTCCCTACTCAGTAGAAATTTGTCACAAAATACGTCATTTTCCATCAATTTCGGCTATGACTGTCGCAGCGTTTTAAAACATGTTTTAAAATCCTACGACATTTTTCGTGACGTGCACGACAGTCGTGAGCGAGTGGTAGGTTTGATTTACACGATACAATTCGTGTCGTAGGCCTGTCGTAAGCTTGTCGCATGCGACAAAGTCGTACCGTCTTTTCCGCGTTAATACTCTTCTTTCCTTTTGTAAGAATGTAGACCACTTAAAATGTTTCGAGTAATCCACCCAGCCTAAAAAAAATAACTCTTGCATGCACAGCGTGCCTATGTTTTGAAATAGGTGTATGCCCTCGGCCAGACTTGAGTTCACTATTTCAGTGTACTAGTCCGTCACCAGTAGTATTGCTACACTTGATTCCAAGGATCCAGTACCATCCAGGTATCCCAGTTACCCTGCTCACAGGGTCTAGTTTTAAATAATTTCCTCTTAAAATGTGGAATAGAACTCGCCACTCGCGATAAACTTCGATGGTTTATTGTGAGCAAAAGATAATAAAGCTAGGAGATTTTGATATGTTTAAATGAGATTTTTCGATCTGAGCGGTATTTCATGCCCTGAGATTTAGTAAAAAAAAAAGGCAGTTGGTGTTTATAACCCCCGATCTCATAGGGCGGGATTGTTTAAGTTAGTTGTTAGGTACTTATATCAAGTGATGTCATCATGTCGAATTTCTCGGAAATGCTTTAGCACACGGAATGACTTAATTGTTGGCTCTCGCCTTTTTACCAAGAGTTTTCTTCCAGGTTCTCCTTTTTCCTCGCTCCCCATTAAGTTATGCCTTGAAAAGAAGCATTTGATCTATTGGGCATTGCATGCATACAATGATCAAACTACCATCTGCTTAATTAACACTTTACTATATGTAGTATAAGATCTACTTGAAAGCACTTGGATCTAGGATTACAAGGCATCTTGAACTTAAAGAATAAAATACATAACAAGGGAAAACTTCTTTGCATGTCGGTAATCGGAAATAAAGGACCTCAAATTTCCAGATCTTGCTTTCATTTGGCATATTGCAACGCAACCTTTCACAGAGTAAGCTTAACTTTACTATTTATTTGGAGCAAATTGATACCTCTTTAATTTGGGGAAAAAGGAATTTGTACCGGCCAAAAAGAAAGCTTTCATTTAACATCATTATTTCTAAACTCTGTCGAAATCTTCTGAAGCATTCCAGTAATTTTACCTTTATTCTGTATCCCTTTATCACGCTAGAGATCACATCAACAGCATTGTATTTCTGCTACACTTCGGCAGTAGATTATTTAAGTTGTACGAACTGCAATTTGTTTCTTGTTACACACACAAATCAAATTGTACAGTAAATGGTTTAAACTTATTCCGGTTTTTGTTTGTGTACACTGACCGGACTAGGTACATTCGACTGACAACAACCTTTCTCTCGACTCTGATGATGACTTCCACTCAGGTTGTCGAAACGTCAGTCACCACCACCGACAACAGTCCTTCTCGGGACTACACTCACCCGGACGATCAAACTACACTATTACAAATCGAATTGTAGTAACAACTAACTTAAATGAGGAAAAAAAAGGCAACAGATATTCTTAATAGATGCAAAAAAAGGAAACAGTTGAACTTACTTTTTTCAATGTTATGTCTTACTGGGTGGAGTTCACCTCTGTTGTACACAAAGAGCAGCAAACTGGAGTGGCTTGATGATCTTCGAACTCTGATTTTTTTTCTGATCGTTGCTGAATCAATGTCATAAAAATTCCTTTCCAAGAAATTGCGGAAGTGTAGAACTTTCGCTAATGTTGCATCCGTAAAAAGACCGCTGGTTTCCATGGAGAACTATAAATAGTAACACAAGATCACTAATCACGTCATTAGACGTCACATTTCACTGATTTTTCTAAATATAGATATTTCTAGAACTAACACAGATGTTTGAAAATGGTAAACGCTGCGTTTGAGTCTTCTTGGAATTCTCTCACGGCTTTGATACCCTTAAAAATTTCAAATAAACCTTCCAAGTGGTGAATAATTACTGGAAATATATGAAATCATATATGTACACTGCGGTGAAGAAATGAGATGCAAGCGATCCTCACAGCTATGAACACTACTGAACTAGTAGTTGAAATGAGACCTGAAAAAAGATTCAGGCCCGTACGGGATTTGAACCCATGACCTCTGCGATATTACTCCAGTGGTTTCGGCTTATTTTGTCCAGCAATGTTTTGTTTACTTTAGTCTTCATTTTACGTTTTGTGTCTTAATTGTGAAGCTGGTACTTTTCGTCGCCCAAATAGTTTGAGGTAAGTAAATTGTAACATTTTCATCTTTGAAAGATTTAATATAGAAATTTTCGCCAAATCACACAAGGGTCCATATTTGGGTCCTGGGTCGAGAACGATCAGTAGTCAGCGGTTTAGTTAGTAACCAGTTTTCTTGCGGTCGAGATGAACGCCTTTCAGAAATATTTTTTTCCAATGATGAACGGACTCAATGTAATATTCTTTTGCTCATCTAGTTTAAGTCTGAGAACTCTATGTTCGATGAAGAGCAATTAGTCCATTCTGATTCTTTTATTCTTTGTATGGTGTTTGTATTTTTATGTTGTGTCTGAGCAGATGAATTCGTCAGCGTTTTCCTTATCCGATCAAACTTTCGTTTGAAATGACGAGAAAAATTTGCAGATGCCATCTCATACTTTCTAGGTCTCTGTCGTGTCTGTTTGTGATTAATTCATTATTTTCTCTCTATGTTTTAGTTACGTTTTATTCTCTGTTAGTGCTAATTTTTCTGGTGTTATTTGTAACGTCATCAAGATCAAAGAGGTACTAATGAAGTAAATTTGTGTTTGTCAGTTGTTATGTATTTTTATCCTGTAACGTCTTTCTATGTAAATATTGTTAAGCTTTTATTATCAAGCATGTGCTTTGCACCAGTTGATGATGATAAACACTGCGCAAATCTGAGGCAGACACATGAGGCTTTTGGATTTTTACTTCTGGTAAATGATCCCAAACAGCTTTAATCACTGCCTAGGATAAAAAAATCGAGGGAACTGAAACTGGTGCTTAGATAGATTACTGCGTAGAAAAATGTATTAAAATTTTTCGTACTGGCCCTGAGTGGGAAGCAATTCAGCCTTATGGTGGATGGTGGCGTGATACATGTAGCTCGTGTGACAGACCTCAGAATGAGTGGTCAGATCCTTGGTAAGGGTCGCGGTGTCATTTTCTTTGGCTGAAAGTGCCTTTGGTATCTATGCAAGGGGTATAACTGAGTTTAGTGTAAATCAAATCTGTCAATCTGTAGCAAATGCGGCAATTTAATTGGCAATGCTACTTGCTATCTATTCTGTCAAAGTCATCAAGTAACCTAATAGTGTGCCATTGTAAGCAAACTAAAATGAAAACATGAATCTGTCTTTGCTTAATTGAAATTTGTAATAAAACAAGTAGGTTATTTCTCTTGATTTCTGTGTGATGATTGATTTGGGCTTTGCCACTATCAGCTAAGATAATCACACAATGGAAATCTTGAGGTTGTCTTTATTGTCAAGTATATAGTAAGAATTATATGTGTATCAGGAATGGCTTTAACTTTTGAACAATTGGAGGATTGATGCACATATATGATGTTACCATTACTGACATTTTGCTTCTTTATGGTATAAAACAAATAGATTCTATGTTGTCATGTGTCTGTTTATTTATAAATCACACAAAAGTGTAGTTAGAACATCTGTGATACAATTGGCTGCACCATGTGTCTGCTTCTTTCCATATTTTGGCAACATCTGCAATCTATTACTGAAGATATGCCTGGCAACATATTTATTTGTTGACACACAATACATGACATTCCAGGGCAAATGTGTGCCAGAGCTTATCCTTGTTTTATCAGCATGGAAGGACAAGTGTGTTTATACTTCTCCTTAATGTTTCACTTTTCCACTGCAGGAAAAATTCAGTTCCCTCTACATATAAGTGCATTTCATTGTCTCAATCTATGCAGTATTTGTGTGTTCTCCAGCATAATTTGCCAAAGATAAAAATATAAACAACAGTGATAAAATATTTTTTATCAATGTTCTTAAATCAGCAATTTAATGATGTAATACATATGTACAACGCTTTAAATGAATCATGAACTGGATTTTAGGGTGAATTACCAATTACAAATGAACCTGAAATTTCTTGAGAAATATTTACAAGTGTTTCTTTAGTTCACTGCAACAGATCATGTGAAAGAGGAAAATAATTCAAAGAGTTACCTAATCTACAAACACGTCTTCTTCTCAACAAGGTATTGCGATAATGCTGCAGCCCAGGAGTCAGCCATACAGAAAACAAAGAAAAACAATTCCCATTTTTCCCTTTGCTGACTGCTGACTCTCATACTGCTAAATTATTTTGTTTGCCTGAGAAAGAATACTGGACTGCAGGTAAACTAGTATTTGCCAAGGATCTTGAATGCGAACAGGAAAATTTAAAGATAACCGAAATCATCAATCTTTTGCAAGTACATCTTAACGTGGGTATACATAAATATTGGACTTTTTAGGATTTTTGAGGATGAAATTGGAACCAAAAATCCTGACTCATATGGAAATCATATTATTTTACATATTGGGTAAAATTATTTACAAACTCTAAGATAATAATCATATGAACAAACTGGGTAAATTAACAAAAAATACTGCATGTTATTACAATATACATTTACAGTGAAAGCATGCCTATTGATTTAATCACTTGACTAATGAGTAATACAAAATGTTTTAATAACAATGATAAAAATCTAGTAACCTTGTAAAAGAATTGTACAGGAACTTTTGGATTAAAACTGAACAACCCACAGAGTTTAAAGAACAAAATTATTTAAAGAAATTTTGTATTTGTTACTCTCACTTAGCACTAACAGTTTCTCTTTTTTTGTGGGGCACAAAATTGTGAAAGCATTATCAATTTGCATGTGTTTAGAAAATTATAACAGTAATCATGATAATCATCAACTTCCATACATGTACACAAAGAGGTAACAAAGTGCCAAATGGTTATAAAATAAAGAGTCATTCACATGCAAGAATTGATTTGTTCATATGGACCAAGGCCCCTTAAACAATTGCCCCTAACCAGAATGGCAGGTGACAGCTATTCCCTCACAATTCAATGGCCTTTGTCTTAATGAACATGCCTAACAAGAAGGAATATATCTTCTTAAAGGGATACACATTACTATTGTAAATAGACAACTCTTCTTTAACCCTTTCATTCCAAGATCTCATAAGTAATTCTCCTTACTGTCTGCTATACAATTCTCATGATGTGAGTTTGGAGAATTTGGTATTGGATCCCCTAAAAATCCCCCTATACATTTTTTGTTATACCCAATACTTGTCTGACTGTGTGGCATTGTATTTAGTTTTATGTGATAATGAGAAATTCTGTCTTTGTTTCTCATTGGAGTGGAGGGGGTCACATTTCTTTCAGTAATAATAGTGGAAATCTCCAGCAAATCCTGAGGAGCTGCGTTGACTTTTTAAAAAGTTCTCCCTTTGACTGATGCTGCGTGACCATTCAGAGTAACCACTGTCACTATCTTGATAGGAAGGTAAGGCAATCTTTGACACAAAACCCCCTGGTACTGCTCTGGGAACCTTTGCAGGTGGGAAAGTAACAGGGGGAGACAGAGGGCGTGAACCATAAATCAGCTTTGACGAAACAGGTCTTGGTGGCCAAGACGATCTACAAAAAAAAAGGGAAATACTCTAAAGATCCATTGCTTTTTAGACAGCAGAGACAACTTTACATAAATCTTACTACTCAAAATTCCTGTTCATGTATTATGATAATCATTATGATCATTCACAAGTGATCTTCATCCATCGGTCACTTTTTTAGAATATCTTTCCATTGGGTATCTCAAAAACCAGTTGAATTTGAAAGCATTCTAATGGTATGGTAACTTAAGGCTCATTTTCATAATGCAACTGATGATGAAGCAATTTACCTGTTGAAGTCTGTATCGTAACCATATTGGTCAGTGTGATATCGGTAATCATTTCTCCACCAATAAACATCTTTTGGTGGCCTCCAGTATAGAGCTTTCCATTCCACGTATGACATTGGATGTGTTTGGGAAAGCTGCCATTTTTTGTAATTCTGAGAGGAAAATAATGGAGAACTGGGCTTTCTCCTGGAATAGGATAATGGGTAGTGCCCTGGATAAGATAAAGAAAAAAAAATCTTAGAACGATTGTCTGGAAAGGGAGAATAGTGAAATACAATGCAAAGGCTGACACTGATTTCCAACTTAAAACATTTTCATTTCAGTTGAAAAGGTCAACTCTGTTTCCCAGTTGACTTCAGACAAGTTCAACTTTTAAGGGAGGTAAAAAGGTTATCTGGAAATCAAGTTATCTACTGAAGGCTGAAATCTTTAAGAATGTGGCTCAGTAAATTCAAGTTAAGAAACCAGTCTAGTTATCTGGGCCCAGTTGTTTGATGGCTGATTAGCACTGACCCAAGGTTAAACTTTAATTCTGGTTTCTTTATTTCTTTGGGAAAAGGCCTTTTTGGGATAATTTTCTCTATTCTTTTTAAAGCATCCAGTCGTCAGATCATAGACAGAAAGAATTCTACTGAATTTCCTTTGAACGCTTTCAGATCTTAAATCAGATTTCACAACAACCCTAGGTTATCTTCACCTAGTTTTAAACAACCTGGCCCTAGGGATCAAGTTATCAAGTGTAAAGTGCTACAGTTTTAATTGTTTGTATATGTTGAATTTGTCAATAGTTACTTTTAGCAGGCACAAGTCATCAGGATTTAGATTTCTAGTAATCTTACATTGGAAAAAAAGGAAGATGCACTGACAGTATACATGAAAAAATTTCCACATGCACATTAGCAGAGAGCACATCAGTCAACCCCAAATATTGCAGGAAGTTGAAATGGTTATCATTAGCAAGTAATCAAATGAGATGACTGTGGAGTACTCACAAACATGTGGTAATTTCCACTGAATCAATGGTTCAAGAATAATATTATGCCTAACATGGTATACATGTTGTCTTTGCGAATAATTTCTCCTTACTTTCAAAATCTCCATGTTGTTTTCTCCCTTGTATAATGTGTTCCACTACAGGAGCTGGAGACAGTCTCTTCCCGGAGATTCCATGGGAGTTATACAGAGGCATTTCTCCTTCACTTCGCCCAATTCCAGACTCATCAGTATATGCTACTCCACCACCTTTGTACCGACGTGATCTGCTGTAGGACTTGTATCCATGGTGACTGTCATTATCCCTTATATAACTTCTGTATGTTGTGGACATGCCTGACTCAGTAACTAAAGGTGTTGACATTCTGACTGGGTCCCATACGGTTGAACCATTTAAACTCAAATCAGAGAGTGTTAAGCTTTGGGGATCAAATGAGAAATTGCTTACACCTTTAGGTGGAGACAACCTATTAGCTCTTCTCAATGCCACTTTTGCCCTCATTATAATCACATCCTCGTCAAGTTCGTTAAGGTGAATAGATTTGTGGTAGTGGTCAGTACTGCTATAATCCATAGCTTGAGCACTTCTATTGGTAGTGGATGCATGCTGTCTTGATTGAAAGTCTCTGGTTGGCCTTGAATCCTGTCCATGTTTATCAAACTCTGATTCTTGGTTTATTTTTTCAACTTCTGCTCCACCACTCTCTACACTTGAGCTGTCCTTTTCATCACCCTTGGCATCCAAAACCTCTGCTTCAATTTCACCTGGGTCTGATATTACCTTAGGAGATGATTCTGTAAACTTTAATTCTGGAGAATCTGTGCTTTGATCAGTCATTTTTTCATCATCTGTAGAATCTAAATCATCAGCTAAGTCCTCCATTGTGATTTTTGGTGGCATCTCCTCATCTTCATCATCATCATCATCATCATCATAATCATTGATGTGTTCCTCTTTCTTTTCCAAGTCCTCTTCTTCGTTGTCTTCCTTTGTGGAGAGAGCTGATACTTCTAGAGGACCACCATCATCGACTGAGTTATTAGGATCTTCTTTGTCTACAGAACATGAGAAAATTTGAAAGTAAGTGTATTGAAGTGCCTCATTGTCTAAATGCTCTATTTCACAATCTACATCAGAGCCCTAAAAACAGTTTTTTCCTCCAGTGACACAACTACACTTCTAAAAAAATTCCCAGTGCTCCCACTCCACATTGAATCTATACCAAACTGTTAAGCTTTTCCCTCTATTCAAAGCTCTCTGGCTAAATTTTGATGGAATGGAAGAATATCCTCCAGTTTCTTAAGAATGTTCTTAAATATATGCTATTACAATTTTTAATGAACACCATGATGAATGCCATTAGTACTTTGGGTGCATTTACAGCAGTGAACTCAGCCAAAGGAGACTTTTGGTAGCTTGGTCATTAAAGCAGGTTCATTTCACAATAATTAACCTCGTTTAATGACGCTCTCAAGCGCTTTGGTTGGGGTTTCAACTCGAGTCCAAAGCACTACCAACTCTTTCATTTAAAGTATACCTATGTCTGACCTCCAACTAAAACACATCATCTAAAAAGCTGTGTGATAAAATCTCAAAGGGAGTCTATTGAAAATTCTTTCAGAGGTTAGTACTGAACAACTTTTAGAGCCTGAAGTACGCTTCGTCGAATAGTCTTGCTCGATCAAGAGTCAACTGCTCATTTTGAAATGAACTATTTATAGTGTAGTGCTGAATCTTACGATAAACATGAATAGAAGATTTCACAAACAATTCTTCTACAACAGTTGATCTGATTTTCAAGCAGGCTTAGAAATATACATTAAAATAAAAGCAGAAATTTACTGAAGTTTTTTTACCTGATAGCGATGATTCGTTCTCAATTTCCATAGTACTATTTACATTAAACCCTAATTTCACTCGTTCTGCGAAAGAACTTGCTGTAACGTACTATAATAACCAGGCCATTTCTCGATTAAAGTACACCAAAGTGGTATGATAAACTAATAATAAGGACTGTTGTGAAGTCAACACACTCTCGAATGACTTTCAAGGAAAAATGCTATCAAGTCCTCGAACATCAGTGACGCGAAACGTTTGTTGTCGTACCCAGACCCCAGACATTTTTTTTAGTGAGTTTGAAAGAAACCCGATTTATATTACATAACCTACCATTCACAGATTTTCCTGCCTGCCCAATTGCTTTGATCGGAGACAGATCAGGAAGAATATCGCCTTTAATATCAATTCCAGAAGACTCAAGCACACCTGACGAACAGTCCATGGGGCTAAGGCTTTGTCTCGATAAATACCCCCTTCTTGCTGATGTGGGTGTTTCTTGTACAGTGGGTAAAGGTTTTATTGGAGACATGTTTGGACTAGACATGGTGCTAGCTGTGGAATGCCTTTGTCTCACAGCATGCCTTGGGGTTGATTGGTCAGATACAGGGCTTGAAGTCACCTAAAATTACAGTTTCAAATTAATTCTCAGAAGCAACTAGAATAGAAGGCCACTGCGGTCCACCTTGTCAGCATGCTTTTAAGAATGATAAGAATTGATAACATGCAAATAAGTGGCCCCATACGCTGTAGTTTTACCAATTTACTTTCTGTTGCACGAGCAGCTTCTAAATAAAACAATACTTTAATCTTGTCTAGGATGCTAGACTCCAGCAGATTTCCTTCTCTGTGTATTTTGTCAAGTTTGCCCAACATTTACTGGTACCCATTCCCAAAAGGTTACCTCTCCCCTAGGTTGCATTTTTTCAGGTACACCCAGGACCTCTTCATCCACTGCATCAACCACCAAGCCCCCACCTTAATTATATGTAGCTTATTTTAATTATTTCAATGAGAGTAAATCATTCATTGATCAGAACAATGGGTTATATTTGGACCAATCTTTAGGCTAAAATAACTTACAAAAGCAGGGCTTTTAGGACTCTTCAAGATGGATCTAAAACAAATGAAATAAGAAATTCATAACTTATGATTGTTGCCATTTCTTATATAATTATGAATACTAAACCAGAAGCCTAATCCACAGTCTTTCTTGGTACTGATAAATTACCTTATGAACAGGTTTCTTACAGTGGGGGAACTGTTGCTTAGTTACTTACTTTATATGGTATGGCACTGTCAACTGATCCTTCTCTGCTGCGGTTTTTGTATCTGTTGGTGTGAAAAGCTTCCGTCTCAATGATGATAATGAAGTGTCTTTACTACCATTGAGACCATCCTTATTGTAATAAGCTGCATCTGAAAAGAATGACCTTAATTAAGTATGTGACCAACCTAAACGCGAGAGGAGCAATTTAAAAAATCCTGCAATTCAGTACCCTCATCAATGACACTCACACTGCAATTTGGAAATACATCGTGAAAATTTAGTCACCTTTGTAGCAGTTCTTTGGAATGTCTTGCGATGCTACTTCCACTGAAAGAAGCTACTTTTGGAAGGAGCATTTTTTGACACCCGAAAGAATGGCTGAGAAACCCAGCGACAATTTGGTTCAAAATATTTCACTTACCAATGTGATTTTGTAGGTCGAAGTCTGGTGGTAAAGAAAGCTTTGTTTGACTGCTTGCTGAAACAATAAAAACTAATTTGAAAATGTTATTTAAATTTAAGAGACCGCTGCTTCTCAGTTTGAAGTTAATTTAGGTATTTCTCTTCATTTTCAAGATTTTTGAGTCCTGTTGCTCAAATCCAACCTACACAAAGAAATGCAGTGATTAAAAAGAGGTTAAAATTATTTTTCTTACCATCAGCCTTTGCTTTGCTATTTGATGACATTGGTGATGAATAGGACGATTCTACTGAACTTAAAGCCTCAATGTCTAAAAGCAAAGTTAAGAACAAGGTTCCATTATCACAGGTACTCTAATTTTCCTACATAGGATGGAATTATTTTCACAAGATAATTTGTAATATTTCAATAGGCTGATTATTTCTTTAATCAGCTAACAATAAAAATCTAATTTGAAATTAAGTGCATTATATGTTTTGACAATGTAAATTACAGTCTTTGATGATTCTTAATAACTGCATTGTAAGCAATCTACGGATCAATATCATTATCTGGGTAACTGCCCACCTATCCCTCCCCTAACCCAACAACAGTCAATTGATAACAAGTTAGGGTGAATGTTGGGTTAGGGGAAGGGTAGGTGGGCAGTTGTCCAGATACTGATATTGATCCCAATCTACTACAAAATGTGTGAAACTAAATGACACTAAAGAATGATCATATACAGTGATACACCATTGTCAAGGTTACCATTTGAATGGGGCTTTAGTCTTCACTAGGAGGCACGGTGGCCTCATGGTTAGTGCACTCGACTCCGGATCAAGTGGTCTGGGTTTGAGCCCTGGCTGGAGTCATTGTGTTGTGTTCTTAGGCAAGACACTTTACTCTCACAGTGCTTCTCTTCACTCAGGTGTACAAATGGGTACCAGCAAATGTCCTGGGGGTAACCCTGTGATGGACCAGCATCCCATCCAGGGGGGAGTAGCAATACTCCTAGCCACTTCATGCTAAAGGAAACCAGAGCTAAGCGCCAGCCCCATGGGCCACTAGGGCCTGCATAAGCGCTTTACTTTTTAGTCTCCACTAATAAATTTAAATGCCAAGGAACACTCACATGCAGTTGCAGGTGGCAGAGGAGAGAACTTCACATGTTTGGCTTCATGGTTTGGTGTCCATGGAGATGGAACAATAAAGTTTTGAGAGAAATACTAAAATATGAAAAAAAAAAATGAATGATATAACTTGATTACAAGACTTGCATAGTGGCCAGAGCTAAAAATGTTGCAATGTGATTTCTGTAGCGTAAAACAACCTCTTAGTATTGCCAGTACTACCTATCTACTTTTCTTCACAGGTTACACTTCCAAACACCCCCTAATATCATTTTGCTAAGTTTCCCTTTGATTTTGCCATTTGCCATTTATGTGAATGTATCTCTGAGTGGAAAGGGACAGGCGAAGAACATGACACTAGTCATTGATAGAAACATTTCAATCCATAGCCTAGCATGCTATGGCACCTCTTATAGCATTGCCCTTGTTCAGCTTTAACCCTGTGATATAATATTGCTTGAATGTAAATCAGTAGTAGTGTGTATTAACCAACCTCATCTATTTTTTCTTGAGCAGCGATTTCATCTTCTTCCCTATATTAATAACATGAGACATGAAAAAAAGGTTTTTTTAACTAAATCTTTTGAAAATAATGATCCATAACTTATAGCAGTGGCTCAGAAGACAAGGTTTTGATTTTTATCATATCTCTAATGGTGTCTGAGAGGTTTGGAAAACGATTTCTAATCATACAGAACAGCAACTAAAAGACAATTGAGGCAAAACCCATCAATTTTGAATTTTTGTTCAGTTGTTAGGACATCTTGACATAGTTTAATTGCATCTTTCATTTTCCTGTAATTTGATCTGTTACTTTGAACAAGCCTTGAAGTCTGATTGGTTGTTTTGTTTTTAGTGACTAGCCTCCTCATTGGCCAGGAAAAAGTTGCGATTTAGAGCAAAAAAAGGTGCGATTTGTGAATAAATCACACCAATTAGAACCAATCAGATTACAGAGACCACCAGTGATTTCAAAATGGGTGTAATAAATGTAGAAACCACCATTGCTGAATTGTTGAATACAATAATTATTTGTTAAATGAGGTGTAACTAACCTTTCAAATGTGGTGCTGTATTCTTGATCTGGAAATTCTTCAATATCAGCAGGATTCTGAATCATGAATGATTTGCCAACATTTTGATGAAATCAATATAGTACCAAAAAAACTCTTTATATGTTCATTAAACATATAAATTTTATTAAGTCTTAAACTTTAATTTTATTGACTGAAAATGTTGCATCTTAAGAGTATCCTCAAAAACTAAAATGACATTTTGACATCTTAAAAACGAGATCTCGTTCACTTTAATTAACTTAAGGCTTGATTTTATCCTGAGAGTTTGTAGGATGTAAGGTAATCGAAGCAATAGGCTCAAGGATAAAACAATTAGAAAAACGTGCTACTGCATGATCAATAAAAACACCGTCAGCGTTCTTGAGTTCTAAAGTCAATTTTCCTGACACTACTCAAGCTATATTATCATATAAAGAGAATTACTTCTATATTCTAAAAGGATCACAAAGGATCAAAGTCTTGGAGGCTTGTAAATTATTTTTCTTTCATCCAGTCACTTACCAACCGTGAAATTTGCCCGATTGACCATCGAAAACTACGTCGTTTCTGCGACAGACAAAAAGTAATTTTAACAACAGAGTGTTGATTGCAACAGCATAAACTTAAATATTGAACTGTGTCGTCAAAAGTTCACTTAAAATCATACCTTTTGACTTCCCGGTGTTTCTTGAATGGAGAACATGGAAGGACTGAAGTCTGGGCAGTTTGTGCGATCTTCAATCCCGCTATCGAATGGATTTCGTGTAATTTCAGAACACGACAAAGATGACATACTGTCTACCATTTTCACTCGTTTTTTAAAAAATCCTAGCACACGTAAAAAGAAAAGAAGAAAAAGTCTAATCCACGAAATTTTGAAATTCCAAAACTGGATTGTAAATGGAGAAATTTTGAATCTGGCGCCCAGCCGAAGTTGAAAAGGATTGTGCAACTGAGGAGAATTTGACAACTGATCACGCGTAGGAAGCCTCTTCGGCTCTTCCCGTACTACTGTTACTTGTTATTACCCATATAGTTCCCTAAAAGAAAAACTGAAATTAAATTGCTGGAAGGACTTAAAAAAGAAGCTCCTTCCTCCTTCCATCAAGAGAGATGAATCCTATGATGATCTGTGAGAGGTAGTAGAGAGTTAGATTTCCGTCCATTTTCTCCAAAGAATCACTTGTGTAGAATTCCGCTGCCCAAAATCATACTATTGATTTAGTTCTAAAATGGCGGATAGCAAGGTCTCTTCGGCTCGGGAAGCAATGGAAGGTACTGATCGCAGCCTTTTAGGCGTGTATTTCAGTAATTTTTTCTTTATAGAAGAAATGCATCAGTTTCATCATTTAACAGGTCTTGTGATTGGCAGCTCATCGACTAGACGAAAATGACCTTACAAAACCAATATTCCTATGTTGATTTCATACTCGAAGGTCTTAGCTTCAACCTATAACCAAGAAATGTTCTTTTTCTCTGAAGGTATCTCATTTGTTTGCATCGTATCATGAAACCTATAATATTTTACTCGATTTCAGCTTTAGTCGAGATCTCCAAGCTGCTCAACACTGGCCTTGACCCTGAATCTTTAGCGATCTGTGTAAAGTTGTGCGAAGCTGGAGTGAATCCCGAAGCATTGGCATCAGTTGTGCAAGAGTTACGAAGAGAAGCGGCGTCCCTACAGGTATGAGAAACAACTGATGCCTTTATCTCTGTCGTAAGCTTTTGACGGAATTGTTTCTCTTGTCCCCATTTAGCTATCTAGCCATAAAATAATCCCAGAACTCAATATGACTTAAAAATAATTTATTAACAAGGATGAGGCTCAGGGATTTCTTATCTTAGGTTGTATGGTCAAGATTTGATGGTCAAATTATTGGGTGCAATAGTCCCACAAGTATTATGAGAATTTGTTCTAATAACATTCATGTGATTTCAGACACAGGATGTTGGAGAGAGGTGATAGGTGACATTCACACGATTTCAAGAAAATGAACGGAATCAAGGATTGATATATAGTTATGTTGTAAGGGGTCTCATTTGGGAACCAGCTTTTCTGAGCCAGCTTTTCAATGTCAAGGGACAGTACTTTGTAAAGATGCCACCAAGGCTGCTTGTTAAAATATCCAGAACATGTTCATTTTTTCCTTAAACACCAGTTATTTATAGTAATAACTCCTATAGGCTTTTCTTACTTAAACAGTCCTCCATGCTAGAATTGTTGACCCTTTAACTCCCATGAGTGACCTAGACAGAATTTCCCCTAACCATATCAATACAATATCAACCAGGAAAATGATGAGAATAAAGAAAAATATCAATTTGGGGATAACTAGTTGATCCAATGCTCAATTCTCTGAACTAACATCATAAGAATTGTGTGGTTGACAGTTAGGAGAATTACAAATTTGGTCTGGGAGTTAAAGGGTTAAAAGAGTCAAAGGAGAACTTGTGGGTTTGGTGTCAACATCAAATAGTATTTGTATATATCAAACTTTGTTGTCACTTCAAGACTTCTGCCCTACCAGGGAGAATCTTTGTGTGTAGGCTCAAACCATGATTGCCATTGTACATTGGGCATTGAGGTTTGGTCTCACTGAAGTACTAAGGTAATGGTTAAAATTGCATGCTGGGATTTGGAACTTAAGTGGGATGGAAGTCCATGGGAGAATTGCAATGTTCACCCACAAAAAAGTGTAAAGAGCAAGGCTTACAATTCAATTGGATAAAAACTTTGTAGGGGGGGAGAGGAAAAAGTCTAGATGCTAGAACACTTCATTTACAAATAAACAGATTGTTTGTATATGGAAACTGACTTTGATTCCTTTTATTTTCATTTGAAAGTGGTAAAAACAAAGTTTGTCTTCTTTATTCTGTGAAGAGTCATAAACAGTAATTAAAATAACCTTAAATTAAGACCTTCTTTTTACAGTTTTCACTGATTTTTTCATCAACAGCTCAAAGTCAACAAAGGTAAAATTGAATAACCACAGTTTGTGAGTGAAATTAAGGCAGGTTTAAGTTAAAATCTATTTTAATATATGCTAAAGAAATGATTCTGGATACAAGCCTCAAAACTGGGATGAGTGTTGAGGTGTTTTGTCCAAGCAATAAATTAGATACTACCTGAAAAAGCCTGCAAGCAAGCCAAATGTCTCACCAGCACTTTTGAAACTAATAGACAAACAACTTGCCATAGTGTTTTTAAGCTTATCTCGTACAAAGGTCTTTGGTAACCTCCACATTCATACACTCTTTCCAAGCAAAAATATTTTTCTTCACAAGAATTCCGCAAAAATGTTGCTGAAATTCTCTTTTCCAGTTCAACTGCAAAGATTCAACTCACTGAACATTTTCAAGAACAACAGCTATACCCTGACCACCTCCTATACATGCAGAACCAACAGCATACTTAGCACCAATTCGACGCAGCTCATGCACTAAGTGCCCTGTGATTCTTGCTCCTGAGGTGCCTACTGGGTGCCCTAAAGCAATTGCTCCACCATTCACATTTGTCTTGTTCATGTCCAGTTCAAGTTCCCTTTGAACTGCAAGAAACTGAGGAGCAAATGCTTCATTCACCTGTGAAGATAAGATTGGAAGAGATTGTGTTTAAGTTCATAATATTGTTTTCAACTTGTTCAAGTGGGTTGTGGATTATGCAAGAGAATTCATTTGGTTTTATTATTTGAGTTGATGATTTAAATAAGCCACCATAAAGAGTTTCTAAAGCTGATGTTTCCTATAATACTGACAAAGAGAATATGTCTAACAATTAAGAGTTTCTTAACGTTGTGATCATTTTCTTAATTTGCATGACTTGAGTGTGTAATCCAGACATGATATTGGATGGAGAAATTAAATATTTATCACTCTAAGAGGTGTAAGGGTTTAAGATCCCAACAAGCAATCAAACAATCTTTGTAGCTAAGAAAAGATTTCGGGTTTTTTTAAGCCTTTATCAGAGTTATCTATACTTTTTCTGTACCTTAAAAATTAGTGTTAATTTTCTGTATGAATGTGTTACATACCTCAACCAGTGCCATGTCTTGCAGACTCTTTCCAGCTTTATTTAGAGCTGCTTTAATTGCTGGGACAGGACCTATTCCCATGATTGATGGCTCTACACCAGCCACAGAATATGAAGCAATTCTTGCGAGAGGAGTGAAGTTATGTTCCTTCAGGGCTTTCTCACTGACTAAAATGAGTGCTGCAGCCCCATCACATATGCCCTAACAACACAAACAGATGAAAATTTATCCTATCAACAACTGCTTGTAAACAGTTTCTATATACATACAAACACAAAAGTACAGTGAAAGTAACTCACAGAAGCATTGGCAGCAGTAATTGTTCCATCTTTTTTAAACACTGGTGCTAACTTTGCCAGCTGCTCTATAGTGCTGTCTGGCTTAGGATGTTCATCAACCTTAAATTCCTCTGGTCCCTTCCTGCCTTTCACAGTCACAGGAACAATTTCTTCAACAAATCGGCCATCTGCATGAGCTGAAAATGACCGAAACTAAAATTATGAATATTAACCAAACAGAAAAATTACAATACAACTACAAAATCAAGTAAAGAAAAGCAGTGACTTTGCTTCTCACCCTTTAACACCCAGAAGTGATTAACATGTAACTTCTCCCCATAATATTCATACAATATCCAGCAAATGGGGTGTAAAAATACTCAGACTTATTGGCTAGAAGTTGTTATCTTGATCTAACAACAAATTCTTGTAACTTATTTACAAGGAAATGTGTAGCAGCTGAAGGAGAGAATGAACAGTTGGATCTTGGGAGTTCAAGGGTATTTGTATCTGGAAGCTCTTAATGACTGTTCCAAGTTATCAGTTTGTCAAAAATTGTGAGTGGAAAAGGAACCCAAGCTGGGAAAAAGAAAATCTGAGATACTCTCTAATAAGTTTGCTCTCCAACACTTTGCATTTTCCTGTCCAGGCCATGACTGAGAGCTCGGCACAGCTTGTTGATGAGTTTCAGCCTCATAGTTTTATTTACCTTCAGCCCATCTTTTTTGAGATAGCAGAGCAAACTCGTCACAGTCTTGCCTTGTGATATTGTATTTTTCTGCAAGATTTTCTCCAGTGACACCCATAGGCATTTTAGCATGAAAATCAGTCAAACCTTGCCACAAAGTGTCCTCAAGCTACAGAATGCAATGAAAGAATAAATTAGGCTTTAATGAAATTATTTTTTAACCTTAATTAATTAGTTTTAGTATGGTAATCACATTAAAAAAAACAGTACAAATTGCAAAGTTGTTAATGAACAGATGAACAGATGAACACCACCATCTGAATATGCATTTTTGACAAGGACACCATTCAGCTTTGAAGATCTGAATGATGAAAAAAGTATCGAGAGGAAAGCTCACCTTTAAGTCAAGACCTAATTTTGTTCCAAATCTAGCATCTCTAAGGGCATACGGTGCTTGACTCATGTTCTCTGAGCCTCCACACAAAACAATGTCACTTTCACCCAACTGAATCTCCTGTGCTGCTGTGACAACTGCCTGGAAACCTGAACCACAGAGTCTGTTCAAAGTCAAAGCTGGAGTCGTAACAGGGACATTGGCCTTCAGGGCAATATGTCTTGAGATATAGGCTGCATCTGATGCACTCTGTGAATGGGCATTAAAAGGTTAACCATTGTGGGCTGTTAACCTTAAGACTTACTATGACTTACTATGACTTACTACTATCTGGTTGGTTGAGAGCATTCAATCAATATATGATAGCATGAGAAGTTGACCTGACAAATGCAATATCAGCATTAACCCAGAGAGAAACTCAAAATATCTGAATCTATTTTTTTCTAAGCACTGGTACATGCCAAAATAATTATTTTATAGTAATAAACTGTAATAAATCTTATTTCAGTAACATTTTGAGCACTGGTTGTCAGACTGCATGTTGTGTGTATGTAGTAAGAAGTGTTCATTAAAAATAATTATATTTAGTTAATTTTAAAGAGATCTGAACAGAATCAATTCGTGGCGTAACTCCTCTTCACTCGCTTCAACTACAACTAGGAGACTTAACAGACCTGTCACGCGATAGGAAAACTGCCGACAAACTAACAGCCGATCGCAGTCTATCTGTTCTTATGAAAATAATTCAAGGGATATTACTGCATTCATCAGCTCATAGTCATTTCTGAATCTTGACATAAATTTAATAAAGTGAAATTATTATCAGGAATTACACGTCGCAAGTGTCCTTGTACAGATAGAGTACAAAGTCCATCATGACATGTAATAAAAGGTCAGAAGAGTAGACAACTGAAAAGATAAATAAACTTAATCTATCGGATCACTTCTACTACAACTTTTAATCTCCAAAATTACTTTCTGATGCGTGGCCTAATTGTACTTTTTTTAAAAATAAAATATCTGCTACCAAGTTCAAATGTTACCTGGATAACGTTACCAAACACGGATGAGTCCACAATCGCTGGATCAACTTTTCCTGCTTCCATCGCAGCAACAGCGGCATGTTGTCCCAGCACAGTAGCCGTTATACCCTTTAGTTTTCCTCCAAATGTGCCAAACGCGGTTCTCTTAGCCGCTACGATGTATACTGGACGTGCAAGACCAGCCATTTTTACAATTTGCGAGAGTAAAGTTCAGCAGATAAATTTCGCAAACTAATGGCTGAGTAACCAAGCTTTACTGTGATGTGGGCAGGGGATGGGTGGGTAATGGGCTGGTCTCAACACGCAAGGTAATTATTGCGGAAATGTCGTCATTCATACATTTTTTTTGCCTTCACCAAAATTTCTTAGATCATGGATGGATTTAGAAAAGTGTTGAAGGAGGCCTATTTTCTCTACTTATGGAGTTTCTTCATTTTTTTTTTCTTTCTTTCTTTCTTTATTCATTCATTTTTTTAAGGTTGTGAGTCGTTTTTAGGATGAAATGTACTTTTCAACAAGGTTTAAGTTCCTTTTTAGAACATTCACTTTTATTTGGTAAATATTTTTCTATCAATTTCTTGTAATTAAAACATTTTAAGACATAACTGTTATTTGATGTTCAGCTCTAGGGTTATTCAAGACATTTCTTTCACAAATCACCTTTAGGTAGCTATGCCTAACTATAACTGTTAAGAACTAAGCTTGTTAAGGTCAAATAGAGGTTCTGTGACTCCATTCTCAGAATTAAAAAAGTCTCTAATAATGATGGTCTGTAGCAGGATACATGTTACAATTCTTGCTCTGTTCCTGGATACTACGTTTGTCTGTATTTACCATTTTAAAAAATAATACATATTCATACAAAACAATGACATCAATGTATGGGTGTCTTATTATCTCCTTTGTTCTGTTCTCTTTGATTCACAATATTGGCTCCAAAATTACCATTCATTTCAATCACATCAATCTTATTGTGTTTCAAGGAAAGTGAAAGTATGCAGAAAACTAAATATGATAAAAGTTAAATAATTATTTTAATTAATCGTTAACTTGCATGTGTATACATTATATTACTTTAAATTTCTGTTTTTTGCCCTGAAAGTAATTTTCTGGTTAAGATCCAACCAAAGAAGCACTTGATTTATGTACAACCAGGGCTAAGAACACCAGGATTAATAATCACATGATGGACAACATTCCACATCCAACACAACATGATCTATGTGAGGAGCATAGGACTTGACATGTTCAATGTGCCTCACTTGAACATTCCACCCTTGTTTACCGTGTGATTTCCTTAAATGAGGCAGTATAGTCTGAGCAACATATTTTGCCCAATCTAGCCACTCTTGCTTTACTTTCTTGTTGCAGGAGGGTATGTGGTTTTGTTTCCAGAATGGAAGATTAAACTCAACTGAAACTGTAAAGGGCTCAGCAGAGATCATTGATGATTCCAGCTCAGAAGATTTTATCAAAACCATCCTGTTGTTGTGTACTTGGCCTTGATTTACTACACATGTTGATGTATTCTCTGAATGACAGTGAATTGATGAAGGTTGTTCTACTCCATTAAAACCATAATTATTGTCATCAAAAGTACTCTGTGGGCTTGTCATGTTGGCTTTCTTGGTTTGACTTACAGACAGACAGGTTTCTCCAGCTAATGACTCTGACAATTTACTATTTACTATTCCTTTCTGGTCTTTTATATTTGATGTGACATTTCCATGAACATGTAACCACCCTCCTCTATCAGGACGAAGTGCAGCACAAGCCACCGGCCATCCAGCCTCACAAGAGGGATAAGGCCCAAGTTGACATGGTCTGCCACTCCTCGAAGAGGAAACTGTAAATCAAATCACACAAGGGGATCACTCTAAAGTTCTAAGCATGTTACCAAATTTTGGGTCACTATGTATTATTCAAGGGAGATGTGGTGTTCAGGATGGTTTACACTCACAATTCTTTCCTTCACAGGTCTGCAAATATATACTTCAAATAGGTCAAGGAAAAACATCCAAGATTCTTTTCAATTTTCTGACAGTAACCGAAATTTCAACAACGCGAACAGATGTTGCCATCAGAGTCAAGGGATTCATACTACAAAACCAATCTAAAAGCTATTGTTTACCTTCAGATTATCTCCCTCGTGAATGACACATTGTTTATCAACACCATTCAATTTCAAGTTTCTTCTCAAAGCCTCTACAGCATTTTCATTCCACTCACAAGCATGAACCATGGCTGCTTTAGCATGAACAAGATAGGGCAGGACAAAATAACCAATTCCAGCATAAAGATCAACAACAGTTTGACCAGAACAGTCAAAATTTCCAACTCGGATCTTTTCTGTAATATTTCCTGAAGAGAACATGCACTTTGTGACATCGAAGGTGTATTTAATGCCATTATCTGTGTGAGTCACCCATCCATTCTCACCCAGAAGCATAGTGACTTTGGGGGTTCTGAAACCATCCCTACATATAGCTGATTTCTTGGCAAGTTTTGTGACACCAAGACTTTTTGCAACAGTTCTCCATAATTCACCATCAAAGTCTCTCCATTTTTCTGAAGTGAAACTGTTCTCTGGTAATAGAATAAGGTCTCCATGCTGCTCCCAATGTGATGGTATATCATCTGGTAACAACCCATCAAATGTTCTACCATTCATGTATAATAAATTGTCTAAAGCAATCTTCAACTTCTCTTGAGGAGACAATCTACCCAGTCTTACAATCAATTTATCAGCATCTATGCATTCAACCCTCCCCTCAAATGGAACAAGCCAAGATGTATCACTTTTTCCTGACTGTTCATTGAGTTTTTGAGCTGGCTCTTGTTGTAAAGGAATCATCACTTCATTTGTGGAGGACTTTGTCACTTTCCGCTCTTTATCATACTGTCCTCTGTCTTCAAAATACTTCCTGAGAGAAAAGAAATGACTTATTGTTAAGAATATCATGATAAGTTACCTCTAGTCTGCAATTCATCTGACCAATATCATAATATATCACCCATAATGCTTGCATTTCAATTTTTTTCTCCTAAATCTATGAAGATAAGGTGACTTAAATTTTAAGATGAAAGAGTTCTCAACTTAAATTTAATTGCAAAAAAATTATCTCGACAAAAGAAATAACGATTTAAGAGTGCTCTGAAAATTCTACCTTTTTCCAATAAGAATACCTGTAATACTTTCTCAAAACAGTGAATTTACAAGCTGAAAAAAAAAAGGTTAGGAATGACATAATGCCAAAATGTTTAAGTCAACAAAGAATACGGGTTTAAGAACATAAAATAATCTGAAAAATCGGAATCAAACTTTGATCCATCATTACGTCTTTCAGTTAATCCTTACATCCTAACTGATCAGTATCCATATTCTCCTAGAATCTCTGTACTCTTCTCTGTACTTTTTCTTTGGTACTGACCAGGGTTGGAAATCATTTCCTTTATTCTCATGATCTTAATGAATGATTCAGCAGTATTTTTGTATGGAGAAGTCAGATGCTTGTCGCTCTTAAGTAAGCAAGTAAGTAAGTAAGGGTTAGGGTTAGGAGGCTAAGGTGACGGGTAACAGTAAGTTCATACAACTACTACAGAAACGGGCGGCACTTACCTTGCTTTTTGGCCATTGACTTTAGACGTCACAAAAACCCAGGACATTTCAAACTGGTGCCGTTACAAATTTCTAATAAATCCTTAAGACCTCGACGAATATGCGGTGAAAAAACGATCAACCTCATCATCAAGTTTTGAGGCCGCCATGTTGACTATTTTTGGACTGGACTGGACGCCAGTGAGATGCGTTACTATCAGTCAGCGAGATACTCCATTAGTTCCAGTTTAACTCCTACGGAAAAATTGAACATGGCGGAGTCGAACCCTATTCTCGTTGGACTTTTCAGTGCAATTTCAGTCGGTCTTTTCGGGATCATTTTCCTCGTGTACAAATTAAGAATCTTGCATAGGTACATTTACAAGGTAAAACAATTTTCTTTGTCTTCTTTAGTGTAAAGGTAAAAATCTTTTGATCAGCTAGATGTATACGTCACATGACTGCTAAAATTTTGCAATCGTTTTTCAATACTTTCAAAAATTTGGATTTATGAGTTAGAAATTCTTATGCTGAGTTTTAAGAAGATCCTTCTGCCTCTGAGTTGGTACGATCTCCGCACAGCCCCATTCTTTATCATGGATACAGTTCTTGGATATAGAAAACAATGTAGATTGCCTCTGACACTTCGATTTGGTTTCAAAATAGTGTGGGGCTGTGCAAAAATCTTAACCTTGAGTCTCTTAAAGGAGTTATCACATATACCTAGACATGTGTATATCTAGATAAGAAAGAATGATCCTGAAATCATTCAGGAAATTTCTGCGTTTCTTTTCCTCATTCCAAATTGGGGGGGGGGGACAGGGGGGTTACTCTTGAAAACGAGAAGTTGTACATCTTCCAACTTTTCTTTTAATCAAATTTATTTCAACAAGAGACTGAGGCATTTAAAACCAGGAACTGGGTCCTTAAATAAAAGTAAGAGATCAAGCTTGGAGAACGTGTGCAGGGCACTGCTCGCAGGATTGCAATAGCATTTACCCAATTTAGTTTTTCCTAAATGAGAGTCAGTAAGAGGCTTTAGGCTCAAACCATTTGAAGCTGTTTACATTGATTATACATTCTCTATTGTTCTGAGGGCTTCTTAAAATGTTTATGATAAGTAGCATCATTATTGTCATTGTTATTATGCAAAATCAGATCAATCCTTGCACTCAAAAGATCTCAATATAAATATCAAATCTACTTACTGTCTCTGATACAATTTTTATGAATTTATTTTTATCAAACAATATGTGACCCTCCATGGGAAAACAGACACTAACGCTTTTCCATTTAAACTGCGAAGCCGTTTACTATCCATTTAAACAGTTCATGAAAATGTTTTTGCTTTGAGATAACTCTCCGTTGTCGCTTGGAAAGTTTTTCTGCAAAAGATCTCAACTCAACCACAACCGTTTAGTATTAATTTTTAGCACTCTGTTTGCTGATTTTGGTCAGCCATTTCTCAGTTTAAGCCATCTGTTTTTGGGCTTTGGTCAACTGTTTTGCGTTTCGAGCTAACCATTTTTATTTTTGGTAAACCATTTAACAGTTTGAGCTATCTGTTTTTTGGACTTTGGTAAACTGTTTAACATTTTGTGCTATTGGTTTTTATTTTTGGTCAACTGTCAGCGGTTATGGAAACCGTTTAAATGCTTGAGTTAGCTGTTTAGTATCCATTTAAAACTGTTTTTCTAGACTGTTTAATGGAAAAGCGTTAGTGTCTGTTTACCCATGGAGGGTCACATATTCCCAAAGGCCCAGTTTAGACGCCAAACCTCAGCCGAGCCGAATCAAACTCGACAAATTAAGTTCATGTGAAGCATGGTGTCTGAATCAATTCAGAATGGCTGATTTAATTTAGATTGGCTCAGTCAATAATTGACTCAGTAATAATAATTAATCAATAATTAATCAGTCAATAATTATTAATCCCGGTTTAAGACGGTTTGCATTCTTCTTCTTTTTCTTCTTCCTATTCTTTTTGCACTGTTTTCCAGCATTTTGAACAGGAGAGAGGCTCTTGCTCGCAGATTGCTGCTGCAATCCATGACGTCTGCCATGTTTACAATTGTTTGCAAAACCAATGACTGACTATTAATTTTCTTCAATTAATTAATTTTGGCTGAGTGAAGTTCAGTGTTTGAATCAATTCAGCCAGGATTAACTGATGTAGGCCAGCCTATCATTGAATTTGATTTGGTGCGGCTATTAAGTACAGCGTCTGAACCAGGCCTAATTAATTAATTTATTTCTTCCATTCATCTTTCTTCAAGACGAAGTCTTTATATTGTGAGGTAGATTACTTATTGGTTTCTTCAGATTACTGATTACCATATCAGCTTGAAATTTACTGGACTATACTTTATGCGTAACAGATTAAGATATTCCTTTATATACAGTTGCAGTACTGATCACTTCTGTTGTACTCTATGTAGTTGGATGAAAACAGTAACAGACATGGTGGAGAATTGGTTGGTGAAGTTCTAAAGGTAAGTGATGATTATTATAGTAGGTTGTGATAATCACAAGCCCTGGTGATGTTGTACATCCCAACTACCAGGGTTCATACATGCAGATTTGTAAAAAGTCAACTTTTAAGATCCTAAGAAGAAAAGGTGACAAAAATGCAGACACTTTGGGCAAGGGTTATACAAAGATTGCAAGCAGTCTCTCCTGTTTGGCAAAGTCTGTTAGGGAGTCCAAAAAAAGGAGTTGAAAAAAGTCAGCAAAAAAAAGCAAAACAGCAAAAAATAATAGTGTGCTGCATGGAACTCGTGTTAACATCAATTTTTTTTGTTCACTGATTTTTTTTTATTTGCATGAAGAACAAGATGTAGTCTTGGGTTACAGTTTGAATATATCTCCTTTTTATCTTTTTTACATAGTGAAGTTGTAGGGTATGTAATACCTAGGCCAGCATAAAATAACCTGTGGTGATACACAGACATAAATCTATAACCTGGACATCACTTTTGAAAATTCATATCTGAGGTTGAAGGAAACAGGACTTCTTTGTATTACAACAAAATAGTTTATTGGATTTGATAAGTAAAAACTGAATTGATTGATAACTTATTTGATACTTTCAAAGTCATTTATAACAGCTTTAGTTACCTGTAGATGAGTTGAAAAAATCTATTCACTAACAGTTAGTTGATTATGTTCAGCTAATGAGATATGTTATTCTGGATAAATGTGTATTTTGTCAACTTTTTTGACAGGCTCATGGTGTCAAGTATGTTTTTACACTCTGTGGTGGCCACATCTCGCCAATTTTAGTGTCATGTCAAAATCTAGGAATCCGTGTTGTTGACACACGGCATGAGGTAGGGAGGTTAAATGGTCATATTTTTGCTTGGAACAATTAGTGACAGATTACATGACATAAGGAATTCTAGCTATCTACCATAAAATATAATGCTATGATGGCCCTCAAGTAACACTTTTAATTTGCCTTCCTTTTGTGATCAGGTGACAGCTGTGTTTGCAGCAGATGCAGTTGCCAGGTTATCAGGAGTTGTTGGTGTGGCTGCTGTTACTGCTGGTCCAGGTAAGTGTAGACTTTGTTTATCCCATTATTGTTGAAATTTTTTCTGTAAATTTTTTTTTCTTTAAAATTGGGAAGTGAAATCTGTAGAAAAAAAATGGAGTGCCACATGTCTCTTCACTTTCTGTCTTGGATCCTTCTTACTCTCTCTTTGATCAAAGGGTACTTTCCGTGCCTTTTGAACAAAGACCAAACATAGCCGATATTTCAGTCCAAAGGTATGTTTTGGCAAATGGATTATTTTATATCTATTTTTTTTTTGTCATATCAGGTCTAACAAATACAGTGACAGCTGTAAAGAATGCACAAATGGCAGAGTCTCCTGTGCTGTTGTTAGGTGGAGCTGCTGCTACACTTCTAAAGGTCTGTACTTTGTTTGAAATGATAACTTTAGATTTCTCTCTTGTGTAAGAGAGCTTCATAAGCCAATAGGCTCATCTTGTCATAGTTTATTACTGTTTCTGTCATTAGCCTGAAGTGACAAGGGATATTTGTTACACCCTCTCCTGGAAGGAATAGCAGTCACCTAGCTACCTCAAAAAATTTGGTGAATGACTGTCTTGTTTGAGAGAGAGCTTATATGGCAGAGGGCTCATCTTGTCAGGGTTTATCTCTCAGTTTCAGCCACCTGAATAGACGAGGAATATTAAAAACCCCCCTCCAAATCAGGGTTGCAGTCACATGATTACGCTCTAGGTACTTGTTCATACTTCTTGTTTTCTAGAGGGTTGAAAATTCTCAGTTCTTATACAGGGTTTAGTTAATTTGCTTTAAATTTAGTTCTTTATAGTAGTCTAATAGTAATTATTATCGCTTCTTCTTATTGAATTATTTCTTTTAGGGACGTGGAGCTCTACAAGATATTGATCAGATGAGTTTGTTCAAGTCTTTGTGCAAGTACTGTGCTACAGTTACAAGGTAATTGATTGTTAATATATGATTTTCATTTATATACAGTCATTTATTCATCACCTCAGGTGTTTATTACAAACCAACATAATGACCAGCTCCTAACTGGCTTGTCAGCTTAGTTGGTAGAGCACCGCACCAGTATCGCAGAGGTCATGGGTTCAAATCCCGTACAGACCTGAATTTTTTTCAAGCCTTATTTTCACTACTGTTTAAGTAGTGTAAGACATTCTTCTTTAGCCCAGACAGAGGAGGATAGATATCCTTGGGTATCTGTGCAAACTATTCTTACATGTAGCTCTGGCCAGATGGGTTATTAAGCTCATAATTCCCTGCTTTTCATTTTTGATATCACTAATTGAAATGTCTGCAATAATTTTTGGCTATAGGGTAGCAGACATTGTTCCAATTCTACAAAAGGCCATTCAGATTGCACAGTCTGGAACACCTGGTAAATGCTGCTAGTGAGAAAGACTATTTTATCCTGATTATAGTGAACAGCTGATAGCAGTTTCTCTACATATGAAAAAATTCCAGTTTATGCCAACTTTTGGCTGCATCTAAGGGTATGAACAGGGTTAGGGTTAGAGATGTGCTGGATGTTCTGTATCCTTGGTGTGGTTTTGCAAACCATTTTAGATTACCTTTCTAGTCACCAGGTCGAAGTACGGTTTTCAGTTGAACCTCATTTGTTCCTAGTACCTTAAGATATCCTTGGTCATTTTGAAACTCATTTTAAATATATTAGTGCCTGCCTTTTGTGTAATTACTTGACAAAGTTCATGTGACATTTTTCCCCTGATTTGTAGGTCCTGTGTTTGTGGAGTTCCCCATTGACACCCTGTATCCCTATCCTACAGTCAAGAAAGAGTCTGGACTCAAGGTATTTAAATTCTTTTTCATTTCAAAGGACTTTCAGTGATCAAAATTCCACTTTGGGTCCAGTTGTTGAAGGGGCTGATAATACCGTCCAACTGATAAATCACTATCCAGCAGATCAGAATAAGTTTTAACCCTTTAACTCCCAAGATCTCATTAGTAATTCTCCTTACTGTCTGCCATAAAGTTCTTGTGATGCTAGTTTGGAGAATTTGGTATTGGATCAACTTATAATCCCCTCACTGACATTTTTCTTTATTCTCATCTTTTGTATGCTTGATATTGTAAGGAGAAATTCTGTCTTGGTCACTCATGGCAGTTAAAGGGTTAACAAAAAGGACCACACTAACAGCCATGCAGGCCCAAGTTGTTCTAAGGTTGGATAATGCTATCCACTGGATAAAACTCTCTCTGTTAGATAACATTATACGTTTTGCTATCACTTATCCACTGGATAGTGATCTGTTAGATAGCATTATCCACACTTTTTACAACTTGGTCCAGATGGAGATTTATCCAGCAAATAGTGTTGTCTACCCTTCAAACAACTGAATCCAGGGCAATTAAATCAATAGTGCCCGGTAACTTACTATTAATATCTCGTAGAGGAGATTTTGAGATAGTGAAGTCATCTGAGCTACCAGTAGACATCTTAAATCATTTTTCAAAGTATATCTATCCACATACTGTTAAATTACCCATTGAACAAGTTAAATGGGTATGTAGTTTTTATTATTACCAGTAACATTACAGCCAACCAAAATTTCCCATTACTTTTAGGAAGAAGTCAAGGGATTTTCTCAGCGCTTAGTTAATTGGTAAGTTACTTACTAAGTCACAAGGCTTGGGTCACACCCTTGTTAAAGTTATCTGGGTTTACCTCTTTTTCTGATCCACCTGCAATTTTACATTGGGTGGTAGTGAGAATTTGCCTCTGTGACCCAGTACCAAGGTTTATCAGGAATCATGGGTAGCCAGCTACCGGCACCTTATTGACAATGCTGTGCTGATATTTAAATTTGTGTATGATTGTGCTCACTTTCCTAAAGGTATATATCTAACCACCTTCATGGCTTGTTCGCTGGAGCCTGGGACCCACAACCAAAAGATCCATTACCTGTTGATATACCAATGCCTATTAAGTCACAGGGTAAGTGCCATTTAGATTTGACTTGATTTTAGCCAGTCATTGTGTGACTGTATTACGAATCAGTTACAATTCTTATCAACAGATATGTGAACTCTCTTCTTTTTAGTTGATGAATGTGTGAGACTGGTTTCTAAGTCTACTAGGCCAGTGATCATCCTAGGAAGTCAGTCTACATTGCCTCCAGTCCCAGCTGACAAACTAAGGAAAGCTTTGGAGGTGGGTTGTAAAGGCCTGTTCTGTTTATCAGCTTTTCAATTTGTCAGCAGAATATCATAAAGTTAAGAAGAAGTAATGATCTTCAAAATTAATGATCTTCTGTAAGCTACAACCTAAATTGTAGGAAGATTGCAGATATAGGAAGCCTCTGTCTGCTTTGGTCTGAAAATTGTTTCCTCCCCAAACATCTAAGTTTAATCCTTGAGATTCAAAGTAACAATTAAGAGTTAAAATGCTCAACTCTAAAGTAATTTCGTAGAACTTTTGGGCAAACCCCTTCACTGTGCCAGGCTCCCACCAGTACATGTACTTTCTTGCAACTGAAAGTTTCCCTCTAATCTCTTTATTTTTCAAAATCTAAGTGCCTTTAGGCCAGCAATATTGAAATTAGCTATAAATAAATACAGCTTTTGAAGACAGGTGTTGGCTGGTGAAAGTCGACATCTAGAGGTATTTTCGATTGTGATTTTGCTTGGTAATTCTTACTGATCAGAAATATTCTAGACAAGACCTGAAATGTTACCGACTACTTCTGGGAAAAAAGCTTTCTATTTTATTCTGCATGAATATCACTTAGACCACCTGTTATAGCTTTATGTTTCATGTGTGCTTTAGTTGATACCAATTCATAATTTGGCAGTAGATTGGCAATGACGTGACAACTGATCTCATGTTCAAATTTATAATTTGACCTTGGTTTAGCCTGTACAAATTGCCCTACCTTCATGTTTGTTATTGTTGTTGTTGTTGTTTGTTTGTTTGTTTTTGATATTGATTTATTCTTATTTTGCTAACAGGAATTGGGTATCCCATGTTTCCTAGGAGGCATGGCCCGTGGTCTGTTGGGAAGAAATAGCAATCTCCATATAAGGCAAAGGAGAAGAGATGCTTTAAAAGAGGCTGATCTTGTTATTTTAGCAGGTGAAATAGTTAACACCTTATTCAAAAGTATAGGGTCAAGATGCAAACATCTCATCAAAACCATTAAGATGTCCTTTTTGACCAAAAAATATTGAAATGATGTAGTTTAAAGTTCTTTTTAGTAATGGAAAAGTCAAGGCCAAAGAATTAAAGCAAGGTAGAGTGTGGTTCATTAAGACAGCTTTCAGAAAAATGATCCACTTTCTTTTGAACACAGGTACAGTGTGTGACTTTAGGTTGTCATATGGTAGAGTATTGAACAGGAAGTCCAAAATAATTGCTGTGAATAGAAACAAGAGTCAACTTTTTAAGGTGGGTCATTTTCATAAGCCTAGTAAAATTTCATAAAACAAATTTTAAAAACTTTAAAGAGGATCAATACAGGATATTTTGAATGTTAACTAACTTTAACTAAAATTCATCACATTTTGTTGCTAATGACAGAATGGTCTAAGTAATGAACTGACTTTAAATCTCTATCTGCATGTAGAATTCAGACATGTTTTGGAAGCCCTCAGTTGCTGTTCAAGGTGGGGATTCAGAACTGTTACCATAAAAAACTTACCAGATACTAACTTGTAATGGAATGCAAAGCTATTTAAAAACTATTTATTATCGAAAAATGTCATGATGATTATTTGTTAGCATCTAATCTGCCTGATATCATATAAAGATTACACATTAGAGTGTGTAGTTCTACTCACAGGTGAGATTTATAACTATTACAGCTGCATTTATTAATTTTTGTTCTCCTTGATTAAGTGATAGTGAAATGGTTGCATCATAAAATAACTGATTACCTTCCCCTGCCCTACTCCACCTCAGAATTTGCAATAGAAGTAATAATATCGAGACTACTTTTTGTGACAAGTTCTTGATTCCCACTTTTCAAGCTGTCGAGGTGTCTTAGCCAAATGTTATTTGGTGCTGATGATGATTCCTTTGGTTTCAGGTGATCCTGCTACCTTGATGATTGAACTTTCTAAGGGCCTCAATGGCTACATCTGTCCAACTGATTGGTTGGACAAACTGAAGGAAAGAGACATTGATAAAGAGAAAGCAAACAGGTACCTTTCAATCATACCAGACTCCATTACGGAATATGTTTTGTGAAAGCAAGTGGCTTTCAGAAAAGTGAATTAACGGGAATGCTATGCATGCCCTTTGGATGTTTGCAGAACATTAAAAAAGATTTCATGTTATTCCCCTACCTCTAGCTTATGATGTCAAATTATCTCATGTTTTCCCATGGTTTAACACAGGTTATTTAATGTGATAAACCAAAAGAAAGTCTTGTCTCTTGCTAAGAAAAGTATGAGCTCAAATCTTAGGCATAAATATTTTGCATATTAACTAACAAGATTGCTCTATGTAAACAACAATCCAATTACAAGATTGCCAGATGAAAATTTTACTTATTACAATGAAGGAAGCTGATAAGGACCTCCAATTCCACATAGAATCACAGGATTTCATTCCTTTTTTAAAGAGTCTCTGCTGATGATTGTTCATGTTTTTGCCAGTTATTAACCCTTCAACTCTAATAGGTGACCAAGACAGAATTTCTCCTTACAATATCAATACTGAAAATATCATACAGACAAGTGATAAGAATAAAGACAAGTATCAATTAAGGGTATCATTAGTTGATCCAAGACCAAATTCTCCAAACTAACATTACAAAAATTGTATGGCAAACAAGCAAAGAGAATTAATAGGTAGATCTTGGAAGTATAAGAGTTAAGAGTATTTATCTTTTTCCTGAACAGTCTGAAGTCACAGGAATCTCTAAAGCAGCAATTGAACCCACTGAAGTTGTTGTTCAATCTGGAGCACATTATGTCCAATGACAGTATCATTGTAGCTGATGGGGGTGACTTTGTAGGCTCTGCTGCTTACATCCTGAGGTAAAACCTGATTTACCGTATTGTTTAGGAATGTTTTTGTCATTTTAATTAATGTACGAAGAAAATTTCTTTGATTCATAGAGTTAACAACTGAGCATTTGGAAAAAGTAGTGGATTACTCAAGGAAAAACCCTTTCCCCAAAGTTTCACTCATGAAATTGCTCAAAAGTTACTGTGTAATGAACATTTACATTTGATTTTTGAGGTGTGGACGGACGTGCATGTTCTAAAATTTTTTTCACTGGTTTGAACTTAACTTCAACAACTCTTCACTTTATATGGTGTATGATTACACTTTTCTCGTGGATCACAAGCAAAAGAAACCCTTTTTGAGACTCTACAACAAGGGAATAGTCATTTTTTTATAGCTATTCTTAATAATAGGTTATTTCTGGCAAACAACTGAGTGTAAGTTTACCCATCCAGTGATCTCTCAAACAACTGTGTACTGAAATGATCTGCAAGCTGTTCTTGTGACAGGTGATTTGGTGGAATGAAGAAAAGAGAAGCATCTCCCCCTCCCTTTCAGTAGTAAAGTTAGAGAAACAGTAACCTTGCTTCCTTATTTCAGGCCACGAGGTCCATTGACATGGCTGGATCCAGGTGCGTTCGGGACTCTTGGGGTGGGTGGTGGCTTTGCCCTGGGGGCCAAGCTCTGCCGACCAGATTCAGAGGTCTGGATTATTTATGGAGATGGTTCTCTGGGTTACAGTGTAGCAGAGTTTGATACTTTTACAAGGCACAAGGTTGGTTTGTTTTGTTCTATTCATTTGTTTCCACAGAATTTAACAGCAATGTGCTGATTTGGACCTGATAAAACATGGTAAAGACAGGTCCAACCAACTGGAGCTTTTATGTAGCAAAATGTCTTTGAGAAGTTCATGTTGTTTCTTTGACCTCTCCTGCTAACCATGACAAAATGCAGAGCATATCCCCTGTGATTTGGTGTCCTTGTCTGGGAAAATGAAGAAATCAAACCATTTGCAGATGTGTTTGCAAGAAATCACTGACAATCTCCTCAATTACTGAAAGCTTTCAATGAAAATCCAATTTTGGCCTTAACTGTCACTCATTGCACAGGCAGTCTAAATGTGGCTTACCAGGTAGTAGTGAATGCTCAAAAAACTAAGTAGTTAATTCTTCTCAGTATAATTATTAAGGGTCTTTTCTTACAATTAACCCTAGCTTGTGATAAATATTGTTCTCTTGTTAAATTCTCAGACTCCTGTCATTGCTCTGGTTGGTAACGATGCATGTTGGTCACAGATTGCTCGGGAGCAAGTACCAATGTTTGGTTCGAGTATAGGATGTGACCTGGAGGTAAGAAAAAGCTTGAGTCCATAGTCAAAGTTAGCATTGGGATTTGTTGAGAACATGCCACTACCACTAGTCACTACCATCTTAACCCATGACCACTAAGGAGTGACCAGCATCTACTGTAGTAAGTTTTCCCTTTACTTGCACAACTGAATCAAACACCAAGGTCATGAGTGTGATGGAAATGATAATCAACTGAAGAAACTCTTGATTGTTAGGCAAATCCTTCTCGTCAGTACTTCAGGAAGCTTATTGAGAACAGTATGGAGAATATACATACTGTGAGGGTGTAATAATGTAATTCTTTTGATGTCTCGACAGTTCACAGACTATCACAAAGTAGCTGAGGGATATGGAGGAAAAGGGTTTCTTCTCAGTAATCCATCCACTGAAGAGATTGACAAAACACTCTCCCAAGCACAAGAAGTAGCCAGGGATGGCACTGCTGTACTGATTAATGCTCTGATTGGGAAAACTGACTTCAGAGAGGGATCCATTTCAGTATGACATATTTCACTATGTCTTCTGGACAATTTTACATGAGAAGTAATTATCTAATTAGACAAAAAAATTAGATCTTTGTTGAGCTTTAGATTGTACTTTGTAGTGATTAAGGGGTTTTGTAACACATGTGGGATGTTAGGAGAACAAGAGAAAAACTTATAAACCTCTTCATTAAGAGTTTCACTGACATCTCAATTAGATTATTAGACACATTAACAAACAGAAAATGTGGTCAATTGCTTTCAAAAAATAGCTTTGGGTCTATCAATCAAATAGATGATAGTTTTTTGAGCAATCAGAGTGGGCACAGTCTCAGCTAATTAACAATAACAGTTGAAGATAGAAGAAATATTCACAAATAGTCGTTCTTGCACATATTTAATTTAGTACTTAAATAATTCAGTATAAAATGTTTATTTAGTAGTCAAGAATAATCTTTTTCTGGACAATGAATTTAGTTTGGTTTCAAAAAGTGGTTGGTCAAGTTACTGAAACAGAAGTGACAGAATTTTCAGTTTTAATGAGATTGCTGTACAATCACTGTGAAATTTTTTAGTTTAACAGATTGTATGTGTAATTTGTGTCTTAAATTGTCCCAGGCTAGGACTCAACTGATTGAGAAATAATCTAAAGCTCACAATTTGAACTACCTTCAGCTCAGAAAAACAACAATGGAGTGAGAAATTCATTTTACTAACATTGTGTGCCTTTTTTAAATTCTATTTTACACTGCAAAATGCTTCACCAGAGCACCCTCAGAAATTAGCGTTAGTGTAATTCATGGTTCTGTGAAAAACCCCTTGTAGGTAATTTGGTTAAAGTCTACTCATAAATATATAATTATTTCAAGTACATTTAATATCTAGTTAAAAAAAATTACAATAAAATCACTATTAGTAAGAGGGAAAAATTGGAAATCTGTGCATTTATTTTAAAGTAAGTTTGATTACAATATAGAATGAAAAACACTCATATAATAGTACATTGTTCATGAACCATTTTCAACTCAAATTTACCAAGAGATGGAACTAAAGATTTTTATCTTGAACCTCCAAGAAATAAGAATTGAAAGACAAAGAATATGAAAGGAAAACCTACGAGTGTTTAAAACCTCAACGTTCTCTATACATCGCATGAAAAAACACTGACTGCAAATTACATTTGATTAAACTTTATACTTGGGTGATGCTGACATGTGATGCTGAGGGGGAGATCTGGCCCTGCTAAGGAATATTAAAATATTGTGCTACTCACAAAATTCCTAGGAGAAATGAAAGTAATTTTTTAGTCTGCAATTTCCCATGCATTGCTGCTGTGACATCTTTGACTCCCTAATAACTAGTACCACCTTTCCCTACCTGAAAAATGTGTATATTCTCATTTCAGTAATCAGCTTTCTGAAGCGAACCCTACATTTTCTCAGCTTAATCCAACCAGTCTAAATCTGGGACAATCCTGAGCCTGTTACCACAAGTCCATAACTAATTACAGTCAACAATGATGACTACATACTGCACATTATTGTCCTAGACAGTGTTATTCATGAAATTGTGATTTCACATTTCCCTGATTCTGACAAAATTGCAAAGAACTTGCTTATCAACCAGGGTTTTGAAGCTGTCTTGTAGTCCTCTGACAATCTATACCTTGCAAACATGGAATATTTAATCCACATTGCCCTACTAGACTATCTAGTGCAAGCGAATTTAACTCCACCACTGTTATCTCTTCTTCTTGGATGTAATTTTATGCAGATCAGCTTTAGACAGGCGTTGGACACCAGCTTTGAACTTTCCAACTGAAGCCTGCAGGCCTTTGGAGGAATTATCCACCCACCAACCCATTGGAGCCCTATGAGACAAGACAAAAGAGAAGTGACATTACACCCCCTCACTAAATCATGGTACATGTAGATCAAAGATTGCTCACAAACCTTGTAGAAGCACTTGACTTTTTATCTGGTTTCTTTTTGAAAATACCCATGGCATGTTCCTAAACAAGGTGGAAAACATAATACTGACAGTTAAAACTTTCAATAACTTACGTATCAGTACAGCTTACAGTTGTACTGGTACACAATGCCCTCGTCATAACAAGGACCTCCACACCTGGTTGTTTCAAATTTTCCTAAGTGACAATGCCTGTTGATGTCCACAAATTGCTGATCCTTACATTATACAGGAAAAATATCACATTTAAACTTGGTGTCGATCTGACTCCCCAAGAGTTCTCTGTGGCCCAATGGTAAAGCATTGGTACACACCACTCCAAATTCTGGGGTATGTTTCCTCTTGGGGAAATGAATTTCCTTTTCCTCGTCCCACACTTGTGACAAGATGAATATCATCTTTCTATGCTGAACTTTACCATTAAATCATAGTTTTTATACTTGATTGTGACTGTCCAAACAAGTACATACCCTTTCCCTTTGTTCTTGCTCTCTCTCCTTTCTCCTTTTAATCTGGCGCATCAACATTGGATATGGCATTTTCTGACCTTTTGGTGCCTATGGATGTTGTATGCACTGATTTAACTCTTTACATCCTAAAATCAGTTTGAATATTCTCCATACTGTTCTTTATACATTTCCTAAGGTGCTGACAAGGAGAATTTGTTTGCCAATCAAAAGTTTCCTTCCCTGGTGACCATTTCCTTTATTCTCATGACCTTAACGAGTGATTCAGGGCTGATATTGTAGGAAGAAATTAGAGGATAGTCACTCTTAGGGTTTAAAGGGTTACGTGAATCGCATAACTATACATGTACATACAATTCTTTTTTTTTCACAGCAGGCTTACCCCAAAATGAGTGCTCCTTTATTAATATAGAATTAGAAATCTAATGAACACACTATAAATTATTATAATCATTTAAGTCAATGGTAAGAATCAAATTACTAGATTTGAAGTACGTCATAAGATGGATTTTCCACCTACTTTTCCACCAAGTGACTGAGCTTTCCAGTCTTCATATTTCTTTCTGTCTTTTCTACTGAGACCTGTCACACCTACGACAAATAATTTGTTAGGGAACACATTAAAAACAAGACTAAAATCTACCCTGATGAAGATAACAAAAAAGCATGTTGAAGCCCTATTTCACCCACACAGCTTTGCTCACTAGCCCTTTTTACTTCTTGAATGACACAACATTCTGAGTGGCAATTATTTCCCATCTGACAACTTTAAAAAAAAAGCAACTCCTGTTTTGCATTCTGGTTGACAATGGGCCTCTGAATGCACTGCAAAAATACATACTTGATACCATTAATTATCAACAGGAGAAAATCCTAAGAAAGACTGGCATCTACTTTCTCCTTACCATAACACCCCAGAATCCCACATTAAGGTCACAAGAAAAAGTAAAGTGATCACCATCAATGAAATTAATGGGCAACAGATTTCAGGGAATATTCATGGCATTAATTTTGTTCTCCCAAAACAAATGAATTGTTAACCCATGAAATGCTGTTTGATTGCAATTCATGGGCATGAAATTCATTCTGATGACTTTCTGGGGAAACTAATGGGTCATGAAAGTAGACTTTGAAGAAATTCATGGGTCATGAAAGTAGGCTTATAAAGAAATTCATGGGTCATGAAATTAATTCTGGCATAGTTAGTAGAGGAGACCTCTACTAACTATGATTCTGGTGACTTTCATGGCAAATCAATGGGTCATAAAAATAGACTTAGAAGAAATTCATGGGTCATGAAAAAAATTCCCCAAATTCATGGAAAATTCAGGGCTAAAAATAACCCCATGAAATTTCATTTTGCAGTATTCATGGGCCATGAAATGATCTTCATGGGTTTTTCACATGAAATTCATGGAATTTTCATAAAACTACAGTTCATAGTGATATCACCCCAGAATCCCACATTAAGGTCACAAGAAACAGTAAAGTGATCACCAACAAAAGAAGCTTTTAATTGCTAAACAAATTCACCTTGTTAGCTTTGTACTACAATTTTTTCTAAGCATTAAAATAATGGTAAAAATACAGTCAATTTGTTAATAAAGAAAAAAATGTCTCACCAAATTCTCTAACTTCCCTTGCAATAGACTTAAATTCAAACTCATCAGGGTCTTCCCTATATTTGAAAAATGATACAATTAGAAACAATAATTTCCCTCAAAGTCCTTTCACAAAGACCTGTGATCTGACCAGTCTATCCTCAAAAGGCACCTACCCTCTCATTTAAAAACCAACTTTTAACATCTATATTTACCTTGTTGACTTGCTTTTAATTTCTATCTGTTTTCTTTTCCCCTGCAGAGAAATAAGAACCTGGGCTTGCAAGAACTGGTATTATATTAACTAAAAAACTTAATATAAAAAAGTAATTTTTAAAGATTTCAATGACAAATAATAGCCTTTAATTTTCAATCTTCTGTCAATACTATGTTATGGTAAAAGTGGTTAAGTTTAAAGGATAGCCACAACTTTTACGATTCAAAAGTATTTACTTCTAGGAACACCTTAGCTAGGAACTTTAGGTCAAAGAGTGAACTCAAATAAAATTTCTGACTTGACCAGCTGATGAGGGCGGAGAGGGAGTTTGTTGTTGAACCAGATTACACCATTAAGGGGTGTATTTTATTATTAACAGTGTGGTGACTAATGAATTGATCCTCACAGACATGTACAGGGTAAAAATTACATTGTAGAAAATGAACCTGAAACAAATCCAAGCTTTCATAAGGCTTGCACCCATCCCTCCTAGAAAACAGATGAGCATTACCACTAAGAAGCCATAAAGTTGTGAACTAAGTACATTAAAATTATGGAGGAGCTATTAAAAAGAAACAGAAGAAACCAAGAAATAACTCAATTAGTGAAAAAAAGTCCAGTGGAACTAATTCTCTGCCACATTGTTCTACAATATCTTTGATTAGAACTTCATGATACTCTTGGAACATACTGGTGGTAAACTTTTCTTCTTTTTTAACTGCTTCCCTGGTTCAACAAACTCAATCACTTTTGGAAGAGGACAATTGGCCTTCTTTTCAGTCCAGGAACCTTGCAAAAGAAAACAATATTCACAAATTTACACTTGGAGTTAAGAGGAATTCCCCCTCAATAAAATAGGAATAAATGAAAGCATAGGAACTTGATTAGAACTTTTTAATGGAACATAAACACTGGACCACACACAACATACATGTAGCAAAGTTGTATAATAAGTTTAATATTAAGTATGGAAATTATGAAGATTGGAGCAAAAATAGCAAACTTTTACAGAGATTTCAAACCTGAAGAGGATTTGGCTGATTGTAATCAAATCAAAGTTTTGATAATACAATTCCGTGCAACCTCACGTATTTTAAAAAAATAACCTCTTAAAAAACATATATTACACATATTTCCATTTTCTGAAGCTGAGATATTGTTATATATATATATATATATATATACACATAAGTACATAAGTTAAAGAATTAAAGAGGACGTATCAATTCTCTGTGACTTCGAGTTTCGTTCCTAAGCGCTCGTCAGACAGAACTAAAGTATTCAAAAGTTCTGTCTGACGAGCGCTTAGGCGCAAAACTCAGAGTCACAGAGAATCGATGCATCCTCTTTAATTCTTTAACTTATGTATACTTAGCTCTGCTACCACAGCATTGAGCACTTTATGCCAAGGTAGACTCTACCCTCACATTCATTTATATATATATATATATATATATGATTGTATACATGGAAAGACCGTGTTTTTATTCTTCCATTGTACAATGCTCGATATGTATAAGTAGAGTGAGATATATACTGAGATAGGGAAAAAACGAAGAGACTAAACTTTCATCCTTACAAGCCTATTTTGTGATTCCTGACCCATCAGGGGATTTCATTGTCAAGAATAACTGTAACCATCATTTAATTTTTACTTTACAAATTTGCATAATAGGCATGGCAATAAATTATTCTGCTTTGCTCAATTGTTACGCAGTAACGCTTTGTTTCTGTGTTTTGTAGCATATAGTTATATAACACAATTGAACACTTTGTTTTTCCCCTATCTCAAGATATACATATATATATATATACACACACACACATGTATTTCCATTTTCTGAGACTAGGATATTGTCATTTAAAGGCCAATTTCCCGATTAATTTCAAATTTTGTAGAGTGTAATCCATAGAATGATTAAAAATAACTTTGTTTATACAACACCTGAGAGCCCACCTACTGATGTGGAGATGCAGGACTTCTTAAATTCCTGGGTATCATCTCCTTTCCTTTTCAGCAACTTCTTTTGGGTACATTTCTCAGGAATCTGTAATTATTGTAATAAATAAATATTAACCCAAAGCTGCATTGTTATGATATTTTTTAATTTAAATGGCACTGAGACTGATAAGTTGAATAACAAGCAATATTTGCTGTTTTGCAACAAAGCAATACAAGTACAGGGTTGGACAGCTTTTTCCTGTTTGGCTCACATCAAATGCAACTGGTTCTATTTACACCAGCTTTTTAAGATTCACTGCATTGTGGTGGTGGGAAAAAGAATAATATTTGCCCAATTTAGGCCAAACTACTAGTCATAAACAAAGGAAATTTCAGCTCATTAATTGACATACAAAATTGACATCTTTCAAGTTTGATTCTCTCTGTTATCTAAGCTTGAGTTTTCGTGTCCCAAATTTACCTAATAAGCAGCCACTAACATTGATAACCAAGACGGCTTGCCATCCTCAGATTCCATGCAACACCAAAAATAAAATAAAAACCCTTTCCAAAAAAAATTCAAGCTTGTAGTCTTGAGATTGTGGAATCACACCAGCCCAGTTCACCAAGATATACAAAGAGGCCCTTAATTCTTTAATTCTTAGAACATGTTGCTTCTCCCTATAATATCCAATCTAAACATTATCCACCAAACAGGTGATGACAATACTCAAACTTACCAAGTAGAAGAGTTTATCTTTAACTAATACCAAATTCTCGTAACTAGCTCACAAGGATATATGTAGCAGCTAGATGGGAGAATTAACAATCAGATATTGGGATTTAAAGTGTGAAAATATCTAAATATAATATGATGCATGTACAAGTCACAGAGTGTTTTAAGATGAAATTGATCACTCCATTGCCTGCCAAAAACTGACCTCAAAATTCTATACAACAATGTTGTGAACATGATTCAAGATTGTTGCTTAACCACTAAGTAAGTATAAAGCTTTTATTAAACCAACCTGTTCCATAATCGAGATATGTCCTACTTCCTCAAGCTTCTAATCTTGATCTTTGCCAGGCATTCAATTACCTGATAACAAAAAAATATATTTACTAGCAAAAGAACTTACTTTTGATTAATCAATTATTATCTACTTTACTGCTGACAGCGCCCATGCACCAGATGGGCTTGGGATTGTGTACTTTGATTTCATTTGAGAAAAGATTTTGTGGAATAGACCTAAAAAGTTTGCAATTTTTAGACAATGTCAGCAATGGAGTCAAAAAAGCACTAAAAAAAGACAGTCAAAACAAAGAAAACATAAACCTATTTTGTAGGATTATTGTACTACAAACACAGTTGGCTATCTTTCCCAGCACTCAAAAAAAAAAAAAAAGCCACTCTTAATTCTTATTAAAGTGAAATCATATTGCTTTATAATTAATCTGCTATTGACCAAGCTTGTTCAGTCAGAATGACTCAATTTTAGCCTTGTTCTGATGAACTTCAACTTTGCCTCGATCCAGAAGAGTGAAACCTTTTTCTATAGGAGAAATCCTTTATTGACTGAGCTTGTTCAGTCATCATGGCTGAACAAAGCGTCTTTCCTTTTTGCATTTCTATGGACCTACAATCAGCATCAACAATAGCTGACACATATTTGAAGAGTTCTGTTAATGTGTAGAATAACACTCCTGTTTCTACAACACTCTAAATCATTGACAAGTCCCCCTACCCTATTCAATGTTGCCTGTATGTAGCTGTATGAAATAAAAGAAATCATGATATAAAATTGTTTAGGGAGAAAGGGGTAAATAGGTTAACTTAAAAAGGGCAAAGGAGATAAAATTGAAGTAATAGGGAGTTGCAAAGGTCACTGTGGCAATGATTTTGTTGCAAATTGTAGAACTCAATATTCAGCCATCTTGACCTCACGCTTGGTCATTGACATGTGCTGATCATGCAATTACTCACTCTAGCAACAATCTAATGGTTAATTTTATGTTTATTTATTTTTCAAGTGTTCATGAAGCATCATCATGTGCATGTAAAAGGTAAGTTTGCTATCGTTTTTTTGTCAGAAGTTCTGACTTTTTTTCCATGGCTTCTGTGCAATTCTCTGATCTATTAATAACCTTTGGCACAAGTAGGACCAATATGTTACCAGCATTTTTTATGTTGTGAAGGTTTCTTTTGTTTGATTAGACATAAGTCCTGGTAAAAGTAATGTAAAATGGTATATGTACTAATTCATCGACAATCAAAGAGAAAATCAGGCTTAATGCTTACAGAGCGAACGTCCACCATTTACCTTCGAGAGCGCTGGGACAAAAATGTCTTTTATCCGTGCTTATCATCGTTACTTGAGTATATTGTTAAATCGACAACTGTTTGTTGCACACTTTTTTATCTCAAATTACACAATTGTTTACCTTGAAGGATACAAATTCGTTGTATAATCGTTATTTTAGTTAGCGGTCATGTCTTAGCTTGATCGACTCTTTGTCTCATCTTTGTCGAATTAGGTTCAGCTTCGATTATTAATTTTCTTCAGTCGCCGTTAACCGTCACTCTGGTTTACGGGATTTAATAACTTTTAAAATAGTCCCAACACCTCTTTAGTGACACGGCTCAAGTGACGACTCGCTTTGAATTGTTTTTAGTCGCTGAAAGCGTTATAATCACTGGGTTACCACGCTGAACTTGCAAGCTAGAAAGACACACCAAAAAGCGTGGCTTGTGGTTTGATGATTTTACTTTAACGACGAGATTTTCATAATCATGCATCGCAAAGAAGGGATGGATATAATACTTCGTTTAAACCCAAGACGTTCTGTTCGTAATTACCTTACCTCAAAATCCTGTAAACCGACAAAACAACTTTACTGCAGCCATATTGAACGGGAAGCGAGGAATCTGGCGCCAACTTCGTTTCCACTTCCCACGCGGTTGGATTACCGTTCGTCCGTTCATGTTTCCTCCTAATCTGTGGTTAATGGTTTCCAGCCATTGATAACATCTCAACAGTTTCGAAATTATTCTATTCACTGTTGTTACTATTTCATCATAGTAAATTGCATGCCAAACAAACTGATGATATGTCTGCATTTCTAACATTTAGGGATTTAGACGGCCAGGCGCTGTTACCTCACTTACCTGGAGTATCCCGCCTCCATGTAAACAGGCCCTAAATATAGTACCTTATAGATTGCCTAAAGGGATTATCTACTCCTAAGAACATGCAAAGTATGGCAGACACTAACACCCATGAAAATAGAAATCCCACAACTAGCACTCAATTGACACCAACGGAGGTTGATGTGAAAGTTTCAGAGAACCAAGATCTCTCGCAGGAGCCAAAGCCTTGTTCTTCTGCTGATAGTAAAGGACTTTAAATTACTGGGCTTATTTTCTTGAGGGTCTTGAGAAAAAGTTATCACAATACTCCTGGTTATGTATGCTTAAGAGATATCGGTCACAGCAAGAAGAAAATGATGGTTGCTGTGATTAAAAGCGAAGAGGGCTCCAGCACTACAGGGAATTCGCTGATAAGCGTCCTAAACGTCGCGGTCCTAGAGCTGTCTGTGGGTATCTGTGCCAGTGGAAACCACCTTTGAAGAACTCAACCAGTCTGATAGTGAAGCTACTCGGATATGGCGTATTTCTGAGTTGGCCTGAGGTTGTTATGACAAAAAATGACGTGCTGAACTGCTCGAATGTGTTTCTGAAACTACGGAATGTGAAGGGGAAGGTAATGAACAATATTACTACTTTAGATTATTAAGATCTGTAAAGGACCTTGTTTGGCAGTCTGTCTGTTTGTATTTTCTGTCTGTCTGACTGTCTAAATATTTGACTGTCTATTTGCCTGTAGTGTCTGTAAGTCTGTTTTTCTGTCCTTTACACAAGCTAGGATACGTTTGACAGCTGAATTAGGCAGTCTAGGATAGTTATCAATGATAGGGGTGACATTTTGGGCACAGAAGTAACAGAACAGTGGAAATGACACGTTTAATTGGGGTATGTTTTTTTTTAGGGAGGGAGGAAGATAGAGAGGAACAGAGGAAGATAAAGAGGGAGGGAGGAAGGTAGTGAGGGAGGGTGGAAGGTACACAGGAAGGGAGAAAGGTACAGGGGGAGGAAGGGAGGTGAGTTGAGAGGGAGGAAGGTATAGAGAAAAGGAGGAAGGCATAGAGGGAGGAAGTGAGGTGAGTAGAAAGGAAGGAAGGTATAGAGAAAGGGAGGAGGGTATAGACGGAGGAAGAGAGTAAGTTGTAGAGGGAGGAAGGAAGGCGAGTAGAGAGGAAGGAAGGTACAAAGAAAGGGAAGAAGGTATAAAGGTAAGAAGGGAGGTGAGTAGAGAGGGAGGAAGGTAAAGACGAAGGGAAGAAGGTATAGATGGAGTAAGGGAGGTGAGTAGAGAGGGAGGGAGGTATAGAGGGAGGAAGGGAGGTGAGTAGAGAGGGAGGAAGGTATAGAGGAAGGGAAGAAGGTGAGTAGAGAGGGAGGGAGGTATAGAGGGTGGATGGGAGGAAGGGAGGAAGGTATAAGGGGAAGAAGGGAAGTGAGTAGAGAGGGAGGGAGGTATAGACGGAGGAAGGGAGGTGAGTAGAGAGGGAGGAAGGTATAGAGGGAGGAAGGGAGGTGAGTAAAAAGGGAGGAAGGAGGAGGGGAGGGAGGTGTAGAGGGAGGGGAGGAGGGAGGAAGGGGAGGTGGAGGGAGTAGAGAGGGAGGGAGGGAGGAGAGGAGGACGGGAGGAAGGGAGGGGAAGGGAGGTGGGGGGAAGAAGGGAGGAGGACGGGAGGAAGGAGGAAGGTAGAGAGGGAGGAAGGTATAGAGGAAGGAAGGGAGGTGAGAGAGGAGGACGGGAGGTATAGAGGGGAGGAAGGGAGGTGAGTAGAGAGGGAGGGGAGGTAGGAAGGGGGAGGACGGGAGGGAGGAAGGAGGAAGGTATAGGGGGGAAGAAGGGAGGAGGTGAGAAGGAGGTGAGGAGAGGGAGGGAGGTATAGAGGAGGAAGGGAGGTGAAGAGAGAGGAGAGGGAGGGAGGGGAGGTGAGTAGAGGGAGGAGGAGGACGGGAGGAAGGGAGGGGAGGAAGGGAGGAAGGTATAGGGGGAAGAAGGGAGGTGAGTAGAGAGGGAGGAAGGTATAGAGGGGAGAAGGAAGACAAAGAGGGAGGGAGGGAGGAAAAAAGAGAGGGGGGTGGAAAGTAAGTAGGGAGGCAGGAAGGGAAGAAGGAAGGTAAAGAGGGAGAGAGGGAAGTTGATGGAGAGGGAGGAGGGTAGAGAGGAAGGAAGGAAGGTGAAATAGTGGGAGGAATGATGAATAGGGCTAGTAAATGGGGTTGGTCAGAGGGACAAAGGAACAGAGCGATGAAAATTTTTTTTTAAAAACTGCCTTTTATCCTGTAAAAGTTTTCATTAAATTTAGCCCTCGATTTACTTCGTTTCATTAGCATCACATTTGATAAAAATCCTTATTATGGTAACTCAAGGACAAAAGAAAGGCTTGGAGCTAGGAAACGTAGTTCATGACCTCGTCGTCCAAGATAGTTGTCGGCCATGAGCGAATGAGGAGGTTAGAGGAAACTACAATTGGTAGGATTTTCCTACGATGAGAAAAGCGCAAATGTAGTTATGTGGAAAGACAAGGAGTATGAGTACATCTCAAGCGCAAGAAATAAACAACAATAAAGAGCTCACCATTCTTCGCTTACGAAATGTCATCCGAAAAGAATGTTGAACAATCCTGTACGGTGTGGGAACAGGCCCCCCAATCAGCATTCTTTTTTAGCTGAACTAAACTAAAGACTTATCTTCCCCTGATTTGACTAATGATATGTGTTCGTAACAGGGGTCTTTGAGGCCGGTTCGGAGCATAAGGCAGACGACATTGAAGAGTAAAATCCCCTCGATGTCGACGATCGATCGTCGATCGCGTCCATTTGGGCCATACAGCTACATCCTTTGGAAAGTAATGTATAAAAATACCCGGTATATGTATATTATTGTTGTAGCTAACATCATTTGGCGCTCTGGCCACACAATACGTTCGTCCTTTCTTCTAGATTTCTCCTTTCTCCACCAAAGTTGCAGACGTGTTTTCACAGTTTTCTACGTCACAGCTGTGTAACATGATCGTTTTGGCAGCGCGCTTAACGGAGACACTTTTCGGCCAGCAAATCGTAATTTCAATGCACAAAAAATGATCAAGGAGCATTCACTAGGCGCTAAGGTCGATTATTTCCAATTTTGAATACAGCTATTGCCCAGAAAATGCAAACAAAAAAAAACTTTCGTCTCGTAGGCACTTTAATGAAGACAATAAAGGGTTGGCAAAGAAGGCTTTCAGTATGTTAAGGGCTTGGAAACAAAAGAAAAAAGAAGGCTCAACGCCATGTGTCATGATTTTGTGGGATGTGAACTTCTTGCAAAAGACTTTTCTTGCGATAAGAGTATAGGGAATGGCTGTCTTTATTCTTGAATTGGAAAAGTGAAGGCCTTTTAATATTAATTCATGTGCCGTACAACCCCCGCCTTCAATCAATCTAGTACTCCATGTAGCATCTGTATCAACAAACATCCATGGCGGCATCCATTTGTAGCATCTAAAGGGAGTCATAATCGGTCAGTCACATTACATTGTCAGAGAAGTGATTCCTGATTGTCTATAGATTACACCAGAAGCTTGAAAATTACTTTTACTTTTGCGTAGTGGTCTTCGCTCGGCATCCCTGCTGCTTTCCATGGATAAGAGCTCAAATAAGGTCACCAACGCATTTTATTGCTTTTTCTTTTATCATTGTTTGTTTTCCTTGTGGGGCTAAAGCAACTGTGTCTTTTCGGGAGGCAACATTGTCTCCGACTCAATAATCTCCCTATATTTTAAAGGAAATTAAAACCATTGTATTTTTTTTCTCTGAGAAAATTCCTATGTTGATTCACATGTTGACCAAAAGAAAAAAATACAAGCGAAGGGAAAACAGAAATAAATTAAACTCAACGGGCTAGAATTCTCGTGAAAAAAATCAATGTTCTTTTTACTTTAAGTGTCTTAAGGATAACGCTATTGTTATTGGCACAGCAAGGTTTTGCATCACAAGGTATTTTTATGGAAAGACCCGCTGAGACTTAACAAAAACCATAGCAATAGTTATAATTAAGCTTAATCCTGAATCTGGAATCAAGACTGCCAAGTGTTTGGAAGTATTTCGATAGAATAAACCAACTGAGACTTAACAAAACCATATACCGCAACATTGTCTCCGACTTCGTTGCATTTTTTTTCCTCTGAGAAAATTCTTATGTTGATCCACATGTTGACCAAAAAAAAAAATACAAAAGAAAGGAAAACAGAAA